ATAAGATTTTAGGATTTTTCTTTCTTTTTTGAAAGATGTTTACCTTACCATCATTTTGGAAATAATCATTAGTGTATTACTTCATCGTTTTTTCTTCTTTTTAAGATTATTTCCGAATATTTTTTTTTAAAGTTGGGTTTAACAATAAAAAAAACAGCTTTTTGTAGCGATTCAGGAAACCGGAAAAATCAGTTATCCGGAATAGCGATGGTCCCGATCGTTCCGGATAATCGGTTCCCTACTGTATATAGTACCTATATTGCCAAAAAGCAGTCAAAATGAATGTATTGTGAATGCGTCAATAAATTTGTTTAAAATTAACTTTTAAATTTTATATATTATTTACAGTTCTGTAACAAGTTATTAGTAAATATTAACAATAAAAAAAATTATAGGTTGTTCAAAAAGTCACTAAACTCTAAGAAATTGTGTTATCATTGTTTTTCTAATTGAAATTAAAAGCAGTCAAAATGACTTCCTTAGGCAATCTAGTGTTAAATCCACTTTCTGACGTGTCATGCCGAAAAACAGTTTTTGACGTCAAAAACTAACCATGGTTAATTCAGGAAAATTACGTTTCTATGTCTGGTTTATTAAATTTTAAAATTAAAGTTTTGAATGAATAAGAACAAGAAAAATTTGCGCAAATTAGATTAGCAGCAAAAAAGATGTAAGTAAAAACAGCTTATATAAGGTATAATTTAAAACAAAAATTCTTTAAACTATGATTTTTTACACTTTGATTATAAGTAAGAGAGCTACAAAGAATGTACAAAATTTTCTTTCATACCTGTAGGAAATCTGTTGGATAATAGGTTAGGGCTATATATTCTAAATCCAAAACTTTCAGGGCAATGTCATAGGTTCTGGAAGATACTAACGATTGCGATAAAATACTGATTATTTTAGTAATTTCTTCAGCATGCAAAAGAGGAAGCCTGAAAAGAAAATAAGTATATCCATTATAACCTATGAATCACTAAATGAAGAATCTATAAGTAACTAAAATGCTTAGTAATCCAAACAGGTTAAAAATAAATATGTAGGCTATGTGAGCTAAAAATATAAAAAAATGTGAATAAAGCACAAACAGAAGTACAGAAATGGACATATTAGAGTTTTAATTAGAAAAACAATAACCTTCCTCGGTGTCTAAACACCAAACGATGGTAGAAAAGTAATGAATTACATTTGCAAAAAAACATGCAATTAAACTACAGAACAGAACCCGTTATTCGGAAATCAGAAAACCAAAAAACTGGAACGAAATTCGATAAATTTTCCCGCCATTAAAAACAATTTTTTTTCTTCCTCATAAGACTTTAGGATTTTTCTTTCTTTTTTGAAAGATGTTTACCTTACCATCATTTTGGATATAGTCATTAGTAGAGCCCGGATTTTGATGACCTAAAAAGTCTTAACTAATACCCTTAAAAAGTGCAAAAAATGCCCTTAAAAAGTGTGAAAAATGCCCTTAAAAATGCGCTAAATATGCCTTATGACATGACTTAAATAAAGTTAAAATATTAAACTAAAACAATGTTTTACTCTTTAAAATTATTATGAGTTATTTCAAAAAATATAAAGCAATGCAATACTTGTTCTACGTCCATTAAAGTTTGAAAAATATGTTTTATATCTTAAAATAACAAAAAAAGAGGAAAATATATTGACTACAAAGCATTTTCATTTTGTATAGAAACTTTAATGAATATAGCAACTTCCATCTCATAATATTACTGAATATCAGAATTACATTGGATTATTCAAAGTTTTTTGATATTTTAAAATGTAAACGAGCGTCTCTTGTTTGAAAGTAAATTTTTATTCCTGGAGAAGAAAATTTCCTAGAAAATTGTAATGTTCCAAACTATACAAATCAGAGAAAATGGGAAAGCTGTAACAAAGAATTACTTCTAAAGATTTTATATCAATCAATAATATAATGAAAAAACATAATGACATGCAGGTGGGAGCTGCAATATGAAATTTAAAATTATGAGACAAGTGTTGCATTTCATGTAATAAAAATGCCCCAATAAATAATGAAAATTGGAAAAAATTAACAAAAGGCTTAAAAAATGCTTTAAAAGGCAAAATACGCCCCAAAATTTTAAAAAATGCCCTATAAATCTAAAAAAAATGCTCTAAAGGTCAAAAGATGTCCAAAAATGCAAATGTCATCAAAATCCAGGCCTTAGTCATTAGTGTATTACTTCATCGTTTTTTCTTCTTTTTAAGATTATTTCGAAATATTTTTTTTTATGTGGGTTTAACAATAAAAAAAACGTCTTTTTGTAGCGATTCAGAAAACNTTAAAAACCCAAAATTTTGGTGTAAGCTATAATAAATATAAATAAAAAGCTATTTTTAGCTATTTAAAACAAAATTTAGTTATCATAAATATAAGGTAATTAAGTAAAAATAAACATAATATAAGTCTTCCATCTATTATGTTTTCTGATATTAAATCCACTTTCTGACGCGTCATGCCAAAAAACAGTTTTTGACGTCAAAAACCCAACTCTGGTTAATTCAGAAAAAGTATGTTTCTATGTCTGATATATTAAATTTTAAAATTAAAGTTTCGAATGAATAAGAACAAGAAAAATTTGCACAAATTAGATTAGCAGCAAAAAAGATGTAAGTAAAAACAGCTTATATAAGGTATAATTTAAAACAAAAATTCTTTAAACTATGATTTTTTACACTTTGATTATAAGTAAGAGAGCTACAAAGAATGTACAAAATTTTCTTTCATACCTGTAGGAAATCTGTTGGATAATAGGTTAGGGCTATATATTCTAAATCCAAAACTTTCAGGGCAATGTCATAGGTTCTGGAAGATACTAACGATTGCGATAAAATACTGATTATTTTAGTAATTTCTTCAGCATGCAAAAGAGGAAGCCTGAAAAGAAAATAAGTATATCCATTATAACCTATGAATCACTAAATGAAGAATCTATAAGTAACTAAAATGCTTAGTAATCCAAACAGGTTAAAAATAAATATGTAGGCTATGTAAGCTAAAAAAAAAAATGTGAATAAAGCACAAACAGAAGTACAGAAATGGACATATTAGAGTTTTGATTAGATAAACAAGAACCTTCCTCGATGTCTAAACACCAAACGATGGTAGAAAAGTAATGAATTACATTTGCAAAAAAGCATGCAATTAAACTACTTTGAAAAGTTGCACTTGCAAAGTGGTAACTACCATCATTCAATAATGAAAAGAAATATAACTATCATGACTAACTAATAAAAAAATTTAATTAAAATTAATATTTAAAATACTAAACAATTATTTAACAATTATTAAGTATTTTTTTAATTTTGTCAACTCATTTTTATTACTTAATTATCTAATCTCTTTATAGAAAGAAAATGCATTTTTTTGGGCAATTTTTTAACATGTATTTTTATATTTAAAAAAACAAACAAATGGAGTATTAAACAATTTAAAAAAAAATAGTTTAAATAAAATGGAACGCTGAAATTATTTTACACTATTTTATCAAAAGTCTCGTTAAGAAAAGTTTTTTTTTTTTTCAAAACATTGTTGTGTATAATATTTAGAGTATTACAAATATACTAATTTTGCAATTTTACTTTTTGTATAGAAGTGATAAAAAGAATTTTATTTCCATTACATAGTTTTTTTTTTCATTTACGAGTTGATAGGAATTTATCTAATTAATATTTCTCACTATAGAATTTCCGAGTGCTGCACAACCATCGCTCTGAATTTTAAAATGGATACCTTTATTATTTTGTGACCCTTTAATATATGACCATAATACAACTTTATGATAAGTATAGAATTGTGTGGGTGTTTCTTTCTTTGCCATCTATGTCTTACTTTTCCAAAAATTACTTTTGTCTAAAATTGAGAAACAGAAAAAAAATAGATTACATCACGTTTTAAATATGCTATGCCTCTTTCCTGCTAAATGACACTGCCTAGATAATGTCGGGACACAGTCTAACATGATCTGGTAGCTATATTCCATAACACTCCCAGTCAAAATTCATGGAAGATAGGTTACAGTATCTCAATTATCAACGATAGGCACACAAGCCTAAAGCATAACAGAGAAATATAAGGAAAATTTTATTTGTAATTCCTGCTATTAAATCTGATCCGTTAAATTAATTGCAAAAAATTTGAAACATATTCCTAATCTTCCTTGTTGTTTTAAATTTCCGAAGGTTTCTCAGTATTGGAAAGTCATAATATTAATTTGTTGCTATAAAAAATATTTCAGTATAAAAAAAAAGAAAATTTTTTTTCCATCATTTCTATAAATATCTAATTTTATCCTATCAGGATTTTTGCATATTTCCATAGAATAAAAAATTTACACTCAAAAATATATCTTTTTTACAATAAAAAAATTTATTCTTTAATGTAAAAAAAAAGCTAAAGATCTGATAAAATTAAGCTAAAGATCTAATTTATCCTGCAGATCCTTTTATATTCCTTGAGCCTCTGAATCAGCAACAGACAGAAATTGAACCCTATTCAACTCTTGAAACCAGTGCGACGGCGATCACTGGTCAGACCCTCTGGTCCTATCTCTGATCACAGATCAGAGGTAGGAAGAAACAAGTGTGCATGCGTTAAGTCACAGCAACATGCAAATTGTTGCTGTTGCAGTCGGTATGAAGGCCCCTTTAATGTTTGCATTTCATTCCTTATAAAATTTCTAAGTATTACGTACATTTAAAATAAACAAATTAGTCCAATAACAATTAACATACCTCTTTAAAATGCGTCTGAATTCTCGTCGTCTAAATACACCAAAAAAGTAAATGAGCTCCATCCCAAATATTTCTAAAGCTTGTTGAGCATAAACAATTGCCCAGTATGTGTTTTGCAGAAGAAGACAAGACTTAAGTAGAATGAAAGAAAGAACATGTGAATTAGATATATATGTTACCATGAATGACCTAAATCAAGAGAATGTCTGAAATATTTGTTATATCTGATTAATTTATGCGTTGATATTATTATATTTATTCAATATTTTTATATCTACTGAGGATATATTAGGAGAAACATCAGCATAGCTGCCAACCTTAGGAATAAAAAATTAGGAACACTATATGCGACAAAATTAAGCACCAATTATGAGAGTAAGACAAAAATTTAACAATTGAATATTAACATTAATTGACAAATATTTAGGTAAGTACCTTAAGTAAATTAGTAAAACAAAACTATAACAGCTATTGGAATAGTATTTTAAGCTACTAAAAATTACTTCTGTACAATAATCACAGGAAGCTTGTGGCGATCAGAACTAGGGTTTGATTTCAAAGCAAAAATACTGCAATTTTAGGAAAATTCGGATTTTTAAAAAAAATATCAGATTTGATTTAAAAATTAGGAACAAATCCGAAAAATTCTGAACAGTTGGCAACTATGCATCAGTCCGAAGTACCGGCTAAATGCATACTGAGCAGTGGTACTCAACAGTAAAAAACATTGATGTAGGGCATAACGGGCAAATGTATATTGGGCAGTGACATTTAACTAAACCTAGTAAATATTTCAGACAGCAACAATGTGATTGTCATCATTTACCAGTGGAAGCTGACTCAATTATTTGTATCTTACACAGGGGAACAATTTTCTTTGTTTTCTTTCGCCTAAGATTTTTAAGGGATTTTGGATGGGTTTGAAGTCACTTCACTGATTTCTTACCTACAATCGGTTTTTCTCTACATGCTACAGTATTTTTCTTAAAATACATTTTTGGTCTATTTCATGCTGAAATGTACAAGTTTGAAAACCTTATACATAAATGGAGACACATAGACGTTGCTAAAATTTTTTACGGGAGTTTAGGGGCCATCGTCAAGACAAAAACTGCATAGGAACTCATACCCGGAAATATCATACGTCAATAGCTTCCCTATTATGAACTATTTTTCTGAGTGCTTCTGAACAGGTCATGAAAAAGAAGTGCCCTTAGCAATGTACAACAATCCAAGTTTCTTTTTTCTTTACTTCCATGATGATAAAAATGCAATCTTAGCACACAAAAAAAAAAGTCATGAAGACGATTTATTTAAATGCAAATGAATTAAACCAGTTCATTTTTTGCAAAAACTTTAAGTATCATTATTGAACTTTACACAGTGATTCCATAGAAGCACTATATTACATCACCTTTAAGCACTTTTAAAAAACGCTACGCACCTTGTTGTTTTTGTTAATGATTTATAATTTTGTTAGTTTATACTAATTAGCTTTAAAGCTTGAATTTAACCTACATATATGACTTCATTGAAAATTAACTTATTGATTGAAATTTTACCTAACATAAACTGACAATGCTCAACACTAAAATTTTAAGCTTCGTATTACATGAAAAAAAAAATCAAAGGATGGTTGAAACTATGCCTGAACAAGGTTAAAAAATTTTCTGACCTTTTCCTGATTTCACCAGATTAAATTTTTCAAATTCTCCTGTTTTTTGTAACCATTTGCATAAATTTAATTGGTAATTTTTCAGTTAAGCCTTATTATTACGCATAAAATGCATTACAAAACACTTATACTTGCAATTAAAGTTGAAATTAAACACATTTAAAAAAAATAAATACGACAAAGACAAAAAATAATTGTGACACAGAAAATTCAAAATAATTATGATTGACTCTTCAAAGTAATTTATTTTTCCTGACTATTTGAATATTTTAATTGAATTTCCTGACTCCAGATTTATGATAAAATTTTCTGATTTTTACCAGTTCTGTGGCCACCCTGCAGATGCAAAAACAAAAAAATAACAATGAAGAAATAAAACAAACAAAAAAGAAAGGCCACAGATACCTCTTGAAATATGAATGCTGCTAACATTGATTTAACTTTTTTTTTAATTATATGCTTAATATTTTTTTTTAATATAATATTTCTTGCTAAAGAAATTTTAAAATGTATATTACTACTGCTTGAGTTCTCTTCATAGAAGCCCTAACTACATCTTGGTCAAAGTGCCTCTCCTCTGGATTTGAACTTTCTCGAACAAAAGCATAAACATCTGGAAGCATACTTTCAGCAGTTTCAGCACAATATAAGGCCTAGGGAAAAAAATTTGACTAATTTATAATAAACTTTTAAACTGATGCTTCTTTTTAAAATTATTTTAATTTTAACCCAGACAAACAGTACAAAACTGAGCAATGTTACTGCAAATAAGTTTTTTTTTGTAAATCTGAAACATGCTAAGGATTCTTAGTTTCTTCTTTTTATTATTACTTATGTGATAAAAATTCAATTAGGTAAGTGAGAATTTACCAAGTACACCTAATTTATTTAGAACACAGTAGTAAATTGGACTCAGGATTTCAAATTTTACATCTTGTTGTTGTTTCTAATGCCACTTGATACACTAGCAAGCCTGCATGGTGAAACCGAGCAAATTAAAGGCAGAGAGTGCATTTCTTGTTTTTCAGTGGCACTATCTATGGCTAAGAATTCGTCTTCAGCCACACACCCGTTTATAGGGCGGACCCATTCATACATCCACAGATCATAATTTTCGACCTGGATCAGAGAACCGTCCAATCTAGTACCGGCAGATGTATTGATTTGTAATGTGAACATGGAGGACTTTGCAACTTGACAGATTTAACGTGCATCAGTGACCATTTACTACACGGGGAGACTTCGGCCGGCGGGGTTCGAACCCACGAACTCTGACCAGGTTATCCCAGAAAAGATTTACATCTGAAAGAGCTCTATTAATAGTGAACGTATTCAAAGCTCAAGAAAATGAAATTCACATAGAGAAGTTATAATTTTTCTTTAAACTTCGTGTGTAAATTTTACTTTACACTAGCAGGCAAAAAAGAAAGATATTTAATATTATATTTTTTGTTTACTTGGAAAAATGATTGCCAGAATCCCTTGTTATTATCCATCACCCGTTTTTTTAGAAATAAATTAAGTAAGAGCTTTAGTGGAAGATACTGGGCATGATACTCTGAGAAATTTAAAAAAAAATTATAAAATAGAAACTAATTGACTGATGTCGTTAAAATTTTTCAGTTCGCTATTTAAAATTACATTCTTTAGAATAATGTATAACGTGTATAAATCACAATTCAAAATTTTTTTACTGTTGTTAATTAAAATAACAAAAAACTGTTACAAATTATTTTTGCCTAGAACTATCTTTGAATTAACAAACTTTATAATTGGGCACAAAAGTTTTAAATTTTCTTAGAAAGTTTTTGAGAAATGGCAAAATACGTAAATCTAACATTTAGGCGATCAACTTTTGACCTTTTTCCTGACCTAACTACAAAGACCATATTTTCTAGATTATCGCCAATCCTATATTTTGAGGGTCATGAACCAAAATTTATAAAAAAAAAGGTATATTTACTCAGAGAGAGTGTGTTTTTGTACATGGGTGAAGACGCAATCAATCGAAATTTAAAAGTTAGATAAAAAGTTATACAAGGTCTCTGGCTTTCTTTTTTTTTGCACTGAATGACATTTTTTGCAGCATAAAATTATTTTGCCATTGTATTGAATTTAGATAGGAATAAATACTAATAAAAATAATAAATAAGGTCACCTGCACAGGATAGTTAATGTCATTCCATGCTTGAGCTGATTTTTTAAGATAGTAAGCACCAATCAACTTAATACCCATGGAACAGTAGACAAATGAGATTACTTTGTAAAGTCTTGGTCTCAAAAGTAAACAAACACATTCTTTGAAAGATGTCTGAGAAGGCTGACTGGAATATAAAAAAAATTAAATAAATCACTACATCGTAGAATTAACACCATAGAGTTAAATGTTTTTACTAGATTTCAGCAATAAATTGAAATTATCAAAGTGTCCAGTCATTTTGTTACTGACCTGTGGTATGTCAGATACGCCAAAAATCCTTGAGGGACGTGGACAAAAAAGTTATTAATTTCTAAGTTAAAACTGCACTCATAGAAATTTTATTTGATAGAAAACATGTAAATTCCCATTGGCAAAATTGCTAAGGTCAATATCATCAAAGTAATTGTAAAAGGTCAAGTAGATTTTAAAAATGCTATGATGCAGGAACGGTTTTGAAACTATGTATTGTGCATGGCTCAGAACCAATCCAAACTTCGGAGAGATGAAGTAATAATTTTAAAATTTTGCATACATATTGTTGTTAATTAATGATAACTTTTAAGTGCCACTCCCAGGTTGGTTCAAAAAGTCTATGATATTTAACAATTTATTTAATCTTGAGCTGTTTTTAGACAATTTCTTCCAATCATCCTCACTTGTAGAGGCAGAAGATTTTTCAGAAGAATACTATATCAAATTTAATTTCTATAAATTTGAGTATTTTTTATAATACTTATTGTTAAACAATTGTTTTGGTAATTTTTAGTTTCTTCCAGAAAAAATGCAAACACCGTTTAACATAGATATTGATGCGAAAAAATATTTCCATGCAATTTAAAAATTGCAGATTTATGATTAATTAAAATGAAACCGATTCCCATTAGCAATATGAAATTATATAAAATAATTTCGTTAAAAAAACTAAGTTTTGTTCTTTTCAAAGAAAACCATTTGGTTTAAATGAGCCAACCCTGAAGCATGCTTTTGTTTTCTTTATTTAAAAGAGAATACATTTGTAACTTTTAACAGTTAACCTAGAAATAATGCAACAATAAAAAGATAAATATCTGCCTTAGAGCAAAAATAATTAGAAACGCATTAAAGTCTTTATTAACGAAATTTTTCCCCAAGCCATATTTATATTTTATTCATACCATAAAATATTTTAAGCAATACTGTAAAACTAAACTTACAGTGTCATTTCATCATATTTTTCTGCCATTTGAACTTTTTTGGACATTTTAATCTTGCAATAATGGCAAAATTGCCCCGACGTTTCCAACGTACGAGCAATCTCTAAATGCATTGCTTCACATTGTTCCGCTGTCATGAAAGCCTTAATCCATTGTCTAAAATAAAATAAAAAATATGTTAAGAAAAAATAAAATAATGTTTTAAAAAACTATTGAAGCAACATTTTACAAAATTATACTTGAACAAAGTAAATTTAACTGACAGTAAATAAGTCAACAAAAAAAACACCAACTTCCAAAATAAAAGTTTATGTTACAACTTGTCAACATTTTAACAGAGTTGTACTTTTTAGTGCGTGCACAAAACAATTGGATACTTGCACTTCAAGAAGAAAATCTCGAATACCTACACATATGACCTATAACATCAGTGACATCTGATAGTTAAAAGCAAACTGGTGTGTTAAAGTTGAGTTAAGTTTCTCCACATGAGTCAGAATTTTAATTAAACACAGCATCGAATTTATCGAAAATTTTTCTTGTTTAAGTCTTTTACTTAACTTAGATTTATTATTTGTTTATGTATTTTATTGCAACCATATTATATTTTTGTTTTGTGTACCTGGCAACTTGGTGTTTGTTAATATGACTTCATACCTGTCTTTGCGTTAAATAAGAAATGTATGGTGAAAGAAATGAAATGATTGTGAAGAATTCTTTGGGAAAGAAACTAGATTATGTCACTTAAGAGAATTGATATTTGATGGGCTTGGCTTTAAATCACTGGCTTCCGCTAAGCCAATGAAAATTTTCCATTTTTGAATTTATTCCATGTTTCTGAATTAAAAGAAGGAACAAAATTATTCTGAAGTATAACTGAAAATAATTTAAAAAAACAAAAACCTGGATTCATAATTTCTTTACAATTTTACTCATTCAGATTCATTTTGAATCTTGTATTTTTAGAGCTTAACGGTAAACAAAAATCCAGTATACAGACACACACGCAAATTATTATATTTATAGATAATTTTGCTGCTTATTTCGGTGGCTTTACGCTATGATATTAAGCAACACACTTTTTGGTATTTCATCCCATCAAAATATAGACTAGTTGTATTCGATATCATCTGGCATAATGTTGTTGCTCGGGGAAACTCGTAATATGTATTTAAAAATTTTCTCAATCAAGCTATTTTCTCCTGTAATTATACCTTGGAAGGACTGTAAAAAAATCTGTCATGAAAATTTATAGTATTTGGTGCAGCTGTAATCGGCATCAAATTTAACCCATTTTTCAACCCAATCCAGAAGATAAGGAAACTCCTGGATCAAGTATAGGGAGAAATTTGCCTTCATGGAGGACTGTTTGATAGGATTTACATGGAGAGGAAAACCATCAAAACCTTCCGCAATTAGCCTGATGGCAAGGGAATTGTAAACCATTATTCCGTCTATTGCTGAGGATGTTTTATGTCAGCACTGTGGTCGGTGCGAACCGGGTGCGGAATTCGTATCAACCAGTCATCCCTGGGAATCTGTTCAACTCATTGGAAGGGGAACGCTCTATCCTTGGACCCACCATGGCTCCGCTCCCCCCTCCACATTAATAGATGGATCTAGCATTTTAATATTAAACAAGCATAATTTTTCTATTTCTTGTTGTTTTAAATATCGTGGAATTTAATTTCAACTACGCTTTTAAAAATGAATATCAAACTATTATTCTTGGAAAACTGTACCTTAAAAGCTCTGTACGAAATGTGAGGCATTGATGAAGTCCAACTGGCTTCGTAGGGGTTTTATAATTTCTCATAATTTGCAAATTATTNCATCTTCATTTATTTCTACAATATAATAACTTAATGACAATTTTATCATTTTGTTTAGAAAAATCAATATTTTAATTCTCAAAGCAGTATTTAGCAATACATTTTCATCAGATTTTTAATTGTTAAGTAAACCTCGATAAAAATTTTCATACCAAGAACAGTACTGTAGTTAGATACAGATTTTAATCTAAAGTATTTACAACTATTAGGTGAATAAAAACCGGGATTTTTAATTACAAAAAACAGTTTTGATGGAGTTTTTGATGAAAAAAATACAGGCTTTTTTCAGGTTTTTTAAAAAATAGTTTAAGTTTTGTTCTAAATTTTTTAATGAGATGACAGAATTTGTTCCGAATATGAAATTTAAATATTTGGTAACTATTTATAACTTGTTTTGTTGCAATGTAATCATTTAAATTTCTACAATTAGTTTTATTTCTTAATGACAAACACGTTACATAAAAAATTAAATTTACTCAATTAAAATATCTCACATTTTTTATTGCATTAACACAGGTTTAGTTCCAAACTCTATTTGCATAAAATTATATATCATGTTAACCTTCAACTGTTTGTTTAAATGACAATAATTTACAATTATTTTGCTTATGAAAATAAACCAATTGCTCTGGTATAGTATATTCTGAAAAAAAATCTACCTTGGAAAAAAGTGGATTTTTTCAAGTGGGCCAACCATAAAAACCCGGGCGGATTTTTTCAGGTCAGGCCCACTTTAACTAACTCTAGATATAATGCTCACTATCTTTAGTTATACTAAATTTAAACTAAGTAATTGCCTGCCTCTCTGGTTCTTTAAGTTTCTTTTGCTCTCTGCGTCTGTTCTCAATACGGTTCTTCCTATTTACCATGGTAGTTGTCTTTTAATCTTGCCATTTGAAATTTTTAAAAAATATTTACAGCTTAAATTGGTATATTTATATAAATTTGTGATTCGTTTCATGTTATCAATTGGATAACGTTAACAACAATACTCTCTTAAGTAATTACATTAAGCGGAGACAATTGTATTTCTTAACAATGCATGAAATTGCACCAAACGCACTTACCTGTTCAGAAGATAATTTAGTTATTACTGTCTCAATCAAACGTTGAGTAAAATTGCTTCCCATTAAAGCTGCACACTTCAATATCAATCGATCTTGTACAGGCAAATAATTTAAAGTGGATTTAACAGCATCTACATAAATAATGTTAAGCACTTTTTTTAAGAAATTACATGAATTTTTAAAAAAACATGCAAAATATAATGTTTTTTTTGTTTAAATTCTAAATAGAATTTCACTCCTATGAATCTCCTCTTAATAAGCTTGACCAGCCGAGACTAAAATTTTATAGATTTTTTTCATACTTTCTAGAGTAGATTTTTTCCTAGTTTCTCTTTTGAAGACAGCAGACAAAATTTCCTAAAAACTAATGCACAAATTTCACTAAATTTTTGAAGATTTTTCCCAAATTGATTTAACTAAATATTGAATAAAGAGTTTCTTAAAGTACAATTTATTATACAAGGCAACAGCTGGGTTAAATTTTAATAAACATATAATACTTCTTACATACTACTCTACCAAAAAGCTATAATTTCTTTCAATTTGTCTGCGACCGATTAGAAAACCATGGTCTGACTTTCCATTGGCCATAGAAGAATACTATGATATACTTGTACGTATATATTTTTTTAAATCAAAAAATGGTCTTTTTCAGGCTTCTTAAGGAGATAAAAAAAAATATTAACAAAAACCATCATTATTTTTCCTACATGAAAAATCGTTCAAGTATAACGGGGTAAAAATGATTTTGTTTATGTATAATAAAAAAAATATACTTACCACTCACAGTATCAGGAACTTTGAAAGATTTTAAGTCTGTTATTCCAGGTTTGAGATCCAACAAAAATAATTCCTAAAAATAAAAAAAAAATTTATTAAAAGTAGTACCAAAAAATATCAATAAGTTTAATATAAAAATGAAACAAAAAATGTGTACATGGTAATACAAAATTTAGATTTTAACTTTTTATTACTTACACACATCAATTGAGTTTAATTGAAAACAGATTTAACTTAGGGCAAGAAATAATATATTATACTTGCTTAGTTTTATTTAATTTTTCTATTTTAACCACTGTGTTTGATTTTGTTTTTCTATTTTTTAAAAAAAAGAGGATATAATAATTATGTCATTAAATATTTTAATGTTGAAGATTATTGTAGTACAAAAAATCAGTGGAGGAAAACAAGTTTGCTTGCTTTTTTAACTCATATTTATCACTATTTTCTGCAATATTATTTAAAATGATGAGCAGACAGGGTTGCCACTCAAATCTGGAAAAAAATTCACTGTGTTTTCCCTGTGCATGTTATACGAAATATATTAAGAGGAAATAACACTTACTGTGCTCTTGTGTGAGCTATATTGGGCTAACTATATTTATTAGTTTCAATTACTGGAAAAACAGCTGAACATACTTAAATAACGCTATGGAAAATGAAATAGTTTAGTATAGCTGAAATATCATGGTTAAATATCCCATAGATTACGCTTTGAGTGGTCACCATTTTTTAAATGACCAAAACAAAAAAAACAAAATTACCTCTATTTTCCCAGTTTGAAAAAAAAAATCAAAATTCCCTGCATTTTCCCTGTTATTTTAGGTGATTTTCAAATTTCCTGTATTTTCCAGGTTTTCCCCTTTTAACCACCAGGAAAATAGTCATGATATGTAGATTTTTACTGCATTAACAGGGAACAGGGATGAAATTAAATTAGGACTAATATATTCAATACTTAGGGACTTACTAATTAAAAATTTGGGACTTATTAGGGATCTAAAAAGCACCCACAAATATTTATACAAATAAAATAACAAATCGAATGCATTTTATAATGGTAGAAAAACTAATTTTTTTCATGCTTAATGAGAAATTTTTTTTTACAGAATTATTTACAAATTTAAGTGTTTTAAGACAGAGTAAAAATATCATCCATAATTATAAAACTAGAAATAGTATGATTTATTGATATGTGTTTCAGTGGCACAAGATGCACCTTCATTAGTAGGATAAAATTGTACGGACAACAAACAGAAATGAAACAGTTGGACAAAGGTTATGTCAACTGACGAAATAAACATACATTTAAAAGTGTGAAAACATTTAAAGGTAACTTTTAAGAAGCTAAAAAATGAGTAATTTCTAGTTATTTAATAAATGTGGTACAACTGTGAGATTAGTAATTATTGAATTTTTATTTTGATGATATGAAAGGCCTCCCAGAAATCTGGGTCAAAACATGAAATACATTCATGAGGTGGTGAAAATCGGACAAAGCATATTTAATGTGTTTAGTGTAGGAAAGACCAAATTTCAGGGTTGAGCTTTTGACACGTTAGTGAAAAAATGTTAGTGCAAAAAAGTTTCCTTTTGTTACAGTACAGCAGACAAAAAACTTAACAAAATTTTCCTTACAACCGAAAATTAATTTGGCTATTAAAAATATAATTTATACAATCATTTTAAGATACTATCAAAAAATAAATTATTAAAAGTTCTGATACGTATCAAGTTTTGATTTGCGACAAAATTAAAAATCAAAATTTCACACTTATAAAGTATTAAAAATATGTTTAAAAGATGTGCCAAACAAATTTATTTCTTATTGATATCTAATATTACCAATATTTTATTAGATACCAGCATATAATCTTGAAATATTTATCAAATATTTATAACAAAAGATAAACCATTTGGATTTATTTAATTTTAAAGCTTTGATTTAATTGAAATTCTCATTAATCTAAACCACAATTGCATACAAAATTGCATTTTAATGAGATTAGTTATTGGGTCAAACATGCAATATGAAGTGATTAGTGATGCACATTTTCAGTTACCTAGCTGTAAAAATACATTATAATATTTATCCATAATATTAAGGGAGTTTTTGCCAAATATTATTTTTAGCTTTTTATCTTTGAATTTTATGTTTTAAGATACACTTTCTAATTTAATTAGTGAAACAAAAATACAATGTTACCAAAGATTTAAATTTTTGACATGACCGTGAAAACCATGGTAGTAGAAACCGTCATGCGCAGAGGCTGACAAGTTTTTGAGAATTTTTGGTTTTATTGAAATTTTATGAAGATTATCCTTCCCTTAAGTGCTTTTTGCAAATGATGCAATTTCACGTTACTTCATGTCAACTCTAAGACTTTGGCTCTTGGTTTACAGTCTTAATATTTGTTCTTCACATAACCAAGTGAAGTATGAAATCAATTACACTAAAGCTATAGCTCAAAATAAAGGTTTTCCTCCCGAGACAATCAGTTTAACTGTTAAAAAGGTATCTGAGCATATTTAGTGTATCAAATATGAACCCTGTTATCTCTGGTGTCCTTCCGTTTTTTTCTTTCAAGAATCAGCTTCTGAATGCCATAAATTTATACAAAACTCTTAATTCCAAGTGATATTTACTCAGTCAAACATATTACACTCACTAATACAGCTCATGAGCTGTTTAAACAACTATGGCATTTATAAAATTTCATGTGAATTTGGAAGGGTTGACAAGATTTTTGACACATCCAGGCTTGGGCTTTTGAAGTCAAAGACAGGTTTTTGACATTGAGCATCAAAAACCTGGCAAAAACTGTTCTAAACTGTCGAAACCAGACAATAAACCTACAACACAATGCTGGGATAGCCTGGTTGGTAGGACACTGGGCCTATGTTCAAGAGTTCTTGGGTTCAATCCCTGCCTGCCAAAGACTCCCTGTGTAGTAAATGGCGACTGAAACACATTAGATCTGTTGAGTCACAAAGTCCTCCATGTTCCCATAACAAATCATACCTTTGGGGGTACTGATAAAGGAGTTTCATTGTTTTCTGGATTGGTTCATAATTACAAGGCTACGGAGTTGAACATAAGTAGTCGTAAATCCAAAATTGGGTCGGCTGTTCAACGACGGATATGAAAAAAATAATAAAAAACCCTGAAACAAATTCCTTTTTTTATCATTGGAGACATTTTCTTAGGTGTTAAATTATGATTTAATCAAATTGATTCAATAACATAATTGATTGATCACTTGTAATTTTATATGTACTTTTATTTATAAATTCTTCCTATTCATAATAGCTAATAATTATTTCTTACACAAAAATTTTGGGTTTTTGACATTCGCCAAAAAGAGGGGTTTTGACATGATGATTTAAAAATATATCAAATCAAATAGTTTGAGAACATTTTCAAAAAATTTTAATTAAAATTGTACCAAATCAAGTGGGACAAAAACTGTCTCATAAAATTTCAATTCAAAAACATACCAAATCAAATACATTCAGAATAAATTTTTTCATTAAAATTTATTCTCCTAAGTGTGAGAGTGAGAAAAAATAAACTTCTTTTAGCATAATTGAAAAATGAAAAATAAATTGCTATAGTTTGTACAGTATTAAATTATCAATTAGAATAATTTACATCATCCTTGTAGGTTGCAGAAATAGAGAAGTCAGAGATAAAAAACTTCTCCTTGTTAATTTCATTTATGTCTTTGTAAGGAACTAAAACTGTATAGTCAGATAAATATTCGGATAAGCAAGCTTCATTCAAAAGTTCTAAATCACCATCAGTTTCTTCAGTAAGGTGTCTAAAAATTTATACAGAATCCAATTAGCATTTCTAAAATATATTGATTTCAGTTTAAGCTACATTTATTTCAGTTATGTTAACCAAAAAAATTTTCAAACATTTGAAAAGAAAAAAAAAACTCTGGCAAGCTAAGTACCCTCAGAGAGTCAGAGGTAAAAGAAAAATAGCAGGACTTCAGACGTTGGATTTTGGAGGAAGAGGTTGAAACTTACATGGTGCTATTCAAGGTGTTATATAAGGGAATAATAGGAGTTGGGATAGCCTGGTTGGTAGGGGCGTTGGGCCTCCATGTCCAAGAGGTCGTAAGTCGGTCCCCACTGGCCAAAGACTCAATGTGCAGTAAATGGTAACTGCTGCATGTTTAATCGGTAGGGTCACAAAGTCCTCCATATTCCCACAACAAATCGCACCTCTGGCGGTACTGAATTGGTGATAGGTGTTCTCTACTTCAGATCAAAATTATAATCCGTGAATTAATAAATGGATGTAAGAATGGGTCAGCCCAATAAATGGGCAGTACCATGTGTGTAGCTAAAGGTCGTATTCTTGACCATAGATGGCGCCACTGAAAAACGAGAAATGCACCTTTTGCCTTAAATTTGCTTGATTTCACCAAGCAGGCTTGCTAGTATTAGCAAATGGCATTAGAAACAACAACAGGGAATAATTTTTGCAACAATATTTCACAGTGTCTTAAAGTATCCAGAGACAATAGGTCAATAATTAAACATTCATTTTTGCATTAATAATGTTCTCAACATTCGTCATTTTCCATTAAAATTTCATAAAATAATGTGAAAGTTTGATATTTTTTTAATGAATAGCTTTTGCATATAAGAGTGAGAAGTTGAAATTTTTTTGAAACTGCAATGACAGAGACAGCTGCATTTTTTTTTAAATACAGAGAGGTTTTATTCAGATAAAAATAGAGAGAAATTATACGTAAATAAATGATATATATACATATATGAAAGTAGCGCAGATATGTGTTGTAGAACTGAACCTTTACTAGTGTTAGTTAAAAAATATTGATCAAGAAATGAGTTTCCTCTGAGTTTAATAGATAAACATATATTAGATTAAAAAATAATATTTATATAAATGTTCTACTAAAAGGGAGTGACGTAAATGTTTCATACTTTTGTAAAATGCACAGTGCAGAAATCTAATGATCGGAACCTCAATCTCAAAATGGTTTGAAGGACTGACCTCAAATATTCTTATTATTTAGTTCAGATGATATTTCAATTTAGAAAATCATACACAAAAACAGACTATCTCAGAACAAACCTATCTTTTTTGGATGGATTTCTCACCCCCAAAATATAGGGAGTGGCGCACAACCTGGGAAATATAGTCCCATGTCGACCAGTAAATAGACAGGTCTTAAAGTTTAAACCTTTTGATACTAATTTTACTTTTAACATATTTTGCTATATCTTAAAAATTTCCAAAGCAAGTCAAAATTAGTTTGAACACAACTACAAATTATCTAAAGGTAATTGCAGGCAAAAAATAATTTTTTAATGTTATATTTAATAATAGTCCAAGAAAATTTTGATTTATAAGGTCAAAAGCTTTTTACATTATTTTAAAGAATGTTACTTTGTGTAGTAATATACAATTGATACTTGAATTGTAGTAATGAAAAATACAATTCCAGACAAAAAATAATTTTAAATTTTATATTTAATAATAGTCCAAAACATTTTGAATTGTAAGGTTCAAAATTTTTTACATCATTTTAAAGAATGTTACTTTGCGCATTTAAATAAATTCGGCAGAAAAGTTTCTGAGAGAACAATTTCCATAAAATTTGACTTAGCAGGAAGTTTTTGAATGGCTACCCCCTAAATTATGAGGATCAGAAATACCAATCCGTTGAAAAAGAGGAATATTCTTTCAGGAAAATATGTTTTTGCATCTGATTTCATAAATTATAATATCATCTGCACTAATTACACGTCTAGATGAGTATTGGCGAACTCTGAAACCAATAAAGTATTAAATTTAAGAATTAAAATAAAAAGCTACAAACAATGATAAACTAATAAAATATTCACACCTTTAAAAATTTATAAAATGCAACAGGCTTTATAATTAGCAGTTGCTATTTTTTTTAAAAATGAAATAAAATACTTACAAAACAATTGCTTTATGAACGCCAATAAGATTTAAAAACCAGCAAATAAGAGGTGCACAATATTTCTCACTTTTTGCAGGTAAGTTGATGTGCGTGTGCGCTTTAAGATAGAGCAGGCTGGCAGATACGGAGGGTTCTTTAAAATATTTACTCATGCTCATCACAATCAAAACATTTTCAGTCTCAGCTAACATGTGAAGCAAATGAAATGACTCCTCATCCATGTAATCAATTTCGTTAATAACCAGCATCGTGTAATGCTTTTTACACACCTGCAGAAAAGTTCATTACAGATACTACAACAAGAATAAGTAATTCATAAATGAGTTAGAATGAGAAATGAGTAATTCATAAATGAGTTAGAATGAGAAATGAGTAATTCATAAATGAGTTAGAGTGAGAAATGAGTAATTCATAAATGAGTTAGAATGAGAAGTGAGTAATTCATAAATGAGTTAGAATGAGAATTGAGTAATTCATAAATGATTTACAATATGAATTATTGAGAACAAAAAAGTTTTAAATTGATGTGAAGAAATGATATCATCATATGTAAGAAAATCTCATCATATGTGTCTAAAAAATTACCTGTTTGTACATAACTTGAAAAAGTTCTAATATAGCAGAATTTCTGTATTTTCTAATTGTATTAGACATCCTTGGAGGAGAGAACTGGAAAAAATTAAGGTGTTTAAACATCATTGAATATTTAGACTTTGTATTTCTTTTAAACTCATTGTGTGCAGTTAATATAAAATTAGTTAAACATCAATTTAAAGTTGATTTTTACATGAGGGTAGCCAAAATCAAAAAAATACATCGTCGAATAATTTAGTCAGTATAGTAGACAGACCCATAATGTCAATTTCACTTATTGCTCATTTCTCCATGAAAGTATATAAGAACACCAAAAAGTTTTGAGTTGAAAAATAAATCTCCCCTAAAGATAATCATGCTATTTAGAAAACTATTTTTAATAATTATTTGTTCATTTTTATAATTTAATTCAATATTGTTCTAAAATATTTTAAATTGTAAAGCAAACAAATTTTTACACTACATAATTTTAAAAAAGAAAATCTGAACTTCTGTAGAAGTTGGCCCAACAGTTTAATTGAGTTATAAAATCCAGAACTTTTTGATCATTTTAATTCAAATGTTTTATTTTGCCTAAGTTATTTTATTATTTGCAATTATTTTATTTTAGTATAAAGTGTAATTTAATTTGGATTTAAAAAACATGTTTTATAATATAGAAATTAAGATTGACAAAATTCAAGCTAGATTATTTTTCTTGAAAGGTTTAGCATTACTTAAAGTTTCATTTCAGACTTAGAGGTTGGGCAGCTCCAAGGTGCAAGACACATCGACCAGAGGTCTATTGCACCCAAATCCTGGATCATGACCAGTAGAAAAGTTTTATAGCGGAAATAGAGTTTAACAAACATCTGACAAGAATATCTTGTAATTCCCAGGCCTTAACAAAATGTTGTCCCAGATGATCATATCTTTGAGGGAAAAAGACTTCACATTCGCAACGAATATGTTGTGAAGTCTCTTCCTCAAGATGACAACCATAGCAAACAGGGTTGAGTGCAACACCCATATTGTAGAGGTGTCTCCTGAGGCAGTGTTTCCACTACAGAATCTCAAGATCTTACCGATCCTACCAATCTGAAAAAATCTCACCTATTTTTTTATTTTCTCGCAATAAAAAACGATTAACGTGATAAGTTAGCGCACTCTATTAATCAATTTCAAAATGCACGAATTTTTGAAAAAATTTCCTCTTTTGCCATTTTGAATAAAATCGGTTTCACTTTCCTTCTTTGATGTTTCATTATTTTGAACATCGGTCCTTGTTATCTAGCTTCCCTATTTATCAGTATTGTTCAGAACCGGTGCGAACAGCAGAACCCCCCCCCCCCGAACCACGGAGCCCCTTTCAGAACACATCTCTGTGCAACCACGTGTTCACTGTAGGTAAGGTTTCTTCATGTAAGACGTTTAAATTTTCTGTGCATGAATGTAATTTGGACAAATACCTTGTTTAGGCAACATCTTCTACTCCGTAACCGGACAAATGAAAATGAAACAAATGTCGGTAGAAACGGTCAAAAGGAAACAAATACGGATATTTTTCAGCCAAATAAATATAATAGCTGATGAAAAAGTAGATATAGAACATTTTCCATATGATGATGCAGCAAAAATATTCAATTAGAAGATGTGGAAAATGTATTATAATTAAAGAAAGAAATTTTTTTTCCAGGTCTATTCGTGTTTTTTTTAATTTTTAGAAATCTCAACCTTTATTTTTGAGAAAGGGTGAGAAATTCTCTCCCATTTTTTTTCTGTAATGAATACGCTGCCTGAGGGTGCAGTGATCAGTGAAAAGAACAATAATCTTCCTCAAGCTATTCCTGTTAAGCTTAAAAAGATCTTTTTGGCGAATACTGGGGCAGTCACGATTTAAGTCCTCAGCTTGTCTCTGACCGTCCAAGTTCCATCCTGGCTCATAGGCAATTTCCAATAGAGGTCTTGGTAAACAAGAATCATAACAATATCGGGAGAGCATAAAAAATCCAATATTTTTGTGTGTTCTGATTTTTATAGTAAAGATTTTGTGGGAGAAAAAGTTGCTAAAAAAACCTTTAAATATTTAAGCCATGCTACTTTTAAAAGCAAATTCTTTAACAAGAACCAGAATGATAATGAGAATAAAAAGGGGTTGGTTTTGAATTAATAGAAAATGAAGATTTTAAGCCATGTATTAATTCCAAAAGACACATTATAACGTTTTTCTATTTTACATATATACACATTGAAATGCTACCCAATTAGGTGTGATCATAAAATTAATGAGAATTTACCTTAACATGAAACAAACTATTCAAAAGGTAGAGACTATTCTGGCACTTTCCAGAGAGAACATTTAATAGTTTTTCCTCTTTTACTCTAATATCATCTTCAGGACGCAGTCCAATTATCTTTTGAAAAAGCGAAGCAGCAGTTAAGAACTCCTCCTTTGAACAGAAAGGTATCGTANAATCTCACTTAACTTTTTGAAATCTCACCCTGTTTTTGAGAAAGGGTGAGAAATTCTCTCCCATTTTTTTTTGTAATAAATACGCTGCCTGAGGGTGCAGTGATTAGTGAAAAGAACTATAATCTTCCTCAAGCTACTTCTGTTAAGCTTAAGAAGATCTTTTTGGCACATACTGGGGCAGTCACGATTTAAGTCCTTAGCTCGTCTCTGACCGTCCGAGTTCCACCCTGGCTCATAGGCAATCTTCCAATAGAGGTCTTGAAGGATGTGGGAGAGATTCCCAAAGCCAGTTCAGGAGCCGGCCTTTGCTAATTCATCAGCCAGCTCATTTCCAGGAATACCCATATGTGCAGACACCAAGTGTAGATATACCTTGTTACAGGTAGAAAGTCTTAAGTAAACGAGAAAAGATTTGTTTGAAAAACATACTAACATTGCTTCTAACTCTCGTTGAAGCCTAAATCTTCAAAAATAAGGTGACATTTAAATTGCAACGGGATAATCACGTAATTTATTAAGAAAAACGCTTGTCTCAAAGTAATTAAGTAGTTAGAAGCAGTTTTAGAAGAGTCGTACAAAAAGGAAAAATTATAAATACATAAAATAACAGTAGTCTCAAGTCCCAAAATGATGCAGGCATACGAAGGTAAACAAGAATCATAACAATATCGGGAGAGCATAAAAAATCCAGATATTTTTGTGTGTTCTGATTTTTATAGTAAAGATTTTGTGGGAGGAAAAATTGCTAAAAAAACCTTTAAATATTTAAGCCATGCTACTTTTAAAAGTAGATTCTTTAACAAGAACCAGAATGATAATGAGAATAAAAAGGGTTTGGTTTTGAATTAATAGAAAATGAAGATTTTAAGCCATGTATTAATTCCAAAAGACACATAACGTTTTTCTATTTTACATATATACACACTGAAATGCTACCCAATTAGGTGTCATCATAAAATTAATGAGAATTTACCTTAACATGAAACAAACTATTCAAAAGGTAGAGATTATTCTGGCACTTTCCAGAGAGAACATTTAATAGTTTTTCCTCTTTTACTCTAATATCATCTTCAGGACGCAGTCCAATTATCTTTTGAAAAAGCGAAGCAGCAGTTAAGAACTCCTCCTTTGAACAGAAAGGTATCGTACAACAAGAGAAAATTCTGTAAACATAATAATGATCATGTATAAAATTAAGCTATAATTAGACTTTTCCAGTTTGAGATCCACTCTCCTAATCATTAGTTTGCTTATCTACCTGGACATAAAATAGTTTTTTTTATAAAATTGTTTCATAAAATAGTTATTTTGCATCAAGTTGGATAAGCAAATAAGTCTTATCTCTTTGGAGAACTTGACATAAATATTTCTGCCATTTCATTTCTTTTATTAATATTTTAAAAGTTTTTGTAAATTATAATGTTTTGATGCCTCACTCTGTCTCGTAACTTTACTCCTAGCTAATTTTTATCAAAATCTTTTTTTTGAGGTGGAAAATTTTTATTATATGTTATTAGTTAAGTACTTAGCAGATATAATGGAATTATTGAAATAATAATTAAAGACAAAACGTACGAAAAATGAAAAAAAAAACTTTTTAAAATTCACTTTTTTATTAAATAAATCTAAAATAAAAGTTAAAAAATCTGGTAAAAAAAAAAAAAAAAAAAAACAGTCACAGATTGCAGCACTTATTGAAAAACTTCCAATGCAACAGTTTTCCACTATTTTACCTTCATATACTTTCATAAAAATTTTCTTTTTTGTTGTTTGTGTTTCAGTGTGACTTTTATAAAAGGATCTATAGTTCAAGCGTAAATTAGAGGAATTACTTACGATTAGTGGTATTGAAAAACTCTATGATTTTATTTTCTCCCTGTATATCTCACAAAATAAAATCACTGCTAAGTTAAACATATATTGAATGACATCCTGTAAGCCAATAGTATACATTGTATTTTTATCTATTCAATTTTAAGTGCCTTTTTTTATTAATTTCTTTGTATGAATTTCCATTTCTTGTAAATAATATTAATAAAATGCTTAAAACTGTAGCTTTTTTTATATTGACATCATGCGTCATTTTAATAATTAACATAGATGACGAGGGCAAAAATTGACCTATTAGTCAAGAACAACTGTTACAAACTCACAACAATGATTTAAACAGTAAAATGTATTGTTTTATAAAGGCGTAATTTCTTGTCATTGCAGAACTTTCAAAAAATGGATGTTTTTTTGAAAGCTCTGTCATCACATAAAATATATTTTTATTTCCGATTAATATGCTATTTTCATAACTGCTGAGAGTTTGCAGCAGTAATTTATGACTGTTGGGTCCAGTCTAGCCCATCTTTATGAAGCGCCTCCTATGCTAATTCTAAAAATGGCGCAAAATAATAATATGAAGAAAAGACATAATTTTATGAAAGTAAAAACTGTTTGTAATCTAATTTTTTATTTTTTAATATTTAAAAAGTTACTCCAGTACCACACTACCTAGGCTTATAAACATTTTCAAACATTTAGAGTTATTCTTTGATATTTTATTTTATTTAATAACCGTCGTTGAACAGCTGACTCAATTTTTCTGGTTTACAACTTCTAATGTTCAACTTCGTTGCCTTATAATTTTGAACCCAAAAAGAAGAAAAGGAAACGCCCGGATCAAGTACTGGGACTCAAGTAATTTGCCTTTGTGGAGGAGTTTTTAATGCAACTCATAATTGTGTTACATGGAGAGGAAAACCTCCCACGGTTAGTCTGACAACAAGGAGACTCTAACCCATGATCCATCTGCCACTGGCGATATTTTTACGTTAGCACTGTGGTTGGTGCAAACCTGATGCGGAATTCCTCTTGGTTCACCTCATTAGACGGCGAATACTCTATCCCCTGAGTCATCACAGCTCTATTCCTTGATTTGGTTCATTTTCTTCAAGGTAGAAAAATATCGTCAAATTGGTGACTTTCAAAAAAAAATTTAAAATTTATTAATAATTAGGTTATTTGCCCATCCTAATGCCCAGATAGTTTTTTACAGCAAGATAATATATCAATGGATTAAAATTGTTGCATTTACTCAAGCGCAGGGTAATTAAACTGTGGCTTTTTTATTCTTCTAAAAAAAGAAGAATAAAAAAGCCACAAAAAGGAAAAGAGCTTTGAAATAAACTTTTAAAACAATGTACAAATCAATGCTAAAAATCAATATTCACTTAGAAGCAAATAGTTCCACATTTCTAGTGATATGCAATAATTTTTCAATATAGTGCTCCCAAACTGGGAACACTGCGTTCGAAAAGGGTTAAATGTACCTTAAGAAAAAACTCTAAAAATTAGTTTTATAAAACACAAGAAAAAAAATTACTTATAGTTCATTTCTGAAGCTATTTCAATAGCTTTGTACATCAAATATGACATAGAATTAGCACTCAGTCCTTCTATCATTATGACAGGCAATAATGTTTTTTCTAAAAGAACAACTCGTTCCTTCTCGTTGCACATTTCTTTCACACATTTTTTTATCATTGTAATGTCCTCATTCTCAGAGACAACAAAACTTCGAAGGGTCATTTTATCCACAGCCACACTATCCATTCTTTCACTATTGTCCCCAGGAATATTTCTATAAAATAAATTTCACAGATGAACTTGATTAAAAACTTCAGTCAAAGTTGGTAATGGGTGGAAAACTTATAATGACTTTTAAAAATACAAAATAGCGGTTAAGGTAAAAAGAAACATCAAAAAAGGAATAAAAAATAGTGCCTGAAAAAAACACCATTCCGAATAACTTTATTAAAATTTGAACTATATCGGAAATATATTTTCTGAGTAATAAAATTTCAAAAAGTTCTATATTTAAAATTTAATTTCTCTAGAACTAGTCACCCGATTTCGAGTTTCGCTCAAATTTTGTATTTTTTCACTTAAACTTGCATCCTTTAAAATGATGCAAAATTTTTTATACCTTTCAATTTTACTTTATAAAGGTCGTTAAAAAGCCAACCCAATTTTTGGGGGGTTAATACGACTACTAATGCTCAACCTCGTAGCCTTGTAACTTTATAATCCAATCCAGAAGCAAAGGGAACTCCTGGATCAAGTATAGGTAGAAATTTGCCTTCATGGCGAACTTTTTAATGGAACTAGCTTGCATTTACGAGCATGGAGAAGAAAACCACATGCTTGCACATGGAGATGAAAACCACAAAAGCCTCCCACGGTTAGCCTAGCAGCAAGGGGAGTCTAACCCAAGATGGGACTACCACTGAGGATATTTTCCGTCAGCACTGTGGTTGGTGCAAATTGGATGCGGAATTCATATCGACCAGCCATGGCTGGGAATTGAACCTGGTTCACCTCATTCGAAGGCGAATGCTTTGTCCCTTGAGCCATCACGGCTCATACCTTACAATTAATCATTTTTCGGCTATTATTAAATAAAATAATAAATAATTATTAAAAATTAATTTTTAAATGGAATTATCTTGGGCTAATCGAATTTTAAAATTGTGAGCAACAATTCTCGTTTAGTTTAAAAAGTTCTCCAGATATGCTGAAGTTTGCTAAAAGAAGAAGCCCAAAATTTCTACCGCCCAAGTGTGAAATTTCAAATTTTTCGGAGGGGGGTCAAGGCGGTTTTTGTGGAGCAGATGAAGATGAAGTAGAATCCATTGCAGAGTGGGATCCATATGATGACACTGCTTATTTTAATGTATCCAACACGGATGTTGTTCCGGAATCTTTAAATTGGTAGCTTTATGGCATGTTTTAAAAGTTTTTATTGTGTTTCTCGTTTATATACTCTTGAACAAATTCCGTATGAATGAATCTTCTCTTATCCTTAATACTTTTTTCGGAACATAATTTAAAGTATTGCTTCAAAAAAAAATTTTTACGTGAAAAGTGTGAAATTTCAAATTTTTCGGAGGGGGGTCAAGACGGTTTCTGTGGAGCAGATGAAGATGAAGTAGAATCCATTGCAGAGTGGGATCCATATGATGACACTGCTTATTTTAATGTATCCAACACGGATGTTGTTCCGGAATCTTTAAATTGGTAGCTTTATGGCATGTTCTAAAAGTTTTTATTGTGTTTCTCGTTTATATACTCTTGAACAAATTCCGTATGAATGAATCTTTTCTTATCCTTAATACTTTTTTCGGAACATAATTTAAAGTATTGCTTCAAAAAAACAATTATTTATGTGAAAAGAAAATATGATGAGAAAATGTAAAAATTAATTATAGATAACATATTAAAAATAGTTTCTGAAAAGGGTAAATTGATACAGAGTTATTCATATCTATTTCATGGCATATAATGTATTGATACTTAATGATCAACAAATGTTCAACTTTATAACAGGTGAATAAGTCAACCCCCTGATTCACCAGAATAAATGGTAAATAACATGGGATGATGCATAGGAAGAAGTATCTATTTCGATAAATTTTAAACCTTATTGTTTTGTACAGCTATCATTGCAAACCTGGTAACAGAACTTTCTGAACCAACTTGCAGCACAATCTTTATAAACTTAAATTCATCTGTTAGCTTAAGGCAGCTATTCAAAGACTATTACTATGATAAATGGGTTTAAACATACATGTATAAAACAAAATTTACAAAAATTAAGATTAATAAAAATTATACAAAAAAAGTTTAACTCGTTAATAATTTATGTAACTTGAATTAAAATTTTATACAATAACGGAATATACAATGGAATAAATCCTGATGTGGCGATACTAAGAAAAAAATGGGGAAACTAATTTAAAAAACTCTTTTTACTTTTTGTGTTTTTTATTCAATTTGAATTTTTCTAAAGCTAATTTTTTTTAATAGCTTCAAGACAAAACTTTTGAAATTTTTTAAAATCATTTCTTTTTAATTACACATCTGAAAACTACTTTTTTAGTAACAAGAATCCAAATTTGTGGCTCGTAAGGCGATCCTTTTTTTGCGCCAGATTTCAAGAGGGAAAAATTTTCTCCTATTTTTCACGAAGAAAGATCTTTTTCTTTTTAATTTTTTTTCTTTCTTTCAGCAATTTTGAACCATTTCTATCCTCCATAAATTTTAGACGCTACTAGAATTGCAGTTTCAACTACTAACTTGCTTTTTAAGCTCTTATTTAATTTTTGGGCACTATTAAAACAGATTTGAAAAGAGATAGTTTTGAAATAACATAAAAAGTTAATTCATTGAACTAACAATTTTAAAGAATTATTTTTTAATAATTATTTTAAGTAGGTACATATGCTGACTGTATGCAGTTTTGACATAAACACATATCAAAAATATCTATATTAATTTATTTACCTTTAAATGATTTCAATACAGCAAAAAAATATGTTTATCCAAAAACGTTATGTAATAAGATAATATCATAGATTTACTTAAAAGTGTAATAAAGGGACACCACGTTTAGTTTTAAGTCATTAATTTTCAATATAATAGTTATTTTGAGTCACCAGTGTTACTCTCCTTATTAGAAGAATTCAACAAAAATAGCTGAAGTGACAAAATAAGTTGAATAAAAGTAGTTTAATTGTTAAAAGCAGTTGAAGAGAGAGATATTATATGCTGACAGATAGAAATCTTAACATTTATATTGAAATTTTTAAAAATAAAAATACTTAATACAAGATAAGTTTTCCCTATTTGAAGTCTTAGAAGTTTTATTAATGAATAAAATTACTATGCATTTATTTCTTCTTATTGAGAATCACACAACCAGTTAATAATTTTCCAATCAACATTAAAATCCATTCCAATTAACAACTAACACATTTCCAGCCAACACACTTAACATTATGCAACCTTCCGTCCATCAATGCCGTCAATTGCGTTCAATGAAATTTACTATCCAAAATTCATACATTTTATTTAGATTTGGGTTTTTTATTTACACCTGTTTGAGTCAAAGTGGTTTGCTACTAAGAAGTGGGGTTACCAAATTCTGTACATTGAAGAAAAATGTATGCTAATTACTTATTGCATATATTGAGACCGCTTTGTCCACCTGGCTTGTCACCGCAGAACTACTGAAAGAGGCATAAACAAAAACCTCTAAAATAAGCAAAGTCCTCAATTTTTACAAGTAACATTAGTCTCTCCATGCTTTTGAATTCACAGATCGACGGAACAGTACAACTTTTGCAATCAACAACCGACCCATTAATATTTTTTCGAACATTAAACAGATGAATATTGTCATCAAAACTATAATCATAAAACAATAGTGAAAGATGTGCAACAGTTACACTAACTAGGCATACTAAGAAATAAGTCATTTTAATCTAATATTGCAAATTAAAATATGCACCAGCCATCATCATCATCATGGGGTAAATTATGTTGTGAAAGTAAGGGTTACAGTAAATTAACAAGCATAGTTTGAAAGAAAATGATGAATTAAATACCTGTGCCCAAGCTTGAATGTATAAATGGTTCCAGCTAACTCAATACCTTTGAGTATTTTAGTAGGTATCTCAAGAAAACTCTTCTCTCCCAACTCATCCCTACTCAAGTGGTACGTAGCAGCATCTAAGGTGATGATACCATCCCAATATTCAGTCATAAGGCGAGAAGCCATATTGACACGGCTTCCAATCACTACAAATTTACAAAAGTTTGATAAATATAAGGAGATAAATGAAAAAAAAAAATTAAATAAAAATTTTTATTTTTCTTTTTTTTTAATTAAGAGAAATTTAAATTTAGATATTGAAAAAGTTTCAGACATTTCAAAATAGCAATTGAAATTTGTGTAATTATTCTTCGACTATGTTTTAGCCAACGTGAAGAAAGCAAAGGTTCCTACCAGTGTATTCCTGACGTTGCGGGTGTCCAACTAAACCGCAAAAGCAAGTTCCAGTAGAAATTCCGATTGATACAGCTCTAACAAAAAAGTAAAATATGTATAAAGCTTATGATTGATAATAAATTATTTATTATTACGACTAATAATATTGTATATTATAGTTAATTATTTTAAATAGATTTTTCCAAAAACAGTATTATTTTTATAAGAGGAAAAAAAATTTAATGTTTTCAGAAAAAAACATTGTGGTACATTTTAGTTTTAAAATAAAATACAATAGATTTGTCACTTTAGTTATTTACTATCTAACCATACATCAATCCACACATAATCAATGATAAAATAAAGATGCTATTGTCAAGTTCCTATTTAGATAAAATGATGTGACTTTGTGACACATATGAGTTCAAAAAAAAATTTTTTTTTCTGTCTCAAGAAAAGATTCTGCCATATTAGTGAAAAAGCTGTCATTTCTGTGATTAACTGATTTCTATGGATTTACAAAAATTGCAATTTGACTGTGTGATTGACTTTTGCTGCTAGCGATAAACTCTGTTGAATCTCACCTGGGCTACATTTAGTACAATGAATACCAGACAATACATGTCATCCACACTGACTTTACTTGTCAAATCAAAGATCCATATTTATTATGAAGAACATGCATAAAACTCCCAGTCAAACTCCTTTTCGATAAAATGAAGCTGTAAGCTAGCAAATATTACTGATGTTATCCTTTAAATAATTGAAAATGTAAAAAAATTACAGTTTAAATTGCGATAGTGGGAAATACCAATTCACTGAGAAAAATTTGTTATAAAAATATTTTTATGATCAGGGTTTTTTTTTTAAATCAGGGTTAAAATTTCCAATTACAATACAGTAAAAAGTTACTGAAGTCAAAAGAGAGATACACAGAGACACCAAAACTTTTTCTTTTATTATTATTGATAAATTAGTCACCTGCAACACAAAGATGCTTGACTTCCACAAATTCAGACCAATATAAGCTAGATTAAACAAAGCTCAATATTTCAATGAAAAGAACAGTTTTCACAAAATCATTGAATCATACAAGTAGAAAAATCATTGCTTTTGCTCCTAAATGCTAATACATTTTAATAAGTATACTAATATTACGTGTTTAAACAATCGTACATGATAACTGAACAAACAAAAAAAAGAATATTCACATCATTAAAATACTTTAAAAAACATTTGTCTTCAAAACTTACATATTATGGCGTTCATGCTTATTCGCTATTTCTTTTGCACACAATAGACACCTTGCAGCATCATTTGAATGTTTAAGACCAGGAAGACCAAATACAATTAAATATGTGCACCCCTACAAAAGAAATAAGTGATGCAAAATTACAAAACAACAGTGATTCTACTAGAATTTGATAACAAGGGGTCCTATGGACATAGGATTTCCGAAATTCAGGGCCTCTTTTAATTAAAAACGTTCCCTTACATAAAATATGAATTTTCTATCTCTTTGTCCATCTATTACTATTCACATTCATTACTTACATTCTATCTATTGATGGACAAATCGAAAATTTATTAGTTATATTTGAACAACCGGGGCTTTTAATTAGAACTGATTAAACTAAACATCTGCATCAAGGAAAAGTAGCAATGTAATTTGATACTTAGAATTATTCTGATTCAGCTACTAATAAAGAAACAAAAATGATTTACATCAATACATATTTAGAGTTTGGTGAAAATTTTGCCCGGATTAACTATTTTTCTTTTTTTTTACATTGGAGAACTATTCAGCCCTTGGGACTTTACTAACTTATTTTTGACATCTCCTCCACAATTTTAAGTAAATTCAATGCGTTATAGCGCATAGAGCTAATCTCAGACTTCCTTTTAATAATGTAAAATGTCTAATAAGGAATACCTACAGAGGCTCTTTTCACGAAAAACTGAAAAATCCCAATCCCAATAAGTCATGGCTTAAACAGATTCTCAATGTATCATGTAAATGTCCCATATCAGGGATCTGTTTAGAAGAAATTTGGGCCTGTTAACGGACTCTTCACAAAATATCTTTTCATAAAAATGGACCCTTTACAATATATTTTAACTTAAATACGGACCCTTCACAAAATAATTTATCTTTTAATCAGACCCTTCACAAATTTGTTTATCTTCATTATTGTTTTGTTAATCGAATAGACCCTTCCCAGGGGTAGGAGGGGGAGAAAGACAGATGTAAGCGAACTAAGTTTTGTCTTCGACAGACGCTTCTTTTTCTATTCGTCCGAAATGAGTATTCTGTGTTGTGCAGTATAGGCTAAATACCAAATATTTGTATCANGCAATCATTTACAACATTCATTTAACAAGGCAATTATGTGAAAATAATATATTGCCTGCTATATGCCATAAATTAAAGAAAACAGTAGGTTTTTGACGGTTTTTACCACTGTCATGTCATAAACCAGTTTTTGACGGCAAAAACCCAACCCTGATTTGTATGTTGCATCGCTAATTTTGTAGCAGCAAAAGCTGTTTATTTTTGAAAATTAAAATTTTTTTTATTATAATTTTACAGTTTTGAGCATAATCTTGTATCTCTTTGAAATTGAAAAACTCCTTGAAAAAGTTTTTTGAAATAACAGGACCCTATTTGCACAAATTCACAAAAGAAGGACCCTGGTTGAAAGAAAGTGACTTAGTGTTTATTTTATATTCACAAATTATGAGTAATTTTTTCACAATTTTACAAAAACGGACCTTTCACAAAATGTCTGGACAGACCCCTACATATAATAAATCTGTCGCCATGTTTTGTCTTATATCTGGACACGATTTTCTGCATAAACATCTACGTCCGAGAAACGTGGCTCTTGAACGTTTTCATATCTTGTGTGAAAAGGGGATGATGGAGGTGATACAGTACAGACCCACGAAGAGATGGGCCTAACTCACCTGTTTAGATCCCCTACTCTTCCCCGAACATCAATCTAGGAACACAACTGGACTGCTCGTTCTCATGTATAGATTTATTGTTATCTTTTTTTATATCCCATTGTCATTTAATGCGGCATTGGAAATATAAAAAAATTTCAATCACAGTACTCCTGCATACACACTAACTTTTTATGTAATTTTATCTTTAATTCAGATCAATAGAACTACTATGATTGTTCTCTAAAATTAAAAAAAAATTTAAAACATAAGCTTACTTTATCAAATAGGACTACTTTGTTGAGCACACCTAGAAAATTTTTTCAAATATCAAGAAAAAAATTTATAAAAATAAAAAGCTTAAAACTAAAAAACATTTGGGCTACATTAGCTTACATTTTGGGATATTTTTAGTTTTACAAGATGTCTCGAAAGTATGAAAAAGTAAATTACTTTGACTTTGGATCGAAAATCTAAAAATATTCATGCAAAATATTTTCCAATGACACATTCAATAATACCAAACTCAACTCCAAATGGTACCACTGAGAGTGTGACAGAGAAACACCAATTTTTATCACTGGTTTGGTTTCTCCAGAAAAAAGTACCTCAATTTAACCTACAAGTTTTTGCATTTAGGTTTTCCGATGGCGCAGTAACCACAAAATGAAAATAAGATATAAATTGTTTATAAAGTAGACTACTCAAAAAATATATGTGTGGTTAAAAAAAAAAAAAAGATGTGTCTGATATTTTGAGAAAACCAATCTAATGAGATCAAGCTTGACTTCCAACCCGAAACTCTGCTTCACCCAGGGAGTGACCACAGCTTCTGGGCATGATGCAAGTGACAAGTCAGGTGTCATTACATGACTTCTTTTAAAATATCAAACACATCTTCTTCTTCTTCTTTTTAATTTAACTCATATTTCTTCATCTGTCTCTATTATAAACATTATTACCCTGTTATCATTTTGTGATTGCAGCACCATCTATGAATGGAAAGGCCCAAACTTACAGGTTAAATTACAGTACTTTATTTTTGAAAAAAAATGCACATTGAGGAGCCTATTTAAGATTTTGAACTACTCAGTCCTCATAAGAGATGAAGTTGATGACATCCTTTAATAATATTTGACACACACAGATTTTTGATCAAATACATATTTCTTGAGATTTTTGTTTGTTTTCATACTTTTTGGACAACCTGTGTAATCTTATGATAAAAAGAGAGAAAAACTCATTTATTTGATTTTAGAAAGATGAATTACTAGTATTTCAATTTCATTATTGAATTAAAAATAAAAATTTACTTACTAAGTAATTTCATATAACAATGAAAAATTTTTTTCTTTTTCAGTTATACAAAACATTAATTTCAGATTTACTATTTTGCGAAACAAATCAATAAATTGAATAATGCAGGAACAATTGAATAATCCAATTGATACAAATCAATGGTAGAAATTAAAAAACTGTGGCCATTTATTTGCAGGCCCAGTAACAGAAGGATATTATTGTATACTGGATAAGGATATTATTGGATATTGTGTTACTACTCTGTACACATTTTCACTGTACTGTTTTTATTTTTAAATAAGTTATTAAAATGAAAAATTACATTATAGAGAAAGATTAATGAAATTTAACATTGGCATTAATGTAATCACAATTATTATGAAGTCTGGTATTTTGCCACAACAACAGCTCTCTATTCCTTTACATTAATTGCTGGTCCAGGGGACCACAAAAATTTAATTTATTTTAATGTTATAATTGTTCTGAGTCAAATTTAAGTTGCCCTTACCAACTGACCATCATCAATATTCAGCTCAGCAAATTATTGGAGATTATTTAAAATACATAAAATTTAAAACATTTAGTAAACACTGTTTATTAAAATGTTTTTTTGGTAAGTAGTTGATAGGGATTCTAAATCCTAACTATATTCTGATTAAGCCTGAAAGTTTGGTTTTGTAACATGTAAAAAAAAACAAAAACTTATCGGATATAAAGAAGAGGATTAAATAAAATTTCACCTCCTTGTTTAGCAGCACAGTCTAACATAATGTCACACGTCTTCCCTAGCTTTGTAGCTTCTTTTACATCAACATCTAGTAGCATCACAAAAAGGATGTTCACTAGTGTTAATTCAGACAAATATTTAAGCTCTGAAGTCAATCTCACCTGGAATTAAATACAAAGTAAATAAAATGCAACAAACATTAAAAAATTAGATATTGCAACCATTGTTGGCAAGATTTAGGACAGAATGGATTAATCCACGGTTTAAACCCTGGTTTAAATTGTCCTGTCCAAAACCTTTTACTCAAATTATGTCACAATTTTATCTGAACAATATTTAAGAGGTAAAATAAACATAGAACTAATAACATATTGATAATTAAATCTACTATAGAATATTTGTTTTTAAAAGTATAATGTTTTATTAATATTCCTTGACTCTTCAATTTAAACATTAAACAAAGGAAGATTAATCAGTAATCAAGTTCAATTGGTCCTCTCATTCAATAGTACATAACTGAAGTTGGACCTTGCCATACAGGTTAAGCTATTAGGAACTAAGTGCTTGGTTAGTCATAAACAGGTTTATTTACCTATAGTACTATTCAAGAATACTGTTATTTCATTCATGTTCAATTCTTTAAGCATAGAGGTGATACATCACCAGTGTCAGTAGCAGAAACTGATGTTATGCCCTTCAAAACTGTTAATACATTTTTAGGTTATTTTGTATTTTCAATTTAAACTAATATGTTTGTATTTTAAAAACAATTTTTTTTTAAAAAAATAGATGTCTTTTTTATCATCCTGTGATGCAGAAATTATAACATTTTTTAAAAAAATATTGTGAAAAATAAAAGGTTAATTTTTAAACAAATTTAATATTTTTTTAAAAAAAATTTTTTTCTTTTTTAATATTGCATTATTTATCCTTATGCAAAAATATTATTTATCAGTATTAAAAGCATATTTATATTTAAAGGATTAGGTATTCACTTTTGTTGTTCAATGAATTATGGAGGTTCAAAAATTATAAACCTTTTTCTATTACATTATATTATTTTCTTTTGATAAGTTAAAGTAAATTGTATAAAAATATCAAATATTTATTGATACATGTAATTATTATGTGTACAATGGTTACACCTATAGAATTTTTACCTTTTACCAAAGTTCAAGGTTTTGAACAGTTTTACCCAGTTAAGGACAGTTTTATCCAGTTTAAGACAGTAAAACCCACATGTCCTGTCCAAAACCAGTTAAGGACATCCAAATCCCCAACCCTGATTGAAACAAGAGGTATCTAAACTAAACTCAGAGGCGCGACAGCCCACAAAGGGCCAAGGCCTACTGTGCCCATCTCAGTTTTCTTGACCTTTGGGCTTTGGGGTGCAGGAGCAAATGTTCCGGTTAGGTGGTCAGCCGAACACGAAACCCCCAGTGTTTAGTTCCTAAGCATGCTTTGTACTCATTTATCGACCCACTGAAGGGATGAAAGGCTGAGTCAACCTTGCCCGGCCCAAGGATCAAATTAGGGACCTGTGGCACGACAGCGCGAAGAGCTACCGCTCAGCCACCAGAAGAGATATCTTACGAGATCTTTTGTTTAAATGAACAATATCCAATTAATATAGTATTTGCAAACCAGCATAATACCAGGGGTCTGCCTAGGTACTTCTGAGAGGTACCTATTTTGTGAAAATTTAGACATAATTTGTGAAAAATTAAAAATTGTATTAAAAATTCCACACAAAATTATGGTAAAAATATGGATATATCGTTTTTTATGGGATACAAAAATAAAATTTTAAGAAAAAGTATTTTGTGAAACTACCGTTTTCCCTAAAGTGGAATTTGTGAAGGTACCTCTAAACGGTAGTAAATATGGCCTGGACAGACCCCTGAATACATATTTTCCTTTTGTTGAAAAGTTTAATGTTAGTCTTGTAATTAAATCATAAATCTTAACTGCAAATTAAGTTGCTGTTCCTACCATTATTCACATAGTATTAACTGAAAGCTCTCAAAAGTTTTCTAATGGATACTTAACTTTTACTGAACCATAATATTCACATATCACCGATTTTAATCAGGATCATTACATTTTTTTCCTGTGATTAACAAAATCAGCTTTTATAATAATAATAAAAAATCATGTTCATTTTCTGTATGCAATAGATCTATATCACATATATAATACTTGCGATGCAGATCAATTGAATATATAAAATATCGGCATACATAAAATCTATGCAGATATATTATGTATCTATAAATAAAGAGAAAGAGAGATCTGTAACTTAAACATATGTTTTCTAGCAATTAAAAAACACTCCTCACTAAACAAAATTGTTAAAAATTCTAAAATATATTTTAATAGGTTTTAGCCAAACACTAAAAACTATTTTTCTAAAATATTAAACACTATAAGAAACAGTAATCAGGCATAAGTAAAATCAGGACAACTTTTTATAAATAAATCAGGATATTTCTTTGAATATTTATATATCATGTAACTTTTAAAAACGCAAACTAAAAAGTATAAAATATACAATTTTTAATTTCAAAACTTTTTTGTTTAGAACAAAGTTTTAAGAGCTTCCACTATAATTTTATCAATAATGAACAACTCATAACAGATTCAAATCAGTACATGGACAAATTTGCTAGTACTGTCGAATTAAAAATAATCAAACCATTATTTAAATTAATTGTAATAAAATCAAATACTTTAAAAGTGGGATTTCAATAATCTCGAAATAAAAACACAGTGAAAATGTCGCATATCATTTTAATACTTAAGTATTTTTAGAGGTATTAAAGTAATTTTTGTGGAATTTCGCAATTTATAATATAAAAGGTTTATGAGAGGATTACTCTTTTGTAAATTGGAAACAATTATTTTCAAAATCACATGAAAGAGACAAATCGATAATTGTTAAACTACAAAACTCAATTCTGCAAGGTTTTGTATTGTGTTTGCTGAAAACAAAAAAATAAGTACAATGGTTCCTGAATTCATCATCATAAAAATTTGATAATGATAAATTGCTAATTGAGGAGTTTCTTTCTTATAGAATGACTAAATTGGCAAAAAGTTTAAAACAATTATCTTGTCAGCTGCGTATTATAGATGGTCCCTAAATTTGGAAAAAATTTTAATATTTCTACTAGCATTATTCATAAAAGTAAAAAAATATTGGATAAAAATAAAACAATTTTCAATTCTTACTATTTTTTTAAAAAAATTAGCATATTTATTTCTATTTTTAGAAAATAGGATGCTCTGAACACACAAAAATCAGGAATATCAAGAGAAAATGCTAAATATCAGAACAAATAAAGACAAATATTTTTTTATCAGGAATACCGAAAATATCATGACAACTACAAATCCTCAAAAATAATGACGGAAAGTAGCAAACTGCCGAATTCTAGAAATGTATGTTTAACTTTGTGATTGATTTTTATCTGTTGTGATACAATAGAGCTTTTTTGAACAAATAAAAAGTCAGAACTATAGATTTATCTTATAAAGCCATAATGGACATAACTTATAATGAAACTTTTTTTTTTAGTTTAAAATTTCATTTGTGTGAAGCATTCGATCTTTTTAATGTTCATTCAATTTTTATATCTATAAACGTGAAGTACTCAGTGTTCACTTTTTCATTTCCCACTCAAGACACATAAGAATAAACTACATAAAAGATAGTTACAACAATTGAAAAGGGTACTAGATTACTAAAAAAAGCAAAAAATATATAAATATAGAACCCTAATTATACTATTTTAATTGAAAAGAAAATTTTCATAAATACTCATAGATGAAAAGAAAATTAAAGAATACTCTTTTAATAAGCATTGTTTTTTTCATAAAAAAAAAACATCGAATCATTTTTTACATTTATATATTGGGAAATTTTAAATATTCCTGCTACATATTTCCTTTAATTTAAAAATTTTTCTAAAATTTTGGTAATTTTTCTGTTTTGAAAACGAATATTTTTCATTGTCAAAAGAAGACACTTATCCACTTTATCACTTATCCTATGACCACTTTAAATCTTTTCTCCATACTTTGATCACATTATTTTTAAGTCTAAGACAAATTTAATTCATTTTTCACAAATAAAAAGTAAAGCTGTAACTAATTGTTGTTGACACAATCCCTTATACTCGATACTTGGTTAAACGAGTTTTGCCCTTTACACCTTGGTACGGATTGGTAATTACTAAATTTTCGCTCGTGCAAGGTTGAGCTCTGGCTCATCCTTAAAACATTATATGGCAATACTTAGGTTCATTCGGCTTTCATTTAAATTTCTAAGTTTAAACATTTTAATTGTATCTACGAGAGTAACAACATTCATAGAAAATTTGTCACAAAGAAAACAAGAAATTCATACATCTCTAACACTAGGTATTAAAAATTTTTTGGCAAGTGCAATGTCCTCTTCCGAGCACTTTTCAAATATTTCTTCTCTTTCTGGTACAACTAAAAATTAGAAACGTTACCAAAGTTAACTTTTAAGAATCATTCTTTAAAGCAAATGACAATTAAATAAAATAAACATAGATGGCTTACTTTGAATGTTTTCTATAGCTGTACAGTCTATTATCTAAAAATAAAGAAAATTTAATTAAAAATTTAAAAAAAAAAAAATTTGCAATACAGAATGACAGACAGTTAATGTGTTTACAGAGATAAGTTTTGTCAATATAATGGTTAATTTGAGTATAATATGAAGCATCTGCAAATATGCTCCTTAACTATTTTAGTTAAATTATTGGCACATAATTTAATTATTTAAAGTTTATTAGTATAAAACATTAAGGTGTATAAAGTTTATAAATACTAAATTATTTCGTATCTGTAAATACTAAATTTAAAAAATAATATTTCAGTGCACACCCAGCTAGGAATATATAGTTTTTACGTTAAGGAACTGCGGACATTTATATTCATTTAATTTTACCACACTTGTTCAGATTGATGGATTTTCCCTCATTACTACCGTCCTAACTTGCAACTCAATTTATAAAAATAAAATTTCTTAAATTTACAAAAACAAGGTTTAATATAACAATTCAATAACCAATAGCAAAATTCCTGCCAAAAATAAATTTTTATTCTTCAACAAAATATTTTACTTTTTCATGAATTTCAATTCTCTCTAAAAAATTTATTATGCTAGGAATAAAGCGTGTTATGACCACGTCCTAATTACATCTATTACTAAGTAGGGCTGAAAGTTTATATACATCAAGACAAAATATAGCAAAATCTGGTTAGAAAATAATTTCATTGCAGCTTGTTTTCGGAAAGAGTAAAATATCTACGATTACCAAGATTTTTTAATTTATCAATAGTATGACTCTTATATTTTTATGACTATTATACTATGACTATTAGTATGAGTATATATGACTATTACTATATTACAAATGACTATGACTGATATATTATGTACGACTAAATAGTATGTATTTCTATTATACTTTTTTATCAATGTATATGACTTTTTACCTGAGAAAAAGTAAATTATAAGGAATAGTTTATTATTAGGAGTGGTCGTAGCTTTTTTTTTACTCCTTCTAAAAATCCAGATACAAATTAAATGGTTTTACTCTTTTCCCTCTTACTTTTAGCTCTGACAGTTTGAGTTACTAGTTCTAATCTAATCATGTTTAGTAAGGTCAGAGTTGCAATGGTTGCCTTGTTATGGACACTGCAGTTCACTCAATAAAGTTTCAGTTAGAAATAATGTTTTACAATTTCTGCAATAATACTTGAAGACACTATTATAAAAATAAATCTAAATGCACGTGGGCATTCATAATTGTAGACATTCTCAACACATTTTTATTAAACTTCTTATTTGCTAAGATTGTCACTGGGACAGGTTTTAGTACAAATAGGTATAGATAAACCAGATCATAAATGTAAAAATGTCTGAGTCGAATTTGAATAGGTCAAAGATAAAGACAAATTTCTCCCCAATCCACAAAGACAAATTTCTCCCAATACTTGATCCAGAAGTTCCCTTGTCTTCTGGATTGGGTTTAAAAGTACAAGGATAAGTACTTGAACATTAGCAGTTGTAAACCAAAAAATTGGGTCAGCTGTTCAACGACAGTTATAAAATTCTCTAGACTTATGCTTTTTAACAAAAATGGGCATTTGCAAATGAAAAGATTGGATTGGTATAAAATTTTATCAAAATAAATCCAGTATTGGGAGGAAAATATTTGCTATTGTTTTATGAACTTACATTATAGCGACCTCAGATTATAACCTCCATTTTTCTTTGGGCCACATGGATCAAGCCTCAACTGTGCAAGGATTAAACTGTGTTCTTTAACCATTAGCAATTATAATAAAAGAACTAAAAAAAACTTTTAAAGCCAATTTAAATTGCTAACACTTGAGTATTATTCAGAACCATAGCATTACATTACAACTAAATGTGAAGCAGAGAAGAAATTATGTATCACTTATGAGCAGGAAAAACATTACTGAAGTTCTGTTTTAAATGATTAATGTTCAAAAATGAATTAAATCTAAATAAAATTCGAATTTATATTTTTGACAACATTTTTCTAGTTTAACTAGTTTTAAAAAACACAAAATTAAATTGTCGAAATAATATTTAGGACAAGAAATGCAAATTAATGGAGGATTAAGTCATACTGAGGTATAAAAATTTAAAAAACAATGATTACAATAATTTATTCTTTTTTAATCTTCTTGTTAGCAATGTAATTAACAATGCAACATAGCAATGTAAATAAATCTTATTAAGTAAGTCTCAAATATGCATCGTTTTATTAAACTCGAGGAAAACATAATCATTGAATTTTCAAATAAATTCATAGATATTTTCCTATAAATTTATATTACAAACTTCCAAAATATGTAATTCCACATAAATTTTGGATATTTAGTCTTATGGATTATTTTACATCTATACACCTGTTGAACACAAACCCCACCTCGAATAACTTTTGGTCTATTGATCAAATTTTCACACACTAAGACTCAATCTTAATACTTTGAGGGCCTACACCTTAAAAGTGCTAATTAATTAGTGTAGAAGGAATTTTCAGAAAATGAATTTTCTCGAAATAAACAATTTTTTTTTGGTCTTGTTGAAAGATATGGATTTCAGACCTTCAAATTACAGAGAGTAGCCACAATGGGGGAAATATGGTCCCAGTAGCTTATGCAAGGGAGAGGTCGAAGGTTTGAACCCTATAATGTCAATTTCACTTTTTGCCTACTCCACTATATTACAAGAATATTTTAAGTGAAACAAAAAGTTTTACGAAATTCGTTTATTCAAGGAAAATTTTCGGCAAAAAATAATTTTTAATAATTATCCATTATTTTTTATAATTCTTTTATTTAATAAGAGTTAAAAAATTTTTGAAAGGCATAATAGTTTTTACATAATTTTAATGACTGTAATTTCATATAAAGAACAAAATTGATTGAATAGTTCTTGTGATCACCAATTGAATCAGATCATTACATCAAAAGTTATTCAGGGTATTCCTTTTTTTGTGCACATTGCACCAGCAACTGTAAGTATCATTAGCAAGTACACTATCAAAATGTGTTTATTACTTTAAATTACCTTAACAAAACCTTTTTTTACTTGAACAGTTTTAAAACTATGAGCTTCAGCCTCTTTTAAACAGTAATAAACTTCATCAGTGACTATAATATCTCCAGCTGAACAGGATTCAACCGCTTCATGAACTTTAGGTAAAACATCACCAGCTATTGCAAACAACAAAAAATCCTTAGGAGAACCAAGAATCCAAGTTACTATTTTGCCTTTAGCGATTCCTAAGATTTTGAAATAAAAATTGAAAATTAGTACAGACAGCTTTAAATAAATCATAAATTGTACATTCAAAACAAATTTTTGCAATCATAATTACTGCAAAAATTATTTTCTCAACCTTTTAAGTATTAGGTAGTCCTGTTTTGTTTTAGGTTATTTGCATAAGTTAGGATTTTGAGTAAAGGATATGAACTGCAATATACCCATACACAAGCAAATGGTAAATCAAGAAATTTATAAGAACATGAGTGCTCCAAGAAGTAAATTCTTTAATAAGTCAACTTAGTAATATAAGTTTTTAAAATTAAAAACTTCTAATTCATTGAAATTTGAATATTTTTTTAGTAAATTACTTTCTAATCAAAAAACAGAAATAATATTAGAAACAGAACAGAAATAATATTTTGGAATAAAATGCAGTCAGCTTCGCTGAAGGAATATCATTGGTTCCAGCCAACTGAATTCAAATAAGTGGGTTATTCGATTAGCAAGGTGTGCATTAATCCATTATAAATTAGAAGTTTTTATAGACTTTTACTTTGAAATGGTATGCAATACATTTTATAATGCTTTGAGGTAATAAAATCATTTTCATTGCCAATTAGCAATTAACAATAACTAGATTTGTTAAAATTAATATTTCAAAATAATGACATTTAAATTTATATGGAAATAAACCAATTGTTCTGAAGAGTGCATATTATAATGCCTTTTATTTCCTCCCAAAGAAATACTGCTTTGACACACATTTTACTGAACATTTTGTTACTTTTCATATTCTAAATGATGAAGTGTGTAAAACACGGGTAACCCCCATTGTTTAGTATATAACTGATTATTCTTAAACTAATCCNTATCAAAATGAAGCTCGCATTCTTGGAAGATAATTTTCAGTTGTAAAGGGTTATGTAGGTTTAACAGTATCACAATACATGTATGCACGGTTACTACAAGAAAACTGCTAAAAAGGTTGTAAATTAAATATAGTCTTCAGATGTAGGGGATATTACTTATTCTTCTTAATATAGAAAAACTGCTAAAAAGGTTGTAAATTAAATATAGTCTTCAGATGTAGGGGATATTACTTATTCTTCTTAATATAGAAAAATTGTCGATAGGTTAAAAAGTATTCTAAACTTTAAAAAAAAATGAATTCAGACATAGTTCGGATAATTGGAAGTTCAGATAATAAGGGTTCGGATAATCGGCGCTCTACTGTATTTTAAAATAATGACATTTAAATTTATATAAAAATAAACATATTGTTCTGAAGAGTACAGCGTGCATATTATAATGCCTTTTATTTCCTCCCAAAGAAATACTGTTTGGACACACATTTCACTGAACATTTTGTTACTTATTACCTTTTCATATTCTAAATGATGAAGTGTGTAAAACACAGGTAACCTCCATTGTTTAGTATATAACTGATTATTCTTAAACTAATCCTTGACACTTGATCGTTGCTGATGGATAGGAAAATCCAATTGAAATGACCAGATATTGTATGCTCTTCTTAACTAAAAAATGGAAATTCCATTCTAGATAGTAAAACATTAATTTAAAAAAAAAAGTTTTTTCCTCTTCTTTATGCAATTAGGCATCGACTACCATAAATAATCATTTAACCGTTTGATGCAGAAGGGACACCAGTGTCCTGTTATATATTTTTTCTGACATTCTAATTAGGAGCAAAAATATATTTAAGTATTTCTCAATCATAAAAAAGTCTAATTGTTACTTAAAAAATCTGTTCGATTATCAAAATTATATTTGTACTAAAATATATATATATATATATATATACANATAAAATACATAAACAAATAATAAATCTAAGTTAAATAAAAGACTTAGACGAAAATAAGATAAAAAAATAATAGGTTTTATCTACTGCACTAAAAAAAAACTACAAAAACAAGGAAAAAAACCTTTTTAAAGAGAAGAAAAATTATTAATAAATAAAATGTTTTTAAAAATATTTTTAAAAAAATTTAAAAAAGCTGGAAAACAAAGTAAAGAAAAAAATAGTAGCATCATCAGCTCACACTATTATATCTGCAAAATACAGTGTTTTCTAATATTGTATTAATATATAGCCAACGCAAAATACATAAATTCAATATATCAATAGAATATGAGATTATTTAATAGCGTGCACTTTTATAGATATATTACAGCTTTATATTTATATGCATACACACATATTAATAATTTATTTACCATGGCCAGGTGAAAAATAAAATAAAACTAAGTATCTATATAAGTTACCAAAACAAGATCCTAATTTTTTTCTTTCTTTTTTTTTACAAAAAATTAAGTTTTGTAATTCAGAAACACGTTTCAAAATAATTTAAATCCATAAATAGGTGAACATGGTTGAACTGACTGTGGTTAATTAACCAGCAATTTTTGAATTAACAAGAAAAACAAGATTTGACAAGAAAAAAAATTAACTATAGCTCTTTTAATTTTGGACAAATCTAATGAGATAACTTGATAAGATAAAAACTTCATTGATTCAAAACTAAGAAAGATGGAAAAAATCGACAACTAAGGCCTTTTACCCTCTTCAGTTCCTTTGAATTTTTATCCTTAAATTAGGACATTAATTTCATACCAAATGGAACTATTTTATTTTTATCTTCAAAGACAATGCAAAAAATATTATATATTTCAGGCTCTTTAAATAAAAAAAATCACCAATTTTAACTTGTAACATGTCTTCCAAATTCTTTGCCTTTAAAGACTCATGAGTTTGCAATGACAAAGCACAACTATAAACTCTTTCTACAATCAGATTTCTCTCAAATCTATCACCAATTTCATTCCAATAAACTAAGAAAGCATCACCTAAAAGACAAATACCTAAATAAAAATGATATTTAACAGAAAAGTGAGCATGAAAACTCATTTTAATGTTACATTATTCTTTTAATATTTTTATTTCTGGTTAAAGTTAGTATAATATATTTGATTACAAAATAGTTTATCAAATACATACTTTTTTTTTACCTAATATGTAATGAATCATGGGAATGATGTACTGATTCAAAGAACAGTATAATAAATAAGTATAATAACAGTACAACAGAATAAGTAAAAATTTATGGAAGAAAAATTATTAAAAAAAAAAAAATTCTATAAATTTCAGCATATCAGTTGATGCCACTACACACAACTATTTTGTAAGCATGCAAATTTTAAGTTGACCTCCCATATAATCCAGAGATGCCAACTTGCTCCAGACAGCAAATATATATTTTAAAGTGGTAGTTAATCAGTTGTGATTCTTGGTTTTAACCCTTCCTTCTCGCTCCCGTGAAAATGATGGGGTGAGTTTTCGCTCACTATTTCTCGCTCCCGTGATATTGACGAGTTGGAGTGTTCAGTAGTAATGCGCCAATAAGAATAAAACTAATTCATTTCTTTTGCCCAGAAAACATTTTATTTCTCATTTTACACACCATATAGCAGTACCAGGATATTTTTAAGGTAATTGTAAATAGTTAGTATATTTTAAACTAGATGCTAGCACTAATCAAATACAGGTATTTGGCAAAATAGACACTTTTATGACCGTTTTCTTGAAAATTAACCGATCGTTAAGGGGTTAATCAATTCAATTTAGATTTTTATCCACCACTATTTCTAAATAATTCGTAGGCTTATATAATTCACCACTTTATAGTACTTATGTCATGCGTACCTTTTAAAAAGCAAGCAAAAATAGTCAAATATTTGCAAAATTTACTTTGTAGTTATGTACCATTTTTAAATTTTTTTTTTTTTTGCCGTGTCCAGAGCAGTTGGCATCTCTGATAATCTATAAAATACTTTCCTTCTGATGATTCTGCAACAAAGAACTGATTCTCCTAAATGATGGTATGTTAAGTTTGGAATGTATGCCTGTAACTGGAACACTACAATATGTCTTATTATTCCATCTGCTTTTGACACAAATTAAGAAACAGTTGTAAAAATATAGCCTAATATTCTGATTTAGTTTCTCGTGTCTATCTTGGGTGCTGAACTAATTTATTGCGTAAGAACACATTTAAAAACAAGTGTTTCAGTTGATTCTCATTACAGAAAAAAAAGGGGGAGATGAAAATTATTGACTAATGAAATTCTAGCAATTAATAATTAACCCTTTGAGGTCCATTTTTCTCTTTTAGCCTAGTTACTTCCATGACAAAAGTGATATACTTTAATTGAAATCGAAATGTATTATTAAAAACCTAATTTCACATAACAAATAAACAATGCTTTCATAAATCAAACATGGCAACCTAAAATAGGACCGAAATGACAAATTTATAATGGAAATGCAAAGGATTAAAATAAATAAATTCATACTTACCAGCAAAGTTCAAAATATCACCTCCGGCAGAGATCAACACTAAAAGTGTAAAACATATTTTATTAACAATAAATGTAAACACATTTTATTTTTAAAAAATAATACAGAATAGAGAACAGAATTTGGGATAAACTTTTAAAACCAGGTAAATATTTCCTTCTGTCAATCATAAAACAAGGCAATTGATTAACAATCAGTTGTTTTGAAGTCAAACTTAAAAACTTTTAATTATATACATACAGAAGTGTTTTTCTAAGTAGGTTAGGTGCCCAGCATCAGAATTTACAGAGTCAATTTGCAGCACTATCTTCAGAAATTCGAACTTGTCTGCAATGCACAGTCAGAAACACAGTATTAGACCAAAAAATTAAGCTTAATCTAACATGTGTACAATGTGTCAAAAAAGGACCACCCTGAATAACGTTTGATCTAATAAATGGATCTTCACTTTCTAGAGCTCCATCTTGATGGTTCGAGGGGGTGGCTCAAATATGCTAATTAATTTCCCGCAGATGTTATTTTAGGTTACGAAATCACACACAAAAATGTACTTTCTCTGAACAAACATATATTTTCTTTGTCAGATTCGGATTTATGACCGACAAAATAAAGGGGGTAGTTGCAATCTGGGAATTGAAAACTGTTTGCGCAAAGTAAAAAAATTTATTTATCCAAAGTAAAAAATTATGCTCTATGCTTGTTAATTATTTTTTTATTCAATTAAAAAATGATTAAAAAAATTTATTTTAAGGTATACATATCTTTACATCAATATAATCTACGTAATTTTAAGTGATAAAAATCCAAATTTTGAAAAGAATCCATTGAAATTGTACTTGAGAAACAAAAAATTACAAATTCTACTTAGATGGGAAAACATGTAAAAGATGAAATTAATGTTCAGAGGCAAAACTTTCACACACTCATCCAGACTAAATAATTGTGACCATATTTTCAGGATTGCAACTACCGCCATATAATCAAGGTATTGAACAATACTGAGTTCACTGTACTTTTAAGCTAATAAAATGAGTAAGAATTAACGAACTTAAAATATAATTAAAATAACTTACTAGCTGCCAATGTGCTCATAAAACCATTCAAAATACTCGCTAGTTCTTCAACACCAGAAATACCCTTTTGACAATATGATTCTGCAATATTTGTAAAACCTAAGAAAACAATATAAAAATTATTATTTATGAGCATTGTCGATCCATTTTAGGCACACTACCGTTCCTAGTTTTAAATTTTTTTTATTTCATAAATTTATATTCATATTTAATATTCTTAATCTTTTTTAAATAAATAAATCAGTTAAATATTTTTATTTAATTTTATGAAGAAAGAATGCAAATATTTATATTTTCGATAAATACAATGATTAACTTTTTATTTCAATGCAAGTGAAATTATAATTCAATGCCAGAACGACTGAGCATCAAAATCTATTTTCAATCTTTCTGCAACAACCTTGAACATTAAAATATACAAAATTAGTTTTATTTTGATTTTAAGGACTTTTTGGTCTTAAATCTTCGGCCAATTTATTTAAATATGAACATTACGTGTCATGTCATTGGCTAGACTTCTGACAGCTTCTGATTTCAATAATGCAATTAAATAATATATAATAGGTCTCTCTTAAACTAATATATAATAGGTCTCTCTTAAACTAATAAATAATAGGTCTCTCCAAAACTCCAAAGCCACAATCAAATACTCAAATTTGAAGTGGTTTTTAATCAGGCAGATTGTGGGGATTTATCTTCCATGAATTATTCTTAAGAAATCATTATTCAATATTTATTATTTTGTTTAGGATGTTACTTAGATAAGATATTCTCTTTATTTTGCAACATGAACTCAGTAATATTATTTCACAAAATAAAAGCTTTATTCTGATTAACATCCTTTTTCATCATCTACAATCTATTTGTTTTCACTATACATAGCCTCCAATAAGATACCTGCAAGTGACATGTGGGTATTTCGATCCTGATTAGTTGTTGAAACATGGCATTTGTTTAAGTTAGCAACTGTTCTTTCGATTCTATTTTAAGTAAGCCAGGCCAATCAAGTATCAATTCTCTTAAGTGGCACATTCTGTATTCTTTCACAAAGATTTGAATTCTTCCACTATATATTTCTTACTTAACACAAGGACAGGCACGAAGCCATATAGACATAAACAAACTAATTATGTGTGGAAGTTGCCAGGTATACAAAACAAAATTATATCACATTTAGAAAAAAATACATAAACAAATAATAAATCTAAGTTAAATAAAAGACTTAGACGAAAAAGACATATTTCAACAAATTCGATGTGCGATTATAAGTTAACTTCCTGTTAATTAAAATTCCAACTTATATGTGAAGAAACTTAGCTCAACTTTAAACATGCCATTTTGCTTATAAATGATCAGCTGGCACTGACGTCATATGTCACATGTGTGGGTATCAGTGATCTTCTTCTTGAAGGACAAGAACGGAATTGTTCTACTAATCCACCTGTCCCATTCTGAACTGTAAAATCTAGCTATCCCCCAATAATTTTGATTTTTATTATAATCAACAAAAATTTCCTCGGCAAGCATTAAACAAAAACTTTATAATCACATGATAAAGAAGAGTTTTACTCTCAAAAATTTAAGCATTTCTAATCACTATATCATCTTATGTTGCATGCTATCACTGGATGCTTGCACCACAAATATTCACATGACAGCTATATAAAGAGGCAATTTTGAGGGTGCATATTATTAGTCATATGTAGTAAATGTCTTTGAGTAAATATGAATGTAAAGTAGATGTACTTAGGTGCGCCCCCTGCAAGAATTATAAATGTGCTCTATCTTAATCATAAATTTTTTAAAATTATAATCTGAGACAAGAACACTATAAAGATATATTCCAGTATTTATAATAATTTATTTAATTTAAATTGACTTTATTATTTAATTGATAATGTAAATTATTTTAATATTAATTAATAATTGCGATGGAAAGGCGAATTAAAAAGAACTAAATTGGAACATTGTATACACATACCGGCTAACCACTTGAAATGAAATTTACCTTAATAATACAAGGAAATAACTCACTAACTTGCAATAATTATATTCAAAGTTTAGTTAAGGTTATTTTTTATTTGTAAAGTGAGCTAAATATAAAAGAATAAAATGTTTTTATTGTAATTCATATAGTAGGGGTGTATAATCTTTTAAAATAAAGGGCTATGAGCCCAATTGTTTAGATATGTTGACAGCAATTATAATTTTAATTCAAACATCAGATCAGTTCTTTTTATCAGTCAACTTAGTAATGTATTCACATGAAATTAAATTCTCTAAATTCTTTTTTTTTATTATCTCAATTTTTTCTTTTTATTTCTTTTTTATCAGTCAACTAAGCAATATATTTGAAAAAAATTAAATTCCTTTAAAATTAAAATTTATTCAAAACTGAAGAAAACCAAACTGATACTTTTCAAAATAAAAATATTTCCTTTTTATCAAAGAAAAAAAATAGAGTTATCAAAAAAAAAAAGTATGAAAAAGGAAGAAATTTATGGCTTTTTATCACACAACACTAAAGTGTATTTTAAAATACATTAACTGCAATGTTCTTGAATGAAAATAAAAAATAGATAAATATTGCATTGAGCAACATAAATGCAAACTAAATATTTTAATTTAAAAAAAATTCTTAAGTCAAAAATAATTTAAAATAAAACAAGATGAATAACAGCTCAAAATAAGATACAACATTCAGTACCGATTGAGTTCAGTATATTTCTTACTTTAGGGCATTTATATTCAGTGAGTTATAAGAGACTTTATGAATGTTAAATCTTAATATGGTACTTTAAGCACTGTTTTAAACTGCAAAAAATTAGAAAAAAAGTTCAGAAGCAGTAAACAGTTTAAAAACCCATATTTTAATTTCCCATTTTGTAATAATATGGTATTAAAAATATCAAGATTTTAATAAGTAAATAAGTAAAAATATATTTAAATAAATAGTAGCAACTGCTAAAAATAATAAATAAGTGATTAATATCATGTACTGACGATTAAATCAGCACATATAAAAAGTCAAAAAGTGAATATGAAAATGACTGATTTGAAAATAGCAAGTCATTATATTACCGGAATAAAAATATCAAGATTTTTGAAACCCTCTGGAAAAGCCCAACAATAATTATTGAAAGAATGATTTTAAAAAAATCTCTTGGATTTGCAAAGAAATTGGCACAAATAAAGTAGACATTCATATACACGATTCAAGTGCCATTTTAATACATATTAAAAAGATCAGCAATTAAAAACCCATATAGAAACCCATAATACTAAAAAATACGATAGAAAAATAGCTTTGATTTACGACAAAATTAACACAAATAAAGCACTTTAAGAGTGATTACTTTTCTCCCATTTGAAAGTTGCAAGTCATTATAATATTATATTGAAAAGAGCAGGATTTTAAGAAACACATGGAAATCAGACAATAAGCTCCGAAAACACGATGGAAAAGTCACTTCTCACAAATAATGATAAAAGTCACAAGTAAAGAGCTTCAAAAGTGATCACTAAATTTCAAAATGAACACATCATAATTTTGCAGCACTAAAAATATTGGAATTTTTAAGACTTTGTAAATTTGTTGCGATAACCTCCGAAAAAAGCAATTCGGAAAACTACATTGATTTTGATATAGCCTGTTAAAAACTTAAGTACACAATTCAAAATTTCTGATAGTGTAATTTTTTTTCCAAAACAAAATTATAAAAGTTTTATGTTATTTTATTCAGATGCTTTTGTGAGCTGCACACCTAGAGCTAGTGGGACACAGGTTGCGCACCCTAACGCTATAGTGTATTATTTCTGGATTGCACGTCCCCGGGCAACCAGAATTGGGAAGGTGTTATTCACGCCATAGACAGGGTGCGTAGCCAAATTATTCAACAAAAAATAAGCACCTTTTAAGCACTTTGTCAAGCACTCAAAAAATATTTTTAAGCACTTTAAAAAAATATCATAATTAGGCAGGGTTGGAAGGTTTTTGACAATTGACGGTTTTATCTTGTTATCAAAAAAAAACTTTGACATTGTTTTCGACAATTGTCAAAAATCATTAAATTTTGAATCATGTAAAACAAATGGCGTCTTCATACGCTACGGACTGACAATACGCCAAAATAGATGTGGGGTTGAATTAATTATAAAAACGTTGAATATAACAATGTGAATTTCTTTTTGCATAATTCATAGCGAAAATCAACATGTTAAAGGAAAAATCTCATTTTGAAAAAAGGGAAAATTAAGCACTTTTTAAAAACATCCAATGAAAAAACAGCTTTAAGGGCTTTTAAAAAACGAACATCGAAAATAAGCACCTTTAAGCACATTTTAAAAACGCTATGCACCCTGAAAGAGCCCCTAAAAGCAAATCAGGAAATTGTAGCAAATCTATAGTTTATAAGAAAATAATTTTACTGAAATCAGCATAAAATGCTACACATTATGATACAATAATTAATTTCTGAAATACAATGCATGATTTTAAATAATAAAAATTATAATAAATGAAAAGCTCTTACCACAAACATCGACTATTAGCATAACAGCCTCAGAATCAAACCTATAAGGCAGAGTATTCAACATTATATCAGGTGTAGTTTTAACTATCAGATCTGGTATAAAAGTAAGCGGAAGATAAATCAAATCAGGTAATGAATCTTCTTGGATAGGAACTTTCAAAATACCTTTCAATATTTTCAATCTTTCTTTGGCTTCTTCGACACTATCTTTTCTGTTATCTAATTAAGCAAATTAAAAGAAAAAAAATTAATGAGTGAAAATGCATTTTCCCTAGAGAAATTTTTCAACAATTAAAATTCCTTTCATGATAAAATGAATCATAAAATTTCAACAAGTGTGCAAGTCATATTTAACAAAACAAAATTAATCGTAAAAATTTAATAGCTCTAAATGTAATTTTTATTGAACATTTTCCATTTTGTGTAATTTATTCTCATAAAGAGTATAACAAACAAAATAAAAGGTATAATTTAAAAATCTTCATTAATGTATAATTACCAAAGTAATTACTCCTACAACAACTCAGCATTAAACATCCTGAAAAATAAAAATAACACACCATCAAATTATGTCAATTAGAAAAAATAACTTAATTAACAAGTTTTTACCTTCCAAACAATCCTTCATTATTATCCCGTTATTACTTTTTAAATAATTCCGTTTGAAGAAAACTAACAAAATTTTAAGATAAGCAATTCATAATGAAGATGTAGGGAATAAATACCATCTTTATTTAAAATTAAAAATAATAGCAAATATTTTTGATTTTCGAAATCCTTCATCTCGCGGCAGTTAATTAGATTATAAATCTAGCCGGTCAAGCCTTTTTCCACTGCATCGGAGGAAACTGATTATGAAAAACTGTTGGTTTGAGCTGAACCAGGAAATTTTGTGAACGATAAACTTTATGTTTCGATTCAACGAGTTGTGAAAGTTTTTATTTAAAATGAAATGAAGTTACAGAAAAAAATGTTACTTCTTTTTATTTTGTGTTTTGCAATAAATGTGGAATTTGGGCTGATCATTTAATCTAGTTCTTATGAAAGTCTATTGTTTAATGTAAATAAACTAAAATTGCATTAGATATTTTAAATGTAAAAATAATATCAAAATGTGCTACATGTGATCACTCAACTTATTTCAACACGCGGTAATGTTTGTAAACAACTGTTGATAGAAATTTGGAATCAAGTTATTATGATCATTTATTTATTTTTACATTATCCTAACCTTTTTTCTAAAAAAATTATTTGGTTTTAAATTGTTATCTTTTAATTCGAAATTTGTTTCTTATGAATACTCGAAATTCGTAATTAAGTACGCATATTTCTGTAAATTTTTCATTTTACCTATATTCACATACATATTAGTGCTCTGATAGAGACATAATTAATTCATAAAATTGACTGTGTGGGCGGTATTTATTTTAATTGAATACTCATTATTGAAAAGAGAATCAAAACCTGAAAATTAGAATTTTTGAGTTACTTTTTTATTAACTAAGTAAATATATCATCTAACGGTGAATTTCAAAAGAGGAGAAGCAAAGCTTCGCTATAATGAAACTGCATTGTTTGGATCACAACATTCACTAAAAAATATTTTTCAGCTTTGGGATTTGACTTTCAAAACATGAATACCCCATACTACAGTCGTCTTCGCTTAAATATTTTTCTGGGATGAATTTTTAGTGTGTATTTATGTGTGAATGAATAAATTTGTAATAAAATATTATGTGTTTAGTAAATATTTTTGAGGCACAGTGTGGCCCATTTACGAACCAAAATTTAATTTAACTCTATCAAAGAAGTCATGTTACTAAAATAAGAATTTGTACATTACCATTTCAGTTATTTTATTTATATTTATTTTATTATAGGAAGAATTACGCATTGTGATCTGGGGCAGAATAATCGCAAAGTGTTGAAAACATCACAGTGGAGGAGATACTCAAAGGAAAAACCTCTACGTGATTTAAAATCCATTTGTCGCCATTATGATTGTAGTTGGTACGACAGATCACAATGCAGAAATATCCCCTTTATTTTTTGTTTATTGAAATAAAAAAATAAATAAAAACATAACACTTGTATTTAACTTGTTTTACATAGGAAACTATCACCTGCAATAGCAAAATGGATGCAAACTGACCGAAAAAAAAAATTTCAGGCAAGGATTAAAACAAAACAAATAATCAATTAGTAGAATAGACTAAGTTTGGAATAAAAAAATTGGACAAAATTTTTTTTTAAAAACATTATTTATAAATCCAGGCTAAAGTTTATTGCCTTCATGAAAATATTATTGAAATTTGTTTCAACACATCCTTTTTCTATGTTTTGATTAACTCACTCTTGTGTCTGTAAGGATAAAATTTTGCAATTAGATTTTTGTTCACCCTCTGACTAGTTAAGAAAGCTTAAATTTTAGCTAGAATTTTGTGTCTCGTCTTAAGAGAACCTTTTTTTTGTTGTTTATTTTACATTATGATGGAAGCGGAATTTATCACCATTTAAAATGTTAACAGCTTTCAAATTTAAACAAACTGGTAGGCAAAAATAAAAATAAAAAAGTATTATTAAGTTTAAAAATATTGAAAACTAGATTTTTCATGCTTAATTACACAAAACTTTTTGCTGAAAGTGAAGGGTCAAATGTTTTTTGTTTTAGGTTAGAGCAAAAATTTTCTTGGTGCCAATTTTTATCTTTGTGTTTGTTATTTGTGTAGATCAGAATGTGGTCAAAGCTTTGATTTGCAATGAATTATAATTGCCCCATTTAAAGAAACAATTCATAACTAACTTTTTGATTAGTAATGAACTTTATTTTGGCTTTAGTTCTTAACTCTTTTTAAAATTTAAGTAAGTTAGCTAGTTTGTAAGGAGCCAAAAGTTTTTTTTTTTTTTTCAACTTACTAAAAAATAAAATCGATTAAATTTCCATTTTATTTCATAATTGATTAATAATTAACATATTTTTTTCATAGAAATAATGGAACAAGGAAATATAAAGCCTATAGACAGAACCAGTGTTCATAAAATATGTTCTGGACAAGTAGTTTTGACTCTGGCAACTGCTGTAAAAGAACTTGTTGAAAATAGCATTGATGCAGGAGCAACAGTTATTGGTAAGTTATTTTATACATTTCATTCTCCACCCATAAGCAATGTTATAAAATATTTTTACGAGAATAATTTCATTCCTCAAAGCTTCAGATCAGAGTTAAGTTTCTAAATTATCACCATTTTATAATATAGAATTATAACTAACATTTTAACTATTAAAAATAGACATCCTAAACTTTAAGATTGACTATTTTACCAAAAAACATTATTCCAAAAACTTTTTTTTTTCTTTTACTTTTTTTAAAGTCTGTGGTGAAACAAACATCTTGTTTTTCTAATTAACTACAATGGCTTTATTACGAAAGTAGTTAACTACAACTCTGACTACTTTTTTTTTTAATGCAGTGAATTATTTTCAAAGTGTAGTCATTACTTTTAGGAAATCAACTTTTCTGGAGAACCTATTTTAAACCCATATTCTAAATGGTTTTGAATAAAAAAATTGAATTTTTTAAACATGAGGAATTATTAGGATATATTTATTTATGTCTATTGTTGTTGTTTCTTATCTACCAATTGTCAATCAAGATCCGTTAGACTGTAAACCCTCAGAAAAACGAGAACTAAAAGAAGAAAAACATATTATAACTCATCTCGGGAAAGACCCAAGCAATCCAGGATGTGTTCTCCAGGGGTCTGCTGAGCTTGTCGTTTAAAGCAAACTGCAAAGATCTTCCTGTCTTCAAAGAACGAGTAACTCTTCGCGTGTCCACTGGCCAATCTTGAAAATGCAGTTCATGAGGCTCAATTACAGTTGAGAACAAACTAAGAGCTTCTTTGTTCTCATATTAGCGGAGGCAGGGAGGGGTCTTCAGTCTTTTGTAATTTCAGATTGATGCTCTGAATTTGTAAGGGCTGAAGAGGATGGAGTTGAGTGACTGAACCGTCCTTGGCTAAGCAATCCACTTGCTTATTGCCATAGCATGGGATGCAATCCTCTGAAAATGTACATCATAGATTTCACATTTAGACTACTCAGCTTGTTATTCTAAACTCTTTTTTTTGTTGAAGAATTTGTGTTTTTAACCTTAAACTTTTTATACAAGTCAGCTTGTTATTCTAAACTGTTTTTTAAGAATTTGTGCTTTTAACCTTAAACTTTTTACGCCTTTCCTGTCAGCGAATAATTAATTTAAGAATTGCTAAAAAATTGTCAAATATTTGTGATTTTTGTAAAGTGTTTAATGCTCTTTTATTTCCTCTATGTAATAAAGTACTTTGAAAATTACTGAGAAAATATATTCTTTTCCTTTGAAATAGCATCAATATATGTTATGACTGTACATTCACATTTGAAAGTGTGTTTAAAGGAATAAATTAGCTTTTATTCTAAATGGCTAGTTAGCAGGGTTCGTGGATTTTTTGATTTTTTTAAAAAAAATCAAAAAATAATCGGATTATTTTGATTTAAATCAGATTTTTTTTATTTAAATCAGATTTTTTTGATTTAAATCAGATTTTTTTTATTATTATTCAAATACACTATAAGAGCTTTAATTTATGATTAAAAAAACTTAATAAATGTTTAATCAAAATTAAATTAATATTAAAACTATATTATAACAATATTTTAGCAGCTCTAACTTACTAAAATAATTTTTCATTATAATGCATAGCGACCATTTTTATACAAAGGCATGATTGAAATTAAAAGACACGATAAAATGGATAATTTAAAGAATACTATTCTAACTAGTAACACAAAGTTTCAATTAGCACACCATAATTTTAATTTAAAATTGTGATCTCTTTTTTTTTTTCTCATGATTTAAAAAATGGCAAAATAAATTCAACAGATTGTGTTTATAAATGTTATCATTCATCAAAAAATAAATATTCAATCTATATATTTTTATGTTAAAATATTCATTTTTAATCCTATATCAAAATACATAAGTTAAGCTAAAAAACATTTTTAAAAAATCTATGTACTCATTGGAATTTTTTTTCACGAAAGAAAATCTGTTAATTTCAAAGATACCGTAAACATATTATGAGAAGAAAAAAAATACCACTTAATAACCCTACTGCTTCAAATAGACTTTGAAAGGGAATAATGACACTATATAAGGAAAAAAATATCTGAACTCAGCTTTTTTTTCTTTCTATTTTTGGCATTTTAAGGTAATTTCTTTTTTTGTTATAACCACAAGCTTTAGAAATATAGAAATTTCCATCAATAAACTACAATGTAGATTTGAATTCCATGCTTTTTTAATCAAAAGGTAGACATTTAATTAACATTTTCTTTTTGTCTTTTTGAAAAAAAATTATGTTTATTTACTTTCTACAGCTATGCAAGTCTATATTAAGACAGCATTAAATATTTACTTTTATCTGTACTTTCAATGTTAAGAATCAAAAGATTTTTAAACATGTAATTTCAAATGTGTTTAANTTATAGAGTGGTAGACAATTAAAAACTAATTAATAATATTTGGTAGTTTTGCCAACATTTTAAAAGCCTCACCAGGAGAGAGCTGTAACAAAGTGGTGCTTCATATGAACTTTTGAATCATTTTAATGTAGTGGTAAGAATCAGTTTTAATGAGTCAAAGAATCATATTCTGAAAAATGAACTTAGCATCCACTAGAAAAAATTTTCTCAAAAAGCATAAAAATTTGGCATCAATGCCTCCATTGCCAGACCCGTGAAGATTTGTATTAATCAGATTTAAAAAATTAGTTATGTTTAAACCTTGTTTCTGTACTAAATTAAATTACTTAATTATATTAAAAGTAGTTACCTAAAAATTATGTACTTAATTATGTTAAAAGTAGTTGTTTAAAATCCCTACTGACTACTGTTTTTTTTATTTTTTTTATTATTATAATTACTCTACTCACTTTACTACTTTTTTTAAAAAGTTGTACGCTACCCAGTAAACTCTATTATAAAAGTAGCAACTTCATTAGTTTTGCTACTTCGGACCTCTGTTTTTAAGTGATTGGTATTTTTGTAAAATCCCGTCAATCAGGATATTAGGTCAAATTCAGCCCAATTTGCATCAAATTGTTTCATATTGTAACCAGTGCATCATATTTCATGAGAATTAAAATAAAAAATATTAAAATCAATGTTTTAAAACTTTTGATTAAAAAAAATTTTGGCATAGTTTAATTGGAAAAATATTTAAATAAAAAAGTTCTTTGAATGCATTATATTTTAATAACAATAAAAAAAAGCTGTTTTATAAAAGTAGCCAATCATGTATTTAGAATATAGTTTCCATTGTTGGTAAAAAAATCATGTTGTTTAGGGCAATTTTTCATTTTTTGATAAATTGGTTAATGTGATTTTACGCAAGTACTGGTTAATTTGACTAAGGTTTTTAAAAATAGACCCCCCTTCCAAAAAAAAAAATCATTATTAATAAATTATATTTAAAACAACTCTTTATGAACTTTTTTCCCCATGATTTTAATGCATATTCAATATTTATATTACAAATAACACCTTCATTGTATCATAGATTCAAAAATTATACATAGTAATTTCATTTTTTTTTTTTTAATTCTTGCTTTACTTATTTATTGTACCAAATCTTTGAAATAAGGGGAGAAAATTACTTAGTCATTTCTTGATCATATTCATGTTTTGATTGTTTTAAATTTTTTTCTTTTTTTTTTTTAGATGTCAAACTTGAAGATTATGGCAGTAAGCTAATTGAAGTTAGTGATAATGGGAAAGGAGTTAAATCACAAGATTTTCAGAGTCTAAGTAAGTAAATCTTTTAACTTAAATTTTGAGTTTTTGAAAAGTTTCAATGTGTGAAAATTGTGGATAAAAACACCGCAATTCAACTACATAAATTTTAACCTGAAAAATCTACTAGATTCTTCGTGAGAAGGTACCAAAATAATCATCAAACCTTAGAGACGTCTGGCAATAGCTTATAGAAAACTAAAAAACTAATAATGCCATTAGACCAACTATTACACATTTAAAAAAAAATGTAAGTTTAAAAACTTTGGCAAATAAATTTGGTACCAATACAGAAATATCCTCTTTTTAGACATGCTATTTACTTTTAACTTGATGTTTTGTGTTACTTTTTTCCTTTCTCTTTGCTTTACTTTTTACACATATTCCTTTTTAACCTGTGTTAAAAAATTTATTAATGACTTAATAGCTGAGCTGTCTTTATGAAGAGCCTGGTTTTATCTCCGGTGGCAGTTTGAAAACCATCCAATTTCTAGTGGATAGGTATCAGCTTATCTATGAAGTAAAGGTAGCTAGTGCAACGTTGATGGCATTTCATGCTGTTGGTTTTGGAATCATGGAGTCTTAATTTCTATGACTCCTTTGGCCAGCACACTGGCTTTTGTAGGAATATTTTCCTTTACTTAAAATGAAGAAAGTGTCCCAGGGCTGGCAAGATTTAAATCACTTCATTAAGAAAAATAATGATTGATTTAAATTATTAATTTGTATTTTTAAAAAAAATTGCTGATTTAAATTTATATTTGTTTGCATACTTTGTATTATGTATTTCCCATTTAATATTCAGTTTATTTAAGAACATAAAGCTTGTAAAACTTATCAATTTCAATAAATTTTAAGTACAAAAATAATCGTAAAAGATTGTTGTGCCAAGAGTGATTTTCTTTCTGTTTTGTTTTTTGTTAACTGGAAATGAGGAACTATTAATACACTTTATCACAGGGTTTAAGCTGAGTCTAAAAATTCATTAGCAAAAAAGCTAAAATCTGAAAAAAAGTTTTAGTAAAATGCTAAAATGCCATTAGGCTTATAAAATTACTTTATATCAAACAAGTACTGTAAGTTATCTGACAAAGAATAGCTTAATGTACAAGAATATCAAAAAGAATACCTATAACAAAAAAAAACACATTTATTATTTATCAAAACATTTTGGTTTATAATTAACAATCTTCCTTTCTTTCATGTTTGCCCATTTTACAAATGCTTCTTGAAAGTTAAATGCACTTTCAGGGCCCCCAATATTAATCATTAACAAATTGTTTACATGGTTGATTAACAACCTGTTTCGAATATTAGTTTTAATCAAATTAAGGCAGCTAAAGCCTCTTTCACAGTCAACAGTGTGCATTGGTATTGTTGCACAATACCCTATAACAGAAGTTATTAATGGGTACTGTTCAGACACATCATTGGTATATAAAAATAAAAGTAATTCATTAAATGACATGTTTTTACATCGTTGCATTAAGATGTGTTTAAATAATCCTCATTCACAAAGTAATTCAGTTTCTGTAAACTGAAAATCTTTTCTGGGAGATTCCGAAAACAAATTGAAAATGCAACGGCCATTTTTGTTGATCGCTATGCTTCATCTCGTTTGATCACGTTTTTTTCGTGAACGCTAGCGTCATGGTTCTTCTTGCGAAAGATATTTAGATTTTTTCTCCTTCTTGTTTGATCAAGTTTTTTTCATGGATGGCAGTCATGGTTTTTCGCGGAAGCTTTTTTTTTAATGGAATTTAGTAAAATCCTTTAGCAAAAATACGAAAATGCTTTGTTGAATTTTAGCATTTTTGAGGGGTCTTTTCGCATTTTGCGAAAAAAGCTACCGTAGCGGAAACCCTGCTTTATCAGTTATTTGATTGGTCACTGTTGAAAGACATTTGCTTCTTATTTTCACCTTATTATGAGTGCATGAAAGGTTCTGATAATTTGATGAAAAAAAGGTTTATTTTCTCATTCCTGAGCATAATACAAACTAACCATTTCATTTCAGCGCTCAAACATCATACGTCAAAAATAGCTGATTTTTCAGATCTTCCTTTTGTTTCTACCTTTGGATTTCGTGGGGAAGCTTTAAGCTCTCTATGTGCATTGAGGTAATTTTTTCTTTATATTTATTATGCCAACTTTAAATCAAATTTTTGTTTCAATAGCTAATCTAATCTATTCTATTCAGTGACCTTGAAGTAACTACTCGTAATGCTGAGACTGAAGTTGGCACAAATCTTAAATTTGATCATAATGGAAAACTCGTTAAAGCATCGCCAGCTGCACGCCAGGTGAATTATTGTTTACTTCAATTTTCACATATAGTTCAACATGCATATTTTATTCTGACTATCTATTACCCATGTCTTAAATTTATAACCTGTAATGAATATTATTTGAATTATAAATTGTCATCATTTCATATCGCAAATTTGATCTTATTTTGTGTAACTTGATAATAAATACATGTTAGTTGCTATAGTATCTTTTTTTTTTAAATATTTTTTATGGATTTTAACAAAGTTTCTATAGAAGCTCTGTTATTATATTTTTTAATCTTTCAACAAGTTTTCTCATCCTGCTGATAAAAGTCCATGGCATTTGTACCATAGGATGGACATACATGATTTAAATGAGTGCTATTTAATGCCATGATACCAAAAAACCTCCAACGCGACAGCATGTGCTGCAGATTATAATAGCAGTTTCAATTTTTTTTATCTCAGATGTACAGTGAGAAGGGGGATACTATACTGCTTCAACTTCTCAGCCTATATTGCACAAATCAAATTCCCATTTTCCTGATGAATATTTTGCATGAATTTTCATTTGAATAAAAAAATTTCAATTAAGAACACACATCTGATTTCAAATAAAAATGTCATGAAAGCATTCTTTGACCCTATAATTGATTTTAGGCATAATAATTTGAGAAAAAAAAGGAATAGCTCTATACTCTTATTTAATATTCAAACTGATTAAATATTTTAAACTCTTTTTTTAATCAATAATTGTCCACCTGGAATGATGGAATTCACTAGCTTTATTTTTCAAAACTCCCTTATTGTGTTAAATAAGTGGAAAGTCCCATATCCAGAATCGTTATAACTTTGCCAAGTTTGGAAAATAGTATCAAGGTAAACAAAGATCTAAACATTACATTATAAACAACATCAATATTTATGCAATAACATTTTATTATTAGTTAATTGACATTTAATTAGCAAGGGAATATTTTTTTGGATAAATAATAAAAAGGAAGCAGTTGATAATTTGAACTTCCTCTTTCATTAATAAAGACATGTCTTCTCTCTTGCTCTCTTTTTTTTTCTTTTTTTTTCAAGTGATGTGAGGAGTTGACAGTGCAGATATTGAGATAAAAATATTATTAAAAAAACAAGCTTTAATGTGGAAGGGAAAATTATTCCTATTTATTTTATTTAATAGAAAAAATTACAAATGAAGCAATGAAATTCAGATAATTTTTTGAATGAAAACATTTATAATTTGATTCAAAACAAAGCCTGTCTACATATGTCTCTTTTAAACAGTATCAATATTCAGCTTTATTAATATTCATAATTTATTCTTCTCACTGAAGTTTTGTTTTTCTTCAGCTGTTCTTTTCTTTTTCAACAATTCTTAAAATGTGACCCTTAAAGAAGTATACACAAATGTTTAGCTATCCGAAATGCAGCAAGAGGATGTAAAAAAAATTCTTTTATTTTAGAATTTTAAAACAGATCATACAATTAAAAAAAATTGCATTTTTTTATTTATTTATTTTTTAAATTTAAAAAAGAAAAAGAGATATGCTTATTTCGATTGTTGATAACTACCCAGAGAACTCATATGTTTATTAAACGAATATGAGACTTTTTAATGTAGTAAGAACTACATTAAAATCTACATATCTGCTATAATATCAAATATTTTTATTGGTTTGTTTTAGATTGGAACAACTGTGATTCTTAGAAAAATATTTTCCACTTATCCTGTTCGTCATAAAGAATTCACTAAAAATGTTCGAAGGGAATTTACAAAAATGATACAGCTACTTACAGCATATTGCTTGATTAGCATAAATAAGAAAATTACTTGTACTAACTGTTCTGAAAAAGGGTAAGGTAAAATTTTTATAATGAGTATTATATTAATAATAGATATCATTGTAAAATGGATCTATTAGAGATAATTTCTAACAATTTAAGCTTATGTGTTCATAAAGTCTATTTCAGCTAGACTAGTTGTTAAGCCTAAAACAGATATCTTTTAGAAAAGCACCCATGTTGCTCTCCATAGTATATCTTTGAAGCAATTGTTAACCTAAATTTAATTTGTATTTTTTATACTGTTTTTAGGTTACATAATAAAATTTGTATAAAACACATACAAGGGAATTTTTCGATTGAAATCACAGAAAAAAATTATTCTAAATTTTTTCTTTCATTAAATTTCAATTTTTATAGATAATATATTTAGTATTTCAGATTGTGATTTGCACTAAATTAAAATTCTTTTATAATTTTTATTTGTAAAACACAGTTTAAATCATTTTAATCTAAATAATTCATTAAATTATTACCAGTGTGTTTCAGAGGTTTCAAAAAACATTAACTTTGACTTCAGACATAATTTTCTTGTTTTTTTTCAAAACATGTGCTTAGTCTTATTAATTTAAACATATTGAAAGATAAAAAAGTATGATTAGTAAAATATATTTCTTTCATTAATATTTATATTAAAGCTTTAAAATGCATTTTGTTTATAGAAGGAAGAATGTTGTGTTAGCTACTCATAATTCTAAAAGCTCTAAAGAGAATATTGTTTCTTTATTTGGAGATAAGCAGGTGAGTTACAATTATTTTCCTTTTTTTCATCTTAATTCATAATAAGTTGAATCCTAAAGCTTTCTTAGTATAACCTATGTCTGTAATTGTCTTACCAAACAGGAATGAGGTTTCTCTGCTATTTGACAAAAATTTCAGATTTTTTTTTACGCCTTCACTTTGTATTTTTTTCTTATGTATTACAATTTTCAAAGAATATTAAGGAATATGAGCAATCCTATAATCACAAGCTGTTCTTTTATTGAAGGTCGAACTGTGTCAATGAGTGTGAATAGGATATTGCATCCTAAGGTCCAAAAATTCTAGATTTAAAAAGCAATTTTCAAAAGGAAATTATTTTAATCATCCTAACTATTGAATTCTTGTTTCAGAATTTATGATGAGTGATTTTATGAAATAACACAATGAGGGGCCGTCTACAAGTGATGTTACTCTTGAAAGGGAGGGTGTTAACTTTTGAAATTATGATAAGGAGGATCGAGGGGGTAACAAGAAGCGTGACATCACACTTTTGCATTTTAAAAAAAACCTTTAAAATCACGGATTAAATATTTTTTGTTATTTGTTTTCATATTTTTTTTCATCATAATAATTACACACTCAATCATTATTGTTAGGCTCTTAATCAAAATTAAAGCACATGAAATTTAAAAATAAAATTCGAAATATGGTCAGTAATTTTTTTTTTAATTGTATTGGTTTATTATGTAATATAGCTTGGGTTGTTAGAGGTATATTAATGTGTGACATTTTGTTACAAAAGGGAGAAAGAAATTAAAAAATATTGAGAAAAAAAGTATGATATCATATATGAGCAGCCTCTCATATTTAAATCATAAAAATTTTTAAACAAATTAAAAAGTCATTCACTTATTTACAATTTTCAGAAAAAGCAAAACAAATTTTTTGATATAGTTTTCCTATTGTTTTTATGCAATAAATTTTTTTAAAAAATCTGAAACCAAAAAAAAAAAAAAATTTCAACAATAATAAAATTTTCAAGATGTGAAATGATAGGCCACTAATTTACTCCTGCATAAAAGAATATTCAGCTATTAATAGTCTTTTTCATTGATCATAATTGGCTTGTATTGCCTTATTAAAAAAATGGAATTTATTAATAAGTATAGAATTTTCAAAGGTTATTTTAATCTATTGAAGTAATTTAAATTTCTATTTTATATATAGCTTATGATTGTATTTCAATAAGTGTAACTTTAAAGTTCAAATTATATTTTATTTTCCTTTTCTTTAGATGAAACAAATTATGGAAATCAAGCAACGTGAACTTTCTGATGAGGTACTAAAAGAATATTTTCTTCCTGAATCATCAATTGAGAAAAGTAAAATATTTAAGTAAGTTGGATTTTTTTTTTTTTTTTGAAGAGTTATAATAATTATTATACTAATATTTTATATCTCATTGCTATTTATGTAATAAAAGGGTCTAAGCCTTAATACTGTGTTTTTCCAAAATTATTAACAATTTTGTCAGGACTTTTTAGAATAAAATTTTAAGACTGACAAAAGCAAGAAAAATTACAAAATGATAAAACAGGCTATGTCAATATCAAAATGCTGCTTATGAATTTTATTTTTATCTTTAATTTATTTCAGAGCAGAACGAGACTGGTTTTTGTTTGGAGAGATTGAAAATTGTTTTGGATGTACTTACTGCAGCTTAATATGTTTTTTTATTGTCTTTTTTCCCAATTACACTAAATCAAATTTTAATTAAATCATTGATGATTCTGCTTGAGCCAGACCGCTAGCCTAAATCTCTGCTAATAGTGTAGAATAGCTAATAGTAAAAAGAGATAGAAATGTGCATTTTGCTTTAGAAATCAGATAATTTACCTCAACGAGTTTTGAAGTTCATCAATAGATGGTGTTGATGAATAGAAAAACTATAAGGAAATATTTTACCTGTGTCAAATCTTTAAAATGTTCGTTTGGATATCTGTTAATTTTATTCTTGATTGTAACAAAATGTTGCTGTAAATGTGGTTACTTTGAAAACAATTTTTGCAGCTTTTCTCAATTATTAGTGCCATTTGGTGACAAACTTTTTAATTACTTTTGGAAATTATTGAGAATAGAAAATTTTATTTGCTGAGCTGCTAACACATTTTTAAAAAAAATTTAAGGTGCAGTTTAGAATCAATGGTGGCTTAAATTCGAATAATAAAAAACAGTAGAGCGCCGACTTTTTTTTTTTAAAGTCTAGAATAATTTTTAACTTATCGACAATTTTTCTAAATTTAGAAGAATAAATAATATCCACTACATTTGATGACCATACTTAATTTACAACCTTTTTTAGCAGTTTTTTTATAGTAGCCATACATACATGTATTGTTATACAGTTAAACCTACAAACCCCTTTAGCCCTCTTCAACTGAAAATTATCTTCCAAGAATGCGAGCTTTATTTTGACAATCTAGAACGGAAGTTGATCCATTTCAGTTGATTTATTTAAAAAGAATAAGGGATATGGCTGCTCAGAAGAAAAAAAAGCATCTTCTTTGAAACAAAAATCTTTGCTGGATTTCTTTTGCAATGGAAAATAAAGAAACATGTGGTAAAATGAGTGTAATGCCTATATTCCATGCAAATAATCACACCAGATTTTAGTAATAATAAACTTAACTTTATTCAAAACCAAAAGAAACTAGGCATTATTTTGACTCAGAGCCTGCAGCTCTTAAACATCCAAGGGAGACCCTCTCCTGACGAAGACAAACATACATCTCCCTAGATTCCTAGCATGCCCCCGAAGGGGTGACACAATGCGCCGAGTGCGCCTGAACGATCGCTAAACAGTTGCCAGACATTACAATGAGTAATTGTCAAAAAAATAATAAAAGGCTGAAATATGATAAAAAATAATTCAAAATGAAAAAAAAAGTGAGAGAAAAAATAAATAAAAATATTTAAAAATTGAAAAGAAAAATTTTAAACACGCCAACGCTATTTTAGAGAGTACTGCCAGTCCTAAGCCTGGAAAAAATTATAAGGGAAGTTAGTGCATAAGTAATAATCATTTAAACTAGATTTTAAACAACTTTCCAATTAGCCGAACTTTTCATTATCCGAACCATGTTCGGTCCCGAGCAGTTCGGATAATCGTCGCTCTACTGTAATTAAAAAAATACAATTTTTCTTTATGGTGGTATTATATAACATTACTGTCCTTATTATGCCTTAACTAATTTTATATTCTTATTTTTCATTATATTTTTATTTTTCATTATTCTTATTAAATTCTTATTTTTCATTATATTCTTATTTTTCATTTTTCTTATTATGCATGATTCTTATTAAATTCTTATTTTTCATTATATTCTTATTTTTCATTTTTCTTATTATGCATGATTCTTATTATATTATTTTTCCTGATATTCTTACTTTTCATTGACTTCTGTGTAGGCTAGAAGGCTTCATATCAAATAGTACTCATGGTGAAGGAAGAAGCTCGTCTGACAGACAGTTTTATTTCATTTCTGGAAGACCATGTGATTTGCCTAAAGTATTTATCTTAAGTATTTATTATTTGCCTAAAGTATTTATTAAAGTATTTTCATTTTTGACTGCTAATAAAAATTATGAACATATTGTGAAACAATGGCGAATAGCAAAAGCTATGGAGACAAAGTTTTATCCCTATATTTTTTCCATTGTTATTTTTTCCATTGTTATTTTTAACATCTTTCTTTCTGTCTCCTGTTAAGCAATTCTTACTTTCACATCGCAACTTTCAAAGCTTTTTTCAAATTAATCGGTTTTTAAATTTTTCATTATAATTTTAAATTAATTTACATACAGTATTTCCATTTATTTTGAGATTTTAAAAGCATTGAAAGATGTTTTTTAAAAATGGAATTGAAGGAGAACTAGTATGCATGAAATTGATGATTGACAACATGAAGGCAATGGATGTTCAATAAATTGCTATAACAATACTTATTCATAATGTTCTACATTCGACTAACGGTTGCATTATTAAGCGTACTCAGCGTTTTAAGGAAAGTGCCATCTGGGGCTATATAAAATCTTTGCAAAAAAATACTTTGAAATACACTACGGGTGCTATTTTGTGCAGTATGATTTCTGAATTCTGAAGTTTTCTAGTAAAATTCTATTATTTTATTCTATTATTTATCAAAAGAAGTTTACTAGTTAAATTCTATTATTTTTTTCTTCTATTTATTAATGGGCTTCCATCGGTGAACTAAATTCGACTAGCCGTTGCATTAGTAAGCTTATTCAGCATTTTAAAGAGTTGCTATACAAAAAATTTGCAAAAAATACTTTGAAAGACACTGCAGGTGCTATTTTGTGCAGTATGACTTCTGAATTCTGAAGTTTTCCAGTAAAATTCTATTATTTTCTTTAACATTTTGCAATGCTTTTAAGTTATTAATATTTATCATAAAAATCAAATGTTTTCACATCTTTAAATGTCCAACATAAATTTTGATTCGAGTGTTTATCTTTTAATTTTTAGGTTTCAAAATTGATCAATGAAGTTTATCATTCATTCAATAAACATCAGTATCCTTTTGTTTTGATGAACGTTAGCTTAGTTGAAGGTATTTTTATTTCTATATACTAATATAACAAATTACTTATGTACTGTGCAAGTAAAAGTTTTAGATGCTAAAATAAAATAATTTTGTGATGGATTAGATAAATTTTGTTTATCAACTATACTATCCTATGTAAAGAAAGAATGAAATGAAAAATGTATTCATAAATTTAAGAAAGCAAGCAAACTAAAAAAAAAAAGTTAATTAATGCATTTTATTTGTAAAAGTTTGGAAAATAAAATAATAGTACAGTAGACTCTCGATTAACCGGGCTGTTTGGGAAATGCTTCATCCCAGGTAAGCAATCATCCCAAATTATCCAATTTATGAAAATTTTGATAAAAAATTATCAAAAATGTTAAGTTATTATACAATAAAACATTATTAATTGAATTAATTCTAAGTATGAATAACTAACAAGACATTTTAGTGTTGTTTAGATTCAAAACTGGAACACTCAATTAAAAAGAAAAACAGATTTGTAATTTACGTCACTGTTTAGTGAAGGAGGAATTGATGGACGTTTGTTTTCCATTTACTTTCACCGAATTTTACAACGAAAATTTCTCAACATCATCATTTCTGCAGGTGTGCTTTCATCTTCTTGCTCCATGTAATTAAGTTACGCCTCAGTGTGTACTAATGCGTCACTGTGACTTAATTTTTGATGAAATACAACATTTTCCCCATAACTTTCTAGACATTCTTCGAAATTTCTTCTCAAATCTGAACAAGTTACATGGTACACGGTATCTTTATCACTTATTACTGCATGTTAACTGTATAAACAGTATGTAAAGCTCATGAAAACATTTTGATCTGAACTACACTGTATGGTCTCTCCTTGCTAGCATTTCAGAATAGGAGTGAAACTGATAGGTTGTACTCAAGATGGACTAGACAAATTCAATAGAATAAAAAAAAGGGTTAAGGAGAAGTGTCTTCCTGCATATTTCATAAGCCACAATTCTCACTTCTCTTTTTTCTTCTTTTTTTATGTGGGGGGGTCTTCTTGAATAATCTAATCCAGTTTAATAAACATGAACGCGGTTCGTGAAAAATTCCTCACCATTGTGGAAACTTTTTACTCTTACTAAAAGAAAAAAAATCTGCCTCTTCAAAGAAAGTTTGTCTTTTTCGAATTCCCAAAGGGGAAAAAAGGATTTTTACTCTTTTTCCTACCAATGCGAACACGATTTAAAAGCATGCATCGCGATTCCTAAATATGCCATTTAAGTTAGTGCATCGTGTTTTGTGTTATCACGGTTTTATATAAAATATCGTGTTTCTTATCCACACGATTTAAAAGCCACTATTACGATTCATGTTCACTGACTTCCTGATATACTTGGAAAAGTCAGGGAATTTTTTTTTCCTGAAATTTAGTGGGAACCCTTTGTTATTTTTATTTTCTTTTAATTTGATGGTAGACACTGCAGAATGTGATTAAATGTTTCTCGCTTAAATTTCAAATTAATTTTTATGTATTTATTTATTATTTATTTATTTATATTTACATTGAATTTAATAATTTAAGTTCTTATTTTTTCCCTTGTTCAATAGCATTTGCTGATGTCAATGTTACACCTGATAAACGGCAGATTTTTATTCCTGATGAAAAAGTGCTACTTGCTCTAGTAAAGGTATAATTCCTCTTTTGTCTAAAATTAAGGTGTTTTTTTTTCTTAAGATAATGTTCATTTGTTTTTTGAAGATTGTTTTAATTTGGCTTTTATTTGGAGTTTCTCCGAATTTGTTTGAGTTATAATAAATTAAAATTGTATCTTTGTATCAATCTTTCTCATAAGAGCAACTCTAGTATTGTGAGTCATTAGAAATTGTGAAGCATAACTTTTTATTTAGAGATTGAACGTTAGTAGTTATGTGCTAACTAATCAAAGAAAGTGCTATTTTGTCCTAGAATTGTTATTGTTCTAAATCAAAAATTTGACTTTTTGTTTCACAAATTTCATTTTAGCTGCTAAAGAAATTTTAATTTAAATGCAATATCTTGACCTTTTTAAACCTTGAGGATTCTGTCTTTATTGGTTTGAATTCTAACTTTAAATATGCTTATGAATTTGTGCTGACCCTTTTTTAATTTAAAAATACATATACTTTTTCTAGATAAACATACTTTTTTCCTTCAGCTTATTTCATCATATCTCTGAAATTATTTATGCATATTTAAATTGTTTGCATGCTGTTATTAAACTCATTTGTCAAAAGATAATTTCAAGCTAAATATAATTTTTTTATGATTATTTGATATTTTGTATGGTTTAATAATTTATAATTTAATAATGGTGAAAAAACTTTAAAAATATAAGACTTCAAGAAAATTTACATAATTTAACTGATTTAATTATTGTTTAAAACTATATAAAACAAATTAATTAAATTCCAATGGAATGTTAGTTTTTGTCTTTTGAAATTTAATTATTTTAAATGATGTAATAAATTGCATGTCTTAGAATTCAAAAGTTTTTTTAACCATTATTAAAATGAACTATAAAAAATAATAAATAGTCCCAAAAAGTATTTTTTGTGATAAATGAACAAATGATATTTATAAAGGCTTACAAAATTTTTTGATTCGCTTTAATACTTCTAAAGGTATGGTTAAATATGCAAAAAGGGAAATTAGCATTAAGATGATTAAGTATTTTACTGTTGTCTTGGCTAAACTATTAATCCCATATTTTTTGAGAGTCAAGCATCTTAATGTATCAAAAAATTTTATGTCTATTTAGATAAAAACATGTTTTTATGTCTGATTTGGTAACATAAAATATTATAATTATCATTATTAAAGTTAGACTCTTCAGCTATTAAGATATGATATTCATTAAAATTTCATATTTGCTTAACAGTGCACCATAACTAGGGTAGCTATGTTGTAGCAGAGTGAATTTCTGTGAATAATATTTTTTTTTCCTTTCTGAAATCTGCAAATATTTTAAAATACTACTTCCATTGAAATTGTTTAAATTTGGTATTTTTTGGCACTTTAATTGCATTGCTTACATTTTAATGACAAGTAGTACATTTCTGAAACTTCAAAATTATTAATGTGAAGCATTCCGATGAATAGGTTGAAAAGCAAAATGATGTTTGATGCGTAAATTTAATGCTAATTAATAAGTTCGATTTAATTTAATTAGTTCTATTATAATTAGCTAATTTAATTGGTTCGATTGAATGAATAAATTGCTAGCTGAGGGAGTGAAATAATTCAATTATGAAATTCTTGGGCATTACTTTATCATGAATTTTCAAAAGTAGCTATTCAATATTTGTCAGTGCCTGCAAATAGCACTGATACATAAAAGCTGTTTTCAAAGTATAAAAATGTCTTCTGTAATGAATGGCAAAATGTGAATGAGAACAATTTAACAATGTACACTATTTTGTACCAAAGTTCTATTTGTTGTTGTAAAAATTTTAATATTGTTTAAAATTAAAAGAAATGAATTTTTAAGTTCTTTTTACATGTTTTTATATTATTATCTATATCATGTCTGTAACTTTCAATGCATGCAGTCAAACCTCAATATTGCAAACTCAAAGGGAGGCGATGAAATTTTTGTGATATTAAAAATCAAGTATTTCAATTGAAGGTTTTTTTTAAAAATTAAGTCAAATAATAACTGGAAGGACATTTCAAAAGCTGTATATAGCATGTGTTTATGCAAAAAAAAACAGCTATTTCAAACAATGTCAGTAACCTTTGGTGATTCATTTAATTTTACGTTTCATTAAAGTTCCTCTGTTTCGTCATCTTTAATTTGAAAATTACTTTCTTGCCTGTCCAATAAATTATGCACATATTTTGTTTCTTTTTTAATTTTTTTTTTCTATTTTAAGCACTGTACAATAGCAAAAGTGACAAGTTTGTCGCAAATTCAAACTGTTCTCAGTTATTTTTTTCGTTTAAATTTCTTTGTAAGTTACAAATTCCATTTCCTTATTTTCTGAACTATGTAGTCTACACTCTTAGGAATGTATGGATCTCAACCTGCTCAAATCACAATGTCACCTCTGACATTTATACCAGTTAAGAAAGATTCAGGTTTGTCTCATTTTTTTTTCGTGTGGCTTAATTTCACCAATTAATTGAATAACTTAGTGACTGAAGGTGCACAAAAGTGAGCAACATTCTAAAAAATTGTGAAATTTTAGGCTTAAAGTTATAATTTACTGTTTGTTTTGAACTTAATTTTATTCCCCTCATGCCGTTAAATAAGATGATTTTAACCGGATAGAATGTTTTGTAAACAAATCCCTGCTGTTGCTAAATTTTCTAAAATTGGTGTATCTAAATTCACTAAAATGTTATTTAGAACCTTCTTCCACTAACAAGGGAAACTAGGGAAGTGTGACTCGTCAATTTTGAAATAAACTAGTGGGATGTATGCCATATGAAGAATAATTTTAGGGGGCAACATTCATTTCGGCCCATAGAGGGTCCTATGAGAGATAAAAAATAATTAAGTATGTAGAAAAATCGGTATTTTATTACTTCAATGCAGACTATTTAGTTATTGTAATTATATCATACTCCAATTAATTTTGTGCTACTTTCACGTATTATATAATGCATATTGATTTCGAAAATTTTATATATCTGTAGTTTTTCAGAAAAAAAAATTTAAAAAAATTGGCATTTTTAAAAAAAAAAATTTCGCATCAAATTTTTTAAATTTTTTTTTTTCAAAAAATTTTCCAATATTAAAACTAGTAAACAGTAATAAATTTCATTTATATGAGAGTCGAAATATAATACGCATTTCCCAAACTGATGGAAATTTTTGTGAGTATAGCTTATGTAACATCCAAAAATGTGATTTACGAAAAAAAATTTTTTTTCTTCATATTGTTAGATCTTGCAAAAAAATCTGAAATAATTTATGTGATTGCATAAAATTAAATTGCATTTATAAAAATGTTTTCAAATTTGTTTGGCGGGAAATTTGAACTTAAAAAATGTTTAATATTTAAATTCGATTTTTTTCATAAAAGATCAACTGTACTGTATACACAAAATTTGAAGTGATATCTCACTTTAAGTGGAAAATCCGTTGATATCTATGTCCTGTGAATTGTTCAATATTTTGTCAAAACATTGCTATCTTTATAATATTATTTTTATATCTGATATCCTAGNCTTCCACTAGATAGCTGCTTAAACTATTATTTGCTGGAAAATTTTTTTTTAAAATTTATATTAAGATTAACTACCTTTAAGTTTTAAGATAAGTTGTTTCTCTATAAAATGATCTAATATTCCCAAAATTAAAATATATTGTATTCTATTGATATACTGATTATGTATTATTGTTTCTTTAAATGTATTGATTGTATTGATATTTATTTAAAAATGTATTGTACAAAAGTAATTTATTTAAATAATGATACACAATCATGGGAACTTTATTGAGTTCTTATGATGCTAGTAGTGTAAAGTATAGTAATATATTTTTCATTTTCTCAAATCTTTTCAGGTAATAAATGTTGCTTATGATAATAAATGTTAAATGTTGTCAATAACTGATTACATTAATCCGATATCAGGGTTTCAATACTCCTTAGAAAATCAGTAAATTTGGAAATTGTCCAAACAATCGGGGGGAAAGTCGGGATTTTTAATATTTTTAAACCAAAATCTGGAAAAGTCATGGGGTTGGATTTAGTGTGGTCCAAGTATGCGCTCTTTGTACCAACATTTCTCATAGGCCCCGGTTTTATTTTTAGGGCCACATTTCAGATGGAGCCAAATTTCACAAAACCGTTTTAGTGACTTAAAAATCTCTCAACTGGAAAATAATAGTTGCTAAACTCCATAGTAAATAGAAGGGCAGGTGGATTTCAGATCGTCTATTCTTACTCTTGATTAAGAAGTTTATTGGGACAAATAATGTTTTATAATCTTACAAATCATTAAAGTTTTTTATTGTAAATTTCCTTAATCCTCTACCACCAAGACTTAATAAATGAATTTAATTAAACTTGTTTTTAAGATTTCTCGGAAAGTCTGGGGATTGGAAGGCGAGTGCTCTATCCCCTTAGCCACCAGGGCTCTTGGGTCCATATTTGTGAAAAATGGAAATTTATTTTTCTTGAAATTTCTCAATTAATAAAAAACAATTCAGTTTTTTTTTGTAAGTCTACATGTTTTTCTGGTTTTTTTTTTATTGCTTTCTTGTGGTTTGCCAAATTAATTCCTTTATATTTAATATTTTGCTACAATATGCGAATTTCGAATTTGGGCCATCCCTTTTTTCGAATTGTTCAATTCGTGATCTCTCCATTATAGCTTTACATCGTTTGGTAATAGTTTTTTCGGCAGTTATTTTTATTTTTTTTCAGCCCTTATAATTATTTTTTTTAAAAGAAATTCTGATATTTTTGTTTTGATGTTATAACGACATTCGAATTTTAGTTATGACTCTTTGATGCTTTCCATTCGTGTTAATTCCATCTTAACTGTACGTTGTTGGATGATAATATTTTCGTCTCTCATTCATCATCTTTGTTGTTGTTCATCATCTTTGTAAAGCAAATCTTTGTTGATTATTTGTAAACTAAACAAATTAAGTGCTTCTTATTTCTGTTGGAAGGAAATGCTTCTACCTCTACACAATTGCAACTTACCCTTCCGAATTCTAACAAATCCCAAACTCTATCTTTCTATTAGTAGTAATGAAAAGTAATTAGTCATTAAAGTGAGTGTGGAGAATCTAATATTGTTATTCAACACATGAGAACAGAGGATTTGTTAGAAAACAGATGTAAAAAATTTCTGCGGACATTTCTGGAACTCTAACTCAATGGCTCTCTCTTAAATTTTAGTAAATTTCAGTGAATTGTTTTGGTACCAATATAAGCCTGTAATTGTCTGATAACCGTCGAATTTTTAAAGCTATCCTATATGAAGGATTCTGTTTTTGTCGGAAGTTTCATGGCAAGAAACGACTAATTCAAATTACCAATGATTATATAAAACAGTTGCAACAGTACCAATATTCAATATTTCAAAATGCTAGGAAATTATTAAAAATAAAAATTTGAATTATTACACTAAATTGCTTGACTTTTTTATTTATGACCAAAAATTAGAAAGGAAAAAGAGGCCTTGTCGTGCATTAGCTATTTTATTTGTAAAGTAAAAAATCATTTACAGAAAATAACATTGATTGTTATTTTCAGTTGATCCAAAATGGACAGCGGAAAATGTTTTAAATGTTGTGTTTTGATTATTTAATGACTATTTCAAACTGAATTATTAATCTTTTATAGAAGACACTTCACCAGAATCACCAGTTACAACCATTAAAACTCCAAAAGCAGTAAGTATGGTTTTCTAAGAATAGATATGCCTTTTAATCTCTCCCTTCAAATAATTATAAGTATTTTATTACATTTTGTGTAATGAATTTTTATATAATTTTGTTTTGTGTAATTTCAGAATGTTATTTATTCTAATTAAATTTGGTTAATCAATTTTCCTTTTGATGTATTAAGTAACTACATGGATTGTATATCTCTATTTAGTTTTGGTTCATTTTTTTGCTATTTTCAGTCAATAATATATCCTAAAAACAATTTTTTTAATATATTGTATAAATGCTCTGCCTTGATATATTTACTTTGATTATTCTTAATTGAAATTAAAGAGGATGAAATTTTAAATGTCAGGAAGCCAATAATGCAGGTGTTAAAAATTTCACTTAAATAACATAAAATATTTAAGTTCATTATTAAAACAGGGCGGCCAGCAAGTAGATAAAAGTCAGGTATTTTTATCAATCTATAAAAATCGAGAATATCTCGGGGAATTTCATTAAAATACTCAAAAAGTCAGGGAGAAAGAGTTAATTTATATTTGAAATACCCGAAAGTCTAAAAAAGTTATCTTATTATAATTTGTTTTGTTTTTTCAAAACAGTTTTATTTTCAACCATAATGGGAAGAGTATTAGTGTTTTGTAGCATATTTGATGTATAAGAATAAGATATGACTAAATAATTAACAAAAATTATGCCACAAGTTGCAAAAATAAAGAAAATGTGATAAAATGGGGAAATAGTTAAGGCGTTAATAGTTAAGACATAGAAGTTTTGTTTGTAACCTCTCTGTAGGGAAAAAAAATCTTCATTCCTTTTTTTTTCTTTTCTTTTTTTAAGTGTCTTAAAAAATTGTATAAAATTTATTATTAATTTCTTAATTATTTATTTTAAAGTCAGCCATTGAAAATTCTTTAAAAAGAAAATTTCATGTTCCTACCATTGAAAGTGATGAAGATGAAGATCCATTAACACCTCGTGTATTTAAAAGTTAGTATTAATTCCTTGTATTCACTTATATCATATTTATAGGAATTATTGCGAAATAAATGTTTAAAACAATTATAAAATAAAAACATGCTTTTTAAAAATACTTGATTCTGTACATTTTTACAGTTCATCAAAGCTATAAAAAAATGAAATAAATGAGTAAAAAAAAAGCTGTTTTAAAATGATTGTACTTCGTTGTTTCTTGTGTTATTGTATTTCACATTCAAAAGCACATCAAAAAATTAGTTAGCTAAANAGATTAAGGTCCTTGAAAATTTTGTTGAGGTCCTTGAAAAGTCCTGGAAAGTCCTTGAATTTCAATCTCATCATAGAGTGGGAACCCTGATCCCAGTAGAAAATGTTTTTTTTTACACCTTTCATATTATTTACATTTAAAACATCAAAATAAAATCACTGTGAACTTGAAATTCTAAAATACACACAATTTTTTCAGATTGTGACCAGAAAAAAGTTAACTAAGTAAATTTTAAATAAAAGCAAGATGCAAAATTTGTGTATGATATATTAAATTTAAAACAATACCGATTTTAATAACCGTGTGGCAATCCAAAGATCAAATACATGTTTTTATTGTTTTGAACCTGTAACTTTGCCATCTCTATTGGCTTTTCTAAATCCGGATCTTTGAGGATCGTACACTGTATTTGCAAATCTAATTAGCAAAAAATAAAAAAACATTCAAAATTGATTTTTTTTTTCTTTTTTCACAAAAATACTTTACTTGTTGTTATGATATGTACAAGCACTAGTACTTATCAATCTAATGTATATAGGTTTTTATTTTTCATCAAAGTTAAAAAAAAATATTGAGTCAGCATACATATTAAATTCCTCTGATTGAGCAAGGTTGATTCAGCCTATTATCCCTTTAGTGGGTCAATGAAATTAGTACCAAGCATGCTTAGGGACTAAACACTATTTCGGGTTCGACTGACCATCCATTTGGAACATCTGCTCCTGCACCCCTGAGGCCAAGGTCAAGAAAACAGAGATGGGCACAGTACGACTTGGCTATCTATGGGCTGTAGCGCCACTAAGTTTAGTTTAGTGTTATATGTATTATAAAGCTATGAAGTAAAACATTCCCACAACAGCCAAGGTCAACAATGAGAAAGTTTCAAAAGAAAGTCTTTTCTTTTTAATAAAATGAATTGAATTTAGGAGAACTTAATAAATAATTTACCCAGCTAAAAATTTTTAAAAGATACCTAAGTGCTTTCTCCTCCCATTTTTTGCTAGGAAATATTGTTTAGTGCTCTCTGTTCATAATTTTTTTTTCATTGGTCAAAACTACAAAACTGAAAGCTTATTTTGTGTCATTGTCGTATTGTGTTTGCTCATTTTGTTTGATTCAGTTATAAAAACTTTGTTTTTTATATTCAAAATTAAATTTTTTTTACACAATATAGGTCAGAAATTAGATGTTAATCATAATAATCCTGAATCAGAATCCACTGATGCAGAATCTACACCATCCTGTAGTCAAAGCGCTTCTCATGTGAGTTTCCTCTATTTGAGTAGTGTTTTTTAATTATTCAAAAAATCTCATTCTTGTGAAATAGTTTATTATTAAAAACAACACGAAAATTTTTATATGTTAATGAGAGCACCTTACTTAACTTTTCAAAGTTTTGCTTTATAGCTAAAGTATTTTTAAACTTGTTTAAAAGAATTATTGGGAAATTGTTTCAGCATACTTATTTTTTAATTATCTGAGCCATTTGGATTTGGAAACTAGGTGTCCTTAGGATCCATGACTTCTGAATTTCTGTGTTTTTTTTTGTTTGTTTTTTTTTTACTAAAAGAAGGTCCTAGTTAACGAAACAAATCTCTACTTTAAAGATATACATAAAAATAAATATTTATGATTAAGGGGGAAAAGGCTTATAAGTAATTGATTCAGTAATAATAATTCACAAAAGGATTAAAAACAAAATTTCTATATCAATTGAATTCAAAAGTATTATAATTTTGAGTTTTTCTTTTTATCTTTTGCAACGAAGAATAACGCACTCCAAGGATGCATCATAACTTTTTTTCATGTCCACCTTTAGATTTTTGAACTATTTGATACGATATAGAACAAAATCACTGGTTAATGGTGTGGATATTTATAGCCTTTGATGCTTTCATTTCTCTGATCTTACTTCTGGTAAGATTAATAAAAAACTGTGCTTAATACTTAATAAGCATTTAAATTTTATTAAATATTCAAAACTTATTTCATTTCTTAATTGCTACACAATTTTAAAAGGTTTATCATTGACATGGATAAAATCATAATTCATTGTCTATAAAAGATCAAAACTAACTGAAGTACTGTACTGCTTTCATGTTTGTTTTTAAGATAAATTATAAGCTTATGCTGCTTTTGCAGTTTCCCAGTTTTGACTTAGATTCTTTCTGTATTGATTTTGTTTTATTTTATCTTCAAACTGATTTTTGAAAGATTTTTATTTAAGAATATGATTGGACATTTCTTGTATTATAATTTCTATTTAAATTCCCTAATTAACTATTAGAGACTTGTAAAAAAAAACTTGTAAAGACATTTAAAATGTTTACAGACTAGTATCTTTTAGTTTCTGGTCATTTGAACCAGTGACTAAATTTTTTAGGTTTCTACTTTAAAAGTAGTTTGTTCAAAGCATCTAAAAATATGATTTCAGCAAAGTTAACGCATAAATTCCATATATGACTAAAATGTTTTATAAATTTATCGTCCTAAGTAAAGAATTTATTTTAGTAACAATTCATCTCCATATTTTGTAACTTTTGTCAACAGTTCTAAAGATTAGCAAACATCATTTTCACAGAAGACTTTTCTAAAGAAACCAACCTCAATTTCCTGTTACATGAAGAAGAGAAGTTGCTGGTTTGCATGATGGTTGCTGCTTGCATGAGTTTGCTGGTCGTAAAATTCTTAATCCATATACTACTTTAGATAATAAAATTTAAGTCAGAATTTTTGATGTGGCCCAAAATAATTAACGGTTATTATCAAGACTGGGATGTTAATGATAGATGCCTTTTTTAGAACTTTCAGGTCATCAAAGTCCTAGACATGGTCATTATGTTTTTAAATTTATCCTCAGGATGCCCTGGAGTGAATTCCAACTTCTTTTAGAGAACTTTAACAATAACTATTTCTTAATTATTAAATTATTAATATTTTGGGATGTTTTTGTTTTATTTTATTTATTAAAATATCTTTTATGCAGCTTAGTTTCCAAATTTTATTTTTTTTAAATTTTGCAAATTTTGTCAAGTATTTGCAGTAGTTGCTACGAATAAGTTTTAAAAATACTTAAAATTAAAATTTATAACTTAACTCCATAAAAAAACATTTTAATGAACAAAATGCAGTAAAATATATTCATAATTACTAACTAATAAGTTAAATAAATATGGAATTGCTGTTCACAAGTTGACATCTCTAAACATGGATTAATATAGGGTAACAGAATCTGACTTAGGGATATCCTTAATACAAATGTTTTATTTATTCAACTACGAATTAGAAAAATATAAATTTTAAAAATTTTAAGTTATTTTTATGCAAATTTTATAATAATTTTTTTTAATGCCTTTCTATTTAGATTAGAATTTAGTTTATGTTAGCATGATTATAAAAATTAGTATCTATTAACAGCGAATAAATAATTGTTGCTGTATGAAACCTATGATTGAATTTGTTTTAAAGTTGCAATGTATCAAACTATTCCCATTACTAATCAGGGCATTTTGATTCTAGGAGTCATTATCTTCAAGTCAAACTTCAAGTTCAAATAATTTATCTTCTCAAGACAGTATTCAAAACTCTTTGGAAAACTCGGCAAGACTAAACACCATTGTGAATTTTACATTAACATTGCCTTTCAATGAGGACAAAGTATTCAAAAAACTGTCTCCAAGAAAGACTGGTAAAGATAAATTGAGAGCCATTTTTGACAAAGCCAGAAAAGACTCTTCTCTAAGTTCAGACTTTGATTCTTTCAGACAAAGACGTAACTTTAAAAAATCTCACGTAAATGAAAAAATAGTGAATTATTTGGACAAAGAATGCACATATATTGAAGTTCAAGCTCCAGAGCTCATTTCATCTTGTTCTGAAGAAACTGAACAATCAAGTTTAAAATGTGATGACACAAACTCTGAAAGTAAAAAAGAACAGCGATTAGAAAGTGATTTAACATTTGATGAACCTTCATTGAGGAAGAAGAAATATCGAACTATATTTTTCCATATGAATATGCTCACTCAGAAAAATATTTCTACAAGTGAGTTTTATTTAATTTTTTATTCGTAAATGTCATTGCAGCTAAACATTTCCTTTTCTTGTTAGATCTCGAATTCTTAGGAAAACTGTTAGGTGTCCCAAATCCACGCAGCAGTGAGTTGTGTTTGATTTTTTTACTACTTTTTTTTCTTTAGTAAGTGCCATTACAGGTAAACATTGTCTTTGTAAGATACTGAGTTCTCAGATAAAGTATAAAGTGTCCCAAAATCCACCAAGAAGCTACAAAGAAAAAAATCTAGATTTTAATTAAAAGTAGTAAATTTTTTATCACTCGTTAAGATTATGGTGTAGAGTTATGCAAAGATTGTCTATGTGCTTTTTCTGGCAATTTTTTATTTATGTATTTTTATTTATTTTGACATTTTCAATGAACATTTTGCATAAATGTTGCTGAATTTTGTTGATTTTGTGTAGTTTCTGTCCGTGTTAATCTGTTCTACCTTAAAATGCTTGACTTAGTGCACAGATTGTCAAATTACCAAAGTTTGTAGCTTTCCCCTCTGCAAGGGATCAAAATTGTAATATCATGTCTTCGAATCATCATCTGGGATGTTTTACAGACCTTCACTCCTTGTGCCTGCAGCTCTAATGTGACATAGATAAAATACTACTTCACCACTATTGTCTAATTATTTGCCTGAGTTAAGAGACAGAATTTAAGAAACTAACTTTATGAACCAAAATGTGGGATGAATAGGATTTGGATTTTATGTATGCAGTATAACTGATGGTACACATATTTTATAGGATAAACTTGGTTAGTTTACCATTAATTTGAAGTTTAATTTTTTTGTGTAAATAGCCTAAATTAAACTGTGTTTTTGTAACTGAAACATTCTGGGCATTTTATTATTTGAACATTCTGTACATCTTTGTAAACAAATTCATATTTCTTTTTGTGTAACATATAAAATTTATCTATTTCTTTTGATTTAAATTTGTAGATAATGAAGAAAGTGAAAACAGTTGTGCATTTCGAAAATTTCGCTCTAAGATTCAACCTAATGATAACCAAAAAGCTGAGGAAGAACTTAAAAAAGAAATTAGGTATTTTTTTTTATCAACCTGATTTCATTTGCCTTTTTTCTAATATTTAATTTAACTCATAAATTTTGATGCTATAGTAAAACTTTTTGTAACAATAAGGTAATTTTTTAATCAGCCTAATTTCATTTGCCTTTCTCTTGTTTTTATATTTTGCTTCTATATATAATTCAAACATTGTATATCGTTTCATTCTAAACTTTAGAAATTACACATTACTTAACAAAATGTATAATTTAACTCATAAATGATGCCATAGTAAAACTTTTTGTAACAATGTATCATTTTAATGACTCAATTTAATGAAAAAATTTATATTAATAGAAGTACAGTTCAAGCCTTGTTTTATTGATAAGTGCCAATAATTATGATAAATGACACTTGTAATGCAACCTTCTAGAACATGCAAAAATTTAAGCAAACAGAGCACTCCCTGTTTTCTAAATTAAAGCCTTTTCCTTTGATCAAACAGGGTATCTTCTATTGCCCGATATAAATACATTTTTTTCTAAAAAAAGTAGTTTTTATGAGGTTTCTGTGTTCATCTTTGGACTTTTTCAAGTCAAAAACCAACTTTGAACAGGAGTATGTAACATTGCTATTATTTTAAAAATTAAGAAAGAAACCTTGAACAAATAATGCATCTAACATAAATTATTTACTAAAATTTTTTTTCTTCAGGTTAATTATTGTTTGAAAGTATGCTAAATTTTTGCAATTTTACCATTTTTTTCTGTGTTATACATAAGTGCTGTTCTATTACCATTTTAATTTATTTATGATAAAAATATTCAAAAATATATTATTTACTGTCTCTATTTTGCTTATAGTGTTCTATTTAAGAAAAATTTTGACATTTTATTCATTATTAGTAAATTCAAAAATAAAGTTTTTTTTTTTTCCAATTTAGCAAAGATAGTTTTTCTAAAATGGATATTATCGGACAAGTAAGTCTATTTTTATTCATTTAACTTGTTAATTTATTCAAATCATTAATGGTATACAGTGTTTGCTGAATTAAAAAGAATATATTTATTATAAAATGTTTCTATTGCTTTTTTTAAATATTGTGAAATGTTCCAAAACTAATATAATAAAAGTATAAGTGTTTTTTATTTATTGTAATTAACTCTGTGGTTTTTAACTCTCAACTCTCTCTTTGGTCCCAACTTTGTTATAGCATAAAAATACATTACACACAAAACTTTGTTATGGCATAAAAATTAGTATCAAAAACGAGTTGCTTCCAATTATTTAATGTAGAATTAACAGAAAGTGATTGATGCAATTTCGCCAAGTAATAGTTAGGGTTTGTGTTTTTTATTTTAGGACACTTATTTACGAAATTAGTTGTTTTTTTTGTTTATTATTTCTGATTGTCCACTAATAAATCCACTGTATATATTGAATAAAAATTTAAGCACTATAAACCTTTGTTATAATAAGTTTTCATATTAATCAATATGTCACTTAACTTATGCAAAGAATAAAGCTTACCCTGATTTAGAAAAACCTTATTCTCATCGTAGAAAAACCTTGGGGGCAGTCCTTGTTGTGCACCTCTTTTGCTTTTAGTAATCACCATCTCACTCACTTCTGCTTTTCTTTGCATATATGCAACGGTATTATTTGTTAGAGTTTCTATGATTGGCTTGCTTAACTCTCTTATTTTTATGCACTTTGAAAAATTCCAGATGGCAACCTCTCTACAAAGAAGTTTAGTTTCTTTTTTGCTCTTCTTGTCTGCAAGCATTGGACCTCTCCCCCCCCCCTAATTTAAAATCAAATTGTGTAATTTGCAAATATTGTTGACCTGTGTTATTTGCAAATACTATTGACAAATTCCTTGAAAATAATTATACGCAAGCTTACACTTATCACAATTACAAAAAGAGATTGCTTTACTCAAAAAAAGTAACAGATGAATTCAATGCAGCGTAATAATTTTTTTATGATTTGAATCTGTTCTAATTTTTGAACATCTGGAAGGAATTCAGATTATTTGATGATTTTCAGACTTTTAAGGTAAGTCTTAACCAACCTTTTTACATTAATGAATCAATTGAATTTTTTTAAAATCCGAAGCATTTCATTTGTATGAAAAACTCTATCAGCAAAAATTGTTAAAATTACTATTTTCTTACCATATTTTTGGTAGAGAGGAGAAAAATCTTGAAAACTGTTCAAATGGTTAGTAGACAATTAATATTAAAAGTAGTTTTGCTATTATTTAAAAAATAGAATAAGCTAAATGATTAAAGGATTACTGTTTTAAAAAAAAATTAAAAAATTAACCAACTGTAGACAGTCACTAAAGTTTGTAATAAACAATAATACATTGATTTTTATTCCATATAGAAGTATCTTCACTTCCTAAAATTTGTCAAGAAGATTTTATGATTAAAATTTGTTAAGGTGTTGTGAAAAGTTATTTTTCAAGAATCGCATTTTTAATTTCAATACTAAACTTGTTGAGACTATAATTGTGAGAAAAAAAGTTTTGTCTTTAATGACATAAAGTTTTTAGTTTTCCTGCATAATGGTCTTAGCAAGCTAATAAGTATACATTTGGCATACATTATGTGAACTACACTTTCTGCTTTAAATAAAAAAAAATAAAAGGAAACAAAAAACAGTTGTATTTAAGTGACTTATAAACTTTATAAAAAATATTTTTAAAGCTGATGTTAATGTATTAAATGTTTTAACTTTTAAATATTAAAACTTTTCGCAAATTAAGTCTTGTACAAATTTTTTTATTATTTCAAATAACGCAATTTCTGAAAACTTAGATTGCAGCTTTTTTAATTACATTTCAAAAAAAAATTTTGTTACTTTACATTGGACAGAGGGTAAATATGATGAATTTTTTTTTTCAATTTAATGAAAGTTATTTTTTTAATTCATCTCTAGTTGAAACTTTTTTCTACTTCATTTTTACCTTTAAAAATAAACGTTTATGCCTTAATACTTATTATAAAATATTCCTGTATATACATGTCTGGTGTAATGGTATAAAGAGAAAAAAATTTCAGATCGTGAGAGAGAATTTTTTTTCTTATTTTTAAAAAAGAGAGGGAGAGAAAGAGGGGAATAACTTTATTTACATGATCAAATAAAAAAAAAATTTTTAATTTATTTTCTCACTTAATGATATGTGGATAATCAAGATGATAAGCGAAGCTACTTATTTTAAAAGATGTACCCAGAAACAGACACACAATAAAAAATTATAATAAATTGAGCCAATCATATAAATATTAAAAAAAATATTGAGCCTGATTTATATTAATTAATATATTTCATCCAAATATGATACATCACAATCAGTCCTGTTTCGCTTACGATAAATCAAAAACCAAACGAAACTGAAAATTTAAACTGGCCTCTACTCTACAAAGACGGATTTGACATTGAAGTCTGGAGCCAGCCTCGGATTTGAGGGTGGTGATTGCCATTTTTTACTCATGATTAAAAATGGCTAGTTGATCCTCAATAGCCTGCCTTGGTGATAACAGGGATAGATTAAAATTTATGAAAACTCCTATCTTGAAATTGCAATATTGTCAGGTCCTTGTAATTATTTTATAACACTATTAAACACAATTTTAAATTTTATAAAATAAATGAACTGGTGATATATTAAAAGTTATAAAATACTGTAAGTATCACTTAAGTTAATTTTGTGATCTGGGTTTTTCAAAATTAGTACTCAAGTATATTGTACCTATACTAAATTAGTACTCACTATGAATATAAAGTTTTTACTCTCTGATAAGAAACTTGCTGCTTTCTAAATTCTATATTTCACTAACTCTATTTATTTTTTATGTATCTAAAAATGTTGTGTTGTAAAATTAAGAAATTTCTTGGGGAAATCCCCTACAGTACAAAGAAAAGGACATATTTATTCAGCATTATGCAGATAAATCAGTTAATGCTTTCTCCTTTAGCATCAGTAACCTTTTGAAGCCATCTTGCAGCGTTTTCACTACAGCGCGAGAATCTCGCCTATTTTTTCATTTTCTCGCAATAAAAAACGATTAACGCGAGAAGTTCGCGCACTGTTAATCAATTTCAAAATGCACAAATTTTGGAACAAATTTCGTCTTTTGCCATTTTGAATAAAATCCGTTTCACTTTTCTTCTTTGATCTTTCATTATTTTGAACATCGGTCCTTGTTATCTAGCTTCCCTGTTTATCAGTATTGTTCAGAACCGGTGCGAACAGCAGAGCACCCCCCCCCCGAACCCCTTTCAGAACACATTTCTCTGCTACCACGTGTTCACCGTAGGTAAGGCTTCTTCAAGTAAGATGTTTAAATTTTTTGTGCATAAATGTAAGATGGACAAATACCTTGTTAAGGTGACATCTACTCCCTAACGGACAAATTAAGATGAAACATATGTCGGTAGAAACGGTCAAAACGAAACAAATTCGGATATTTTTCAGCCAAATAAATATGATAGCCAATGAAAAAGTAGATATAGAACATTTTCCATATTATGATTCAGCAAAAATATTCAATTAAAAGATGTGAAAAATGTATTATAATTAAAGAAATAATTTTTTTCCAAGTCTATTCGTGTTTTTTTAATTTTTAAAAATCTCACTTAACTTTTTGAAATCTCACCCTGTTTTTGAGAAAGGGTGAGAAATTTTCTCCCATTTTTTTTCTGTAATGAATACACTGATCTTGACACAGATTGTACTAGACGCTTGAGAGTGTTGAAAGTTGTTTTGTGCCATATTTTTTTTTTTTTTTTTAGATCTTCCTTCCATTCTTCAACTGTCTTTTTTTCTACTTTTTAAATTTTATTTTTTTATTAGAAATTCTCTATGGGACCCTAGATCAGAGAATGAAGCGGCCTACTATGTTATGTGGCCTACTAAAATGTTTATTCCATTATCATTTAGCCATTTTTGGTTTGTCTTAAAATGTGAGGACTAGCATTTTGAAAAGCAAGGTGAGGCATTTCCATTGTAGTAAGTAAGGAGAGATTTTTGAAAATTGTTCAGAATTCCAATGATTATTTTTTCATGCAAAAGCAATATATTCTATAATTTTCTAAGAAACGGAGAGCTCCTCCACACTCCACATCCTGGTCTTCTTTAAACCCTTTGTTATTTTTTAGATGTTTTTTCATTTAAAAAATTGTAGCTCTGCTTTTTTTAGTCATTTCTATTAGTTTTCAGACATCATGAATACACTCGGTTATAACAGTTTCAAGTTTCTCTTTCTTGCCTATACATAATTCTTCACTCAAATCAAATTTTTAAAATGAAAAAAAAAAAACTTTGGAAGTCTCAATTTCTCAATTATTTTTTCATTAAACTGAATTAGCAATCTGTATTATTTGAATTTATGTTTTTTTTTTAAAGTTTAAAAAATTCATTAGTTAAATTATTGTCCTATCTGTATTACAGTTTAATCTAGGTTTCATCATCACACGCTTGCTAGATGATCTCTTCATAATTGATCAGCATGCCACTGATGAAAAGTATAATTTTGAACAGCTTCAAAAAGAAACCATTTTAGAAACACAGCAATTATTTCAGTATGTGCTATTTTTTTAAAAAAATTTTCCTACAAATATTTTATTTTTAAAATTATACTTATAATAGTAGAACTGTCAATGGAAATTCAATTGATACATGTTTTCATAATTTTAGACCTCAACCTTTGAATCTGTCTGCTGTATCTGAAGCTATTTTACTGGATAACCTAAATGTTTTTGAAAAGAATGGGTTTAAATTTGAAATAAATGAAGAAAATCCAACAGGGGAAAAAGTACAAATGGTATCTGTACCAGTTAGTCAGAGTTGGAAATTTGGAAAAGAAGGTATTTCAACTTTTTATTTTAACATTATAGTGCTGTTTATATAAAGTTGTCACAGTTAGCTTTAAAACACTTTGCTGTAAAATCAATGAAATGTTGACAAATATTTCATCACATCATCTCTTCTGAATCATGGTGGCTCAAGGGATAGAATGCTCACCTCCAAATAAGGTGAACCAGTTTCGAATCCCAGCTATGGCTGGTCGATACGAATTCCGCACCCAGCTCACACCGACCACAGTGCTGACATTAAATACCCTCAATTGTAGATGGATCAGAGTCCCCTTGCTGTGGGGCTAATCGTGGGAAGTTTTAGTGGTTTTCCTCTCCATGAAACGCAAATACGGGTTAGTTCCATCAAAAGGTCCTCCACAAAGCAAAATTTCTCCTTATACTTAAACCAGGTGTTCCTTTGTCTTCTGAATTGGGTTCAAAATTACAAAGCTATGGAGTTGAACCTTAATAGTCGTAACCAAAATTGAGTCAGCTGTTCAATGTCAGCTATAAATTTAGAAAATCGCCTCTTCTATGCACTTTTTGAAAATGAGATGAAACAACACACAAATAAAGGTACAGAAATGGACATACTATAGTTTTGGTTCTATAAGCAAGAACCGTTCTCAGTGTCAAAACACCAAATGACACTAGAGAAGTAAAGAGACAAACACCTGCAAAGTGGTTTATCAACAAAGACTCTAGTTGAGACAAAATAATGAAAGAAAAGAGATAAGAAACAAGTGTGGGTGTTTTCTGAGACATAATAAGGTAGGTTATCTGAGACGTCATAAAGAGAAAGAATTACTAAAATAGAAATGAGACAAACTTACCCAATAAAAAGGCCTGCTTATACCAAAATATCCCAAAAGGGGGACGTATATTTTATTTTAGATTACGAGGCATTTGGCTAGACCTTCAGAGAGTCATTGTTACTCTTACCATTTCTTCACTTTCACATTCAGAGCACAAATGTACCCTCAAATTTTGGGCTTAAAGAGCATGCAAGATGCGTCCAAAATCGGGATATTTATGGATCGTCCATCGCCCTACATAGTTGAAATTCTAATCATAGGTTTGAGTGTTTTTCTGCTATTATCTTTCAACTCTGGTCTTTGTCTTCTGTGCTTGATTTCTGGGAGTCATTCCATACTTTGAAAAATTCTAATAAATTAGTTAGTGATTTTTCTACTATCTCCCAGTATTAATAAGTGAGTGTAATGATATGTGAAGTGGTCTGTGTCACACAAAACTCTATATTACCCAAAGCCTTATGTTTCAAAGTTTGTACTATAAAGATGGTCAACTGAACTATGTATTTTGCAGCTTAAAATTTAATTTAATTTTTCTTACTCAAATAATCTTCCCTTAGTTCAAAGTCTCAATATCCTTTCTCAGTCTAGATAATATTTTATCAGATTCTGATGCTATGTATCTAATATGACACTTATGTTTTTTTGTGAAAATAAATAAATGAATTATATATATTTTTTAAAAAACATAATTTTAAAAAGTAATAGAAATTTTAAAAATTAAGTCTATAATTTCTGTCTTATCCTATTTGAGTCATTATTATCTGTTTTAAATGTTTAAACACAAAAGTTAATTTAACTATCACCAAATTTTAAAGTTGTAACAATGTTAAAAAGAATTATCTTCAGCATTATTGCGAAGATAAGAGTAAAGAATTTAAATTTTAAAAAATGTACTAAATGTACAGAAAAGGAAATCTATTTTTAATTTTTCTGTTTTATTTTGTTGATTATTTTAATGTGTTATATTACTATTATGATATCTAACTATTATTATATTTTTTATTTATATGTTAACTATTAGTTATTTATCACTATTTTAATGCGTTACATAAATTTTCTTATTTTTTTGTAGATGTTGATGAATTGATATTTATGCTTACGGATAATCCAGTATGTATTTATGTTTTTTCTCTGAAATTTTCTGATTTGTTTATCAATAATCTGAAAATGTTATTCAAATCTATAGTCTACTAATTTTATGACAGGAAATTTTAAAAAAGTATATTTAGAACAGTGGAATGTAAGGAATTTAAAAAATACTGGAATACTCTTCGTCATCCAATATCAGCAATCGTCTCTAATCTATTTGACTAACTACCATCACAAAGTCATTTACACCTCTTCTTGAAGTAGAAAAAAATAAATTTAATGAAAAAACTTTAATGAATTATTAAGCTCCTTTCTAGATTAATAGTAGTAGTAGTTGTATTACTTAATTTAGATTACACTAGAGCTGCATAATAAGCTATTGGGGGCAATTTGGGAAACATCCCTAAAGATGATCCGAAGACATTCCATCACAGTCTTGGTCCTCTGCAGAGGAGATATCTCCTCCGTTTTAGCCAGATGACCTGCATGTTAAGTCGAGAACTTCACAGTGGAACAGTTACTGCACACCCTTAGTCTCTTCACGGGCTGATCAAAGTGGCCATCCACCTGCTGAAAATATATTATCAAAATAAGTTTTATTCTGTTAATTATCTTCTTTGTGAGCATTTGAAAGGGATTACTGCTGCTTTAAGCCTCGTGTATAATTTTTAGTTTAAAGTTTTTCAATACTAAAATTTACTTTATTATTTTTTTATTTATTCAGAGCTCAATATTTTCTAACCCTTTAATGGTCGCATAATTTTAAAGAAAATAGTCATAAATGTACCTATTTGTAATTCAAGAAAATTAAATAAATCTAAGTGTATCTACAATATATGTTTTAATTTCCGGGATAATTTTTAGCTTGAAATGATGATGAGTGCTGACATCCTAGCTGACATCCTATCCTTGCCCTAGTTTAAAATAAGCTTATTATGTCTAAACACATTACAAGTAGTCTGGTACTGTCATCTGGTGTATAGATTGAGATAAAAACATGATCATTGACATAAAAAACAAATTCTTTTTATATTTTAAGCGCTTGTTACTTTTGAACACTCCGACTCGGAAATATTACGAGCACATGAAATAGTGGCGAAAATTACTACGGTCAATTTGATGGGGGCGAGAAGGAAAGGGTTAATTATTTAGAGAATTCAATATAACTATTTAAAATAAAATAAATATTCATTACTTATCAAAATGCTAAGTTTAAAAAAAAATTTTAATGTTAAAACATTTTCATATTCAATTTTCTTAATGCCCATCAATATTGAAAGAAGTATTTATTATAAAATGAAAATTTTGTTCAAAGCATAGTCATGTAACTATATAAATCCCATACTTTTTGCTAGTTACGTTTCATTGTAGAGAATGTTTTGAAATTTATGAAGAAGTAATTTTTAAAAAATACAGGTTTTTAATAAATAGTAGAGTAGTGTCGGGTACCCCCGCCCACTGTAAATTTCATATGTATAGAATATTTCTTCAAGTCAATGATTCATTGGACATTAATTGTTATATTAAAAAAAGATTATTTTCAAAGTTTCAAGTATTTATGCAGCTGGTAACATGGTAAACAATAGTTTTGAAAATATGTTGAATACAGTAGTCATGAAATTAAGAAAAATCGGTTGAATGTTGTGATAAAAATGATAAATGAGGTTTATCTATTGTCAATACATTGGTCATTTTCATTTACACCTGAAAAAACAGTCAAAAAACATAATTTTTGTAACTGGGCGGGGCTACCCGACACATTTTGAAAAGAGCTGAAAAACATGTTTTTTTAAATTTCTATTTTTTTAAGTTTAACTATTCTTTTTTTTTGTTTATTCTTTTTGCATTATTTAATTAGATGATAAAACAATAGAAACATACAAAAATATTGATTATTTCTCAATATTATACAGAAATATAAGCAATACTCCTTAAGTGGGCGGGGCTACCTGACTCTCCCCTACTCTTATTTATTGATTCACATAGTTTACCGTGTAGGGTTATGTATAGAATAGCATATCATGTAAATTGACTTTGTGGCTTTGCTGTCTTTTACACACTCTTTTGTAGAAGTTTTCATTGACCTCTTTTGTGAAAATGTGGCTAATTTTTAATGATAACAGCATTCAATAGGGCTGAAAATTAAAGGTAATCTGTTGGTCCAAGACTCCTAAATTCTGACTCAGACCAAAATAATTATCAGCCGTCTTCTGCAATCAATGTAAAGGGATATTGTGCTGTTTTACTTTATTAAATGTTTGTTTTATGTTTTGGTCTGTATTTTTTGTCACAAAATAGCATACTTTATTATAGTTTTGACTTCACAAATTCTGTGTATTGTAATTTTTCTTTTAAATTCTCTTCGTTAACTTTTCTTTTTAGAAAATCTTAACAGAGACAAGTAGATGGAGCAGTGAAAATGTGCATGTGCTAATAATATTTTTTGTTTCAAGTCATTTGGACCAGTGGCTAAATTTTCTTGTCTTCTAATCCTGGTTCAACTTCCTTTTATAAAGAATACAAAATTTGGGACTCATTGGCATAAACCTGAAGTTTAAAAAAGTAATAATAATAGTTGCAGAGAAAAATTCATGCAATATTTAATTACTTTATCTGTGTAGCCAATTCTTTAAAAGTGAGATTATATTTTAGTGAGACAAAATTTTAAAAAGTGAGATTATATGACTAGGGAATGATTTTACAATGCTCAACAATGAAAGCATGTTGTTGCTTGGAGTCTGGTCAGATTTAAGAATCTGGTTGACATTCAAAAATTCATATACAAAAAGGAGAAGATGAATGAAATTCTTCACATATGAGTCCCAAACACTCCAATATGTGTTCAGATGAAGTCTGGTGTTGGTGTCACTTGTGGTAAAGTGATATGTTTTTATACCCTCTGAAAAACGTAAACTCTTTAAGTGGCCACTAGCAAGCTGCGAGGTGGTGGTACCGATTTTTTTATTATAAAAAAGGGTCAAGGCTTGACCTATTAGCTTGATACTAATGGAAAGCATGTTCTTTCATGTAGTGCTTCTTTTTCAATTATCTAAACTGTTAGCTGTTTTACTGCCTATTTTTTCCTTTGGCAATCCTTTGTTGTACAAATAGTGCAAAATTCAAATATCCTGTAAGTTTTATGACATTTGTTATGGCTTATAAATCTTATCTAAAATTTTCATATTTATTTCAGTTTTATATGATTCAATGATTGTTTTACAATACTAGCAAACTATAGCCATGTAAAACTTTGTGTGTTTTTAGATTCGAATGGTTCGTCCTTCTCGTGTCAATCAAATGTTTGCATCTAGAGCTTGCAGGAAATCAGTCATGATTGGAACTGCACTAACTTCAGCAATGATGAAAAAAGTTAATATTTTTCCTGTTCGCATTTTTTATTATTTTATTTTTAATACGTTTAATGTTTACTATAAATATTACATTTTTATCTCTTGCTCTTTGTATTTATCTGACTTTTATTTTCTCCATAGCTTGTCACACATATGGGAGAAATTGAACAACCATGGGTAAGTTTTTCTATAATCCTTCCCTCTTTGCAAATTGCCTATATTCCAAATATGCGGAGTGATAGAAAGTTTTTGAAAAATGTGTGTAAGTTTTAGTTCGTAATTCAAAAGCAATGTGAGATTGCTACTGCCAAGATTTTGATTTTTATGTATGGAACTAAATAATAAGTCTTGGTAACCTGACCAGGATAAGTAAAAGAAGAAATAAGTGCTTCCCCAGACTCCCACACTCCTAAATTATAGTTGAACATGGGATAAGGCAATTTTCTCCGTTAAGCCTAATTTCATTTAAGAATTCATGCATCATTACTACAATTAAATATGCTGAAATTTATAGTTTTGTAATAAAATGTTTATGTAATTTAAGAAAACAATTGCAAAATTCACCCAAAGTATACAAAATACTATTTTTCACACCCCAAACTGCAAATCTGCACCCACATAAACCAATAATCATTCCATTCTTTTCCCCACTTTGTCAAAATATAAATGAGCACCTGGAAGTTAATAATTCGCGAGCCCAATCCTCACAAAAAAGCCAAACACGTACAGCTGTTTACTTGTTTAAATATCCAGGATGATATTTAAAAAAATACTCGGAAAATGCATGAAGATAAACTATCTCTGAAACATTATTCGAAATTATAACGAACATCGAGCACCGTCTAACGTTGAAATAAAATGTTCCAAACTGAAATCACACATAATAATGGGCTGCTGGTTTTGGAAAGGCTCATGTCATATATAATACCATAGGCTGTGAAGAGAGAACCACTTCATCACAGATTTCTTATCACAGTTCTGAAGAAGTTAATACTTTAAAAAACAAAAGCTGAAATATGTAATTAAGAAAAAAATATTTGCTATTGATAATATACTATAACTAATCCACATTGAAAATAGTAAATTGTAGATAATTTTAGAATAACTAACACATTTTTCTACGCTTAAAAAGTGGCACAACTAAGAAGGTGGTAAAAAAAAAGGAAAATTTTTATTATACCGGTAATAAAAATTTATATGTTATTTTTACTAATTAATAAAAATCCAATCCATATTAATTGCATATTGTGTAAATAACATAATGTAAGGAAATATTTTGGTTGGCATATTAAACAGAAGATTTTATGGACAAAATTTCCCATACTTGTGATTCTTGGGAAGTAAATGTTATATGTTTTTTTGTCATTTTATTTTTTATTACTCATTTTATTTATTTGATTTTTTTTCAGAATTGTCCTCATGGTAGACCAACAATGAGACATTTATTTAATTTAAGACTTTTAAATCCATTGTAATTTTTAAAAAAATCTGTCTGTTACACAATTTTATTTCTTGTAGATTATCATTTTGTAAAAATCATCGACTTTTAATAAAAGATTATAATTATCTTTTTAAGTATTTTATTGTTTCTGTGATTTCATCAATGCTCTCTAGCGGTTTTATGAGTGAACATGATGTCTTACATCACATTGATTAACTGATTATTTCTTGACTTTTCTTCACTTCCATCCTGGAGGCGAATCTGCAAAAGACGAAAACATTACAGTTTATAACTTGAAATTGCTTATTTCCATATTTTTCTTCTTTTCAAGGTGGTTTACTTCTTATGATATGCCCCTCTTAATTCCTCTTTTCTCTTATCCCCTCGTGAGATTAAAATCCCAAAAGTCAACCTTTAGACATTGAAGCCTTTTTTTCCTCTTTAATCCCTACCAAAGAGAAATAAAAATGCTGCGCATTACACACCATCAAAGTTGAATACAACTTTGATTGAATGCAAGTAATATTAATAAATCTTATATTACCTAGAAAAAAACATTGCCTCTGTTATGTTGGTATGTTTAAATTATTTCTGTTAATTAGTTATGGGCACAATTGTCTTTTTTTTTTTTGGGGCACCGCGTTTAAATTTAATAATCTCACTCTGTATTTTAATTCCTTTTTACTTTCATCAACAACCCCATCTGTGTTTTTCCTTCACCCCTACTTGAAAATGGATTGCTTCACAGGTGTGAAGAGTTGAGCGATAGTAGCGCCTCCTTTGGCGCGGATGAATACACGAACGAAAAAAGAGCGGCAAATTCGTTTTTTAGGCATTCCCTGTTCTGACGAGCCTTGGTGAAGGTAGTGAAAATCTGCGGGAGTGGCCGGCCTCGAGCGTAATTAGCCATGCTCGCCTCCAAGGATAAGTCTTTCTATATTTTCTTTAAAATTTTATGTGCCCATTTAAAATCTAAATTTATATTTATGATGTTTTTTTTAAATGATAATTTTTTAAGAAATCAGTTGAACTGATATGGAAGTTGTATAGCAGTAAACTAACATTGTAACCTAACTTGGCTGATGATTAAGTTCTTTGAAATAAACATGTTAATCAAGATTTTCTGATTTGGATATGAATCCTTTAATTTTAAATTAGCTTTCTCTTTCAGCTAATTACATTGTATTTTCTTGTTATGTCTGATAGCGATATTAATTTAGTGGAGGAAATTAGTAACAAACACAATGCATATATCTTTCCTGATTCCTTAAATCTAATTTTGTCTATTCAAAAAAAAACTTAAGATATAACACCTCTATCTGTAAATTCTCTTCATTTCACTTCCTTTCAAGGTGGTTTACTTCTTATGATGTGCCCCTCTTAATTCGTCTTTTCTCTCATTCCCTCGTAAGATTAAAATCCTAAAAGTAAACCTTTAGACAATGAAGCCTTTTTTCCTCTTTAATCCCTACCAAAGAGAAATAAAAATGCTGCGCATTACACACCATCAAAGTTAAAGAATACAACTTTGATTGAATGCAAGTAATATAAATAAATCTTATATTACCTAGAAAAAAACATTGCTTCTATCTGTAAATTGTCTTCATTTCACTTCCTTTCAAGGTGGTTTACTTCTTATGATATGCCCCTCTTAATTCCTCTTTTCTCTTACTCCCTCGGAGGATGAAATTCCTAAAAGTCAACCTTTAGTCATTGAAGCCTTTTTTTCCTCTTTAATCCCTACCAAAGAGAAATAAAAATGCTGCGCATTACACACCATCAAAGTTAAAGAATACAACTTTGATTGAATGCAAGTAATATAAATAAATCTTATATTACCTAGAAAAAACATTGCCTCTATCTGTAAATTCTCTTCATTTTTCTTCCTTTCAAAGTGGTTTATGTTAGACTACGAATTTCAATGAACAAGGTTCGAGTAAGAGTCAGAGATCACGAGTTCGAAAAACCTCTGAAAGAGGGAGTTCGAACATTTAAAAATAATTTAACGACAGAATTTGCATAGTATTAATTTTGAGTGTGTAAGTACCCCCATTATGCAACTGTTATTTTGTATATATATAACAAATCAAGATTTTATTTGGAGTTTTGTTTCTTTTGATTTTCATGACTGTATGTATTGAATTCGTTACCTCATGTTATGGAGAGGATTGCTTCTCTTTTATGATGCTTAAGTTAAGTTATGATTTTTCTTGCTTAATAAAATTTCTGATCAGTTAAAAGATGACTTTTTCATTATGCTTACTAAGCATTTTCCACAACGCACTGAATTCTGCCAGCAAGGTTATGGGCCATGCCTGCCCAGCTTAGTTAAGCTTTTGTCGTCTTTGGAAGCAAGTTTATTATAACGCTACTGGGGCCGTTTAGATAGATTGGACATGGCCGAAAATGACAGCAGCTCCATATTGGGATTTCCAAAGCTAAATAGTTTCAATTACAGTAGCTGGAAAGTTAATATGAAAGTGTTACTCATCTATAAAGGATCTTGGGAATTTGTTGGTGGTACAGAGAGGCCATTACCAACTGATGCAACAGACAGAGACCTACGCTCTTGTGAACTGCGAAAAGCAAGAAGTTATTCTACTATATTCCAAGGAATTGAAGAGCAGTTTCAACCGCTGATATCCGACACCGAGGATGGAAAGACAGCGTGGACTATTTTAAAAGATAACTTTGAACCTACCTCCCGATCACGGTTAGCCGGACTTATTGATGAATTATTTGAAATGAAGTTTGATCCGGAGAAGGAGACTATTGGAATTTTCTGCAAGTTAGTTAAAGAAAAAAAGAAACAGATCCATGATGCAGGTTTTGAAATGCCAAAAAAGCTCACATGTTTCCAATTAATTAGAAGATTGCCAGCAGATTATGACAACTTAGTTCAAATGCTTTATCGACTAGAGGATAAAGATTTTTCGATTTCTAATGTTGAAAAGGAGCTCCTAATCGAATCTGGAAGGATACAACAAAAGCAGAAAGATAGAGGAGAGGACATAGTCGCCGATGCTTATACTACTTCATCTACTAGAAAGCAAGCCTATCGGAAGTTGCATGGAAATAAAAGCAGTGGTCGCGTCCTGGGCAGTGATACAAAAACAACAATGATGTGTCCCTACTGCAACAAGAAAGGTCTTCTTATGATATGCCCCTCTTAATTCCTCTTTTCTCTTATTCCCTCGTAATATTGAAATCCTAAAAGTCAACCTTTAGACAACGAAGACTTTTTTCCTCTTTAATCCCTACCAAAGAGAAATAAAAATGCTGCGCATTACACACCATCAAAGTTAAAGAATACAACTTTGATTGAATGCAAGTAATATAAATAAATCTTATATTACCTAGAAAAAACATTGCTTCTATCAGTAAATCCTCTTCATTTCACTTCCTTTCAAGGTGGTTTACTTCTTATGATATGCCCCTCTTAATTCCTCTTTTCTCTTACTCCCTCGGAGGATGAAATTCCTAAAAGTCAACCTTTAGACATTGAAGCCTTTTTTTCCTTTTTAATCCCTACCAAAGGGAAATAAAAATGCTGCGCATTACACACCATCAAAGTTAAAGAATACAACTTTGATTGAATGCAAGTAATATAAATAAATCCTATATTACATAGAAGAAACATTGCCACAATATGTAAAATCTCTTCATTTTTCTTCCTTTCAAGGTCTTCTTTTTCTACTTCTTATGATATGCCCGTTTTAATTCCTCTTTTCTTTTATTCCCTCGTAATATTAAAATCCTCAAAGTCAACCTTTAGACAACGAAGCCTTTTTTTCCTCTTTAGTCCCTACCAAAGAGAAATAAAAATGCTGCGCATTACACACCATCAAAGTTAAAGAATACAACTTTGATTGAATGTAAGTCATATAAATAAATCTTATATTACCTAGAAGAAACATTGCCACAATATGTAAAATCTCTTCATTTTTCTTCCTTTCAAGGTCTTCTTTTTCTACTTCTTATGATATGCCCGTTTTAATTTCTCTTTTCTCTTATTCCCTCGTAATATTAAAATCCTCAAAGTCAAACTTTAGACAACGAATCCTTTTTTCCTCTTTAACCCCTACCAAAGAGAAATAAAAATGCTGCGCATTACACACCATCAAAGTTTAAGAATACAACTTTGATTGAATGCAAGTAATATAAATAAATCTTATATTACCTAGAAGAAACATTGCCACAATATGTAAAATCTTTTCATTTTTCTTCCTTTCAAGGTCTTTTTCTACTTCTTATGATATGCCCGTTTTAATTCCTCTTTACTCTTATTCCCTCGTAATATTAAAATCCTCAAAGTCAACCTTTAGACAACGAATCCTTTTTTCCTCTTTAACCCCTACCAAAGAGAAATAAAAATGCTGCGCATTACACACCATCAAAGTTAAAGAATACAACTTTAAATTGAATGTAAGTAATATAAATAAATCTTATATTACCTAGAAGAAACATTGCCACAATATGTAAAATCTCTTCATTTTTCTTCCTTTCAAGGTCTTCTTTTTCTACTTCTTATGATATGCCCGTTTTAATTCCTCTTTTCTCTTATTCCCTCGTAATATTAAAATCCTCAAAGTCAACCTTTAGACAACGAAGCCTTTTTTCCTCTTTAGTCCCTACCAAAGAGAAATAAAAATGCTGCGCATTATACACCATCAAAGTTAGAGAATACAACTTTGATTGAATGCAAGTAATATAAAAAAAATCTTAAATTATATAGACAAAACATTGCCACAATCTGAAAAATCTCTTCATTTTTTTTCCTTTCATGGTGCGGTTTACTTCTTATGATATGCCCCTCTTAATCCATCTCTTCTCTCCTTCCCTCGGAGGATGAAATTCCTAAAAGTCAACCTTTAGACATTGAAGAATTTTTTTCTCTTTAATCCCTACCAAAGAGAAATAAAAATGCTGCACATTACACACCATCAAAGTTAAAGAATACAACTTTTATTGAATGCAAGTAATATAAATAAATCTTATATTACCTAGAAGAAACATTGCCACAATATGTAAAATCTCTTCATTTTTCTTCGTTTCAAGGTCTTCTTTTTCTACTTCTTATGATATGCCCGTTTTAATTCCTCTTTTCTCTTATTCCCTCGTAATATTAAAATCCTCAAAGTCAACCTTTAGACAACGAATCCTTTTTTCCTCTTTAACCCCTACCAAAGAGAAATTAAAATGCTGCGCATTACACACCATCAAAGTTAAAGAATACAACTTTGATTGAATGCAAGTAATATAAATAAATCTTATATTACCTAGAAGAAACATTGCCACAATATGTAAAATCTCTTCATTTTTCTTCCTTTCAAGGTCTTCTTTTTCTACTTCTTATGATATGCCCGTTTTAATTCCTCTTTTCTCTTATTCCCTCGTAATATTAAGATCCTAAAAGTCAACCTTTAGACAACGAAGCCTTTTTTTCCTCTTTAGTCCATACCAAAGAGAAATAAAAATGCTGTGCATTACACACCATCAAAGTTAGAGAATACAACTTTGATTGAATGCAAGTAATATAAAAAAAATCTTAAATTATATAGACAAAACATTGCCACAATCTGTAAGATCTCTTCATTTTTCTTCCTTTCATGGTGGTTTACTTCTTATGATATGCCCTTCTTAATCCTTCTTTTCTCTCCTTCCCTCGGAGGATGAAATTCCTAAAAGTCAACCTTTAGTCATTGAAGCCTTTTTTTCCTGTTTAATCCCTACCAAAGAGAAATAAAAATGCTGCGCATTACACACCTTCAAAGTTAAAGAATAAAACTTTGATTGAATGCAAGTAATATAAATGATTCTTATATTACCTAGAAAAAACATTGCCTCTATCTGTAGATTCTCTTTATGTTTCTTCCTTTCAAGGTGGTTTACTTCTTATGATATGCCCCTCTTAATTCCTCTTTTCTCTTAATTCCTCTTTTCTCTTACTCCCTCGGAGGATGAAATTCCTAAAAGTCAACCTTTAGACAACGAAGCCATTTTTTCCTCTTTAGTCCCTACCAAAGAGAAATAAAAATGCTGTGCATTACACACCATCAAAGTTAGAGAATACAACTTTGATTGAATGCAAGTAATATAAATAAATCTTATATTACCTAGAAAAAACATTGCTTCTATCAGTAAATCCTCTTCATTTCACTTCCTTTCAAGGTGGTTTACTTCTTATGATATGCCCCTCTTAATTCCTCTTTTCTCTTACTCCCTCGGAGGATGAAATTCGTAAAAGTCAACCTTTAGACATTGAAGACTTTTTTTCCTCTGTAATCCCTACTAAAGAGAAATAAAAATATGCTGCGCATTACACACCATCAAAGTTAAAGAATACAACTTTTATTGAATGCAAGTAATATAAATAAATCTTATATTACCTAATATTAATCTTATATTAATAACTGAAATAACTTAGATTGAATGCAAGTTCCATAAATAAAGTTTATATTAAAAATAATATAAATAAAATATATTATACGTAGAAAAATTTTGTTCCAATGTTAGAAGTATTTTGACTAACTATTTTTTTAACAGCTTTCGTTTCTTCATTTCTTTTCAGCAGCTTTTTTAATTTCTTCAGTTAGTTTTTAATTACATCGACTTACCTTCAAAACACAACCTACAGTCAACAATTCCAAACAGAAAATCTTATAATGATTTTACTCATTGTTTAAACTATTTTACAACAATGAATAATTTTATAGCTAATAACATTTATTACTTTACTCTGTAATTGTTAAACAACATCATTAGCTTTGTTGAAACAACTGTGAACAAAAAAAAATTTAAAGAACTTAATAGTCATTGTTAAAGAGCGAATTTATTTATTGGTTAGAAAAACGTAAAATATAATGAAATATAATATTCCTAGATTTGCTATTTCACTTTACGCTATTACTTTTTAATCAGAGTGCTCTAATATATTTTTAGATATTAAGTAAAAGTATACATAAATTAGTGATGAATTTCTAATTTATATAGATAATGATCTGTAAGATTTTCCAAAAGGGAATCGATTTTTATCTCTATTTATTTAATTCGACCTAATCATTTGTTTTATTTTACTTTACTTAATGTTTCAAAATAATATGTTAAAGAATTTTTCCTTAAATATATATTTCTATTTGGTAACTTTATCATTATATCCTTGAGCATGGCATAAAAACAATTTATTTTGTTAAATTTACTTTTCATTTCTGTAGGTTTTAAAAATGTGTAGTAATGGGAACTATAATTTCAAAACTAGATTTTCCGGCTAACATCATACCTGCCAACTCTTCCGGATTTTCCGGAAGATTTTATTTTCATATTTAAAGTGGTAGTAAATATATACTATTTTTTTCTCTTATAAACTTAATTTTTAAATGATTTTGATCACCACTATTCTTACAAAAATTAAGCACATATATTAATATGCGTTACTATCATGGTTGTCAACTTAAGCTTGCTTATATACAACGTATTTGTTTGCTTAAAATTGAAGTTTTAATTCCATTTTAATACCACTGGGAAAAATGATAATGGAAGGGATTAAAAGTTGGCAGGTATGTAACAGTTACTATAAAACTACCAACTAAATATTTCGAATAACGCCTATTTTGTTTTTATTTCCAGAATTATTTTTTTAAACAGATAAATGTTTGGCATAGACTATGCTAATTTTACCAGTATTTTTTTTCTTCGGTTAATTTCTACCTACTAAATATATTTTCGAATAACGATAATGCATTTTGATACTGCTTTTGAATTTAAGCTCTAAAATTACACTGTTATCAAAGTTTCCATCCTTAATCAAACGTGTTTTCATTGCATGCATAATTATTCCATCGGACATCGATGGCATTTTATAGAACTTATTGTACATCTTATTTTTTTCGCATAAATTTTTTTTTTTTGGCATTTGTATAATTTAAAGGTTTTGCATATGCTGCAAAACCATTTTGTTCATAGCGCAGGGGAATTTGCATCAGATGATAGCAGATGGATGGTAGCAGACCAAAGGTAAACCGCTAGACAGGAAATTTTATACCATTTAATTTTAATCTTAAGTTCTTCAAGTTTAGCAAAAAAAAATTATGTTATCCTTTAAATACAAATTTTTCATCCATTTGAACAAAATGAAACATTCTACGTTTCTTAGATGGCTACAAACGCCCATAGAAAATCCATGTTCTGGAATTTTATTCCTATTTTGACGACACGAGACTGAAAGATTTTTTTTAAAAACGAAAATGAAATAAGACACTATAATGAAAAATGTGATGATGTGATATTTTTGTTTATTGCTTGAACTACATAGAATGGAGTTTTTACATTACCTAGTGCAGTTTTTCTAAAATTACAATAAATGTTGCAAATTAAAATAAATGTAAACATTAATGGAGCATATCGACGCAAAATAAAGAGGTAAAAGAGTATATGCGTGCTGTATAAAGACGACTCTTGTTGTAAGTACAAAACTGGTGGGGTAGACTATATTTGAGGGTGCTCCTTGATTCTCGCCAAGTTGTGATCGCGGTTGATCGCCAAGCTGGGCGATGTTGAAACCCAATCGTGATTCTGATTGATTTAGGTTTTAGCGTTATTTTTAAATTCTCAACGATATAAGTAATTTCAGAGATCCGTTAGTTCTACATTGGATACCGACTGGTAAGGTTACTTTTGCTTCTGGTCAATAAGATCGAAGGTATGCGGGCAGTCATAAAAAGGGACTTTAGAAGAAAATGTCACCGCCAGTCCATTTACCACAGATGCCGTTTTCGATTGATATTTCGCCGAATTTATGTTTCGATGGAGGTACTATACGGATTCTATTTCTATTCATGATAAGTTAAGACAGTATCTAACTGCTATTAGAGAATTCCATGCACTTAAATCTGAGGATATTCAAGCTTAATGAAGAAATGAGTTTGTTTTTTTCCTTTTCTTTCTGTGTTTACTCCATTAATTTTTGTTTCGATTCAAAATGCATTTTACTGAGTTTATTAATTTTTCTTATATTAGGTTCACTGCAATTTTATAAAGCTTTGACCGATGTTTTGTTGAAATTTTCCAATGTCTTATTTTATTTTATTTTATAACCGTCGTTGAACAGCCGACCCAAGTTCATGGGTTTACGACTACTTACGTTCAACTCCGTAGCCTTGTAATTTTGAACCAATCCAGAAGACAAGGAAACTCCTGGATCAGTACCCCCAGAGGTATTGATTTGTTGTGGGAACATGGAGGACTTTGAGACTCGACAGATTTAACGTGCATCAGTCACCATTTACTACACGGGGAGTCTTCGGCCGGCGAGGATCGAACCCACGACCTCTTGGATATGGGCCCAGTGCCCTACCGACCAGGCTATCCCGGCCCCCAATGTCTTAGTTTTTATTTTATTTTATAACCGTCGTTGAACAGCCGACCCAATTTCATGGGTTTACGACTACTTCCTTTCAACTCCGTAGCCTTGCAATTTTGAACCAATCCAGAAGACAAGGAAACTCCATTGAAATATCCTTATGTTTTGGCCGCCACTCTTGTTACCACGGTATTCCGCGCAAACAGGAATTTCGCCAAAAATTAGTCGCCAATTTCGCCAAGGGGCACCCTCAAGTATATTTTTCCCAAACTGGTAAATTAGATTTTTAAAAACTGGCTCTAGAATAACTGGTGAAATGAGAAAAGAAAAAAAAATCTAATTTGAAAAACAGAAATCGATACGAAAGAATTGTTCAACCTAGGTTAGAAAATAGTGAAATGGCAATTAAGAAATAATGTATGTTAGGAATCATAAAATCAATAATCTACTGCAACTGTGCTGGCACTTATGCAGACTGGTACTAAATATATAAGCTGAAAACTGAGAATTGTTCAACCTAGTTTAGAAAATAGTGAAATGGCAATTAAAAAATAATGTATGTTAGGAATCATAAAATCAATAATCTACTGCAACTGTGCTGGCACTTATGCAGACTGGTACTAAATATATAAGCTGAAAACTGAGAATTGTTCAACCTAGTTTAGAAAATAGTGAAATGGCAATTAAAAAATAATGTATGTTAGGAATCATAAAATCAATAATCTACTGCAACTGTGCTGGCACTTATGCAGACTGGTACTAAATATATAAGCTGAAAACTGAGAATTGTTCAACCTAGTTTAGAAAATAGTGAAATGGCAATTAAAAAATAATGTATGTTAGGAATCATAAAATCAATAATCTACTGCAACTGTGCTGGCACTTATGCAGACTGGTACTAAATATATAAGCTGAAAACTGAGAATTGTTCAACCTAGTTTAGAAAATAGTGAAATGGCAATTAAAAAATAATGTATGTTAGGAATCATAAAATCAATAATCTACTGCAACTGTGCTGGCACTTATGCAGACTGGTACTAAATATATAAGCTGAAAACTGAGAATTGTTCAACCTAGTTTAGAAAATAGTGAAATGGCAATTAAAAAATAATGTATGTTAGGAATCATAAAATCAATAATCTACTGCAACTGTGCTGGCACTTATGCAGACTGGTACTAAATATATAAGCTGAAAACTGAGA